ACTCGGTGGAGTCGAGGGGTTTTGGCTCGGCCCTGGGAGCCGGGGGGAGGGATGAATATTTAGAAGATGTCGTTTTCTCCATATAATGGGTCTCAGTCGGGTCACCTCCTCTGGGGTGTTTCCGTTAGAGTCATGAATCTGCATATCTTCCAGCTTGATACTAGTGGGTGAAAAATTTACCTCCGGTATGATAGCCCACCCATAGAGTACATCTTCGGCTCAGCGTTCCCCACTTTCGAACGTGTAACTTGATTATCCGCTTGCGGCGCTTTTAAGAGCGGCCCCTTACCTTCTCCCATCTGGTCTACCTGGTCGACCGGAGGATCTACCTGATCGACCTGGTCGACCTGAGGTTCCACCTGGTCTACCTGGCCAGTCTTCGGCTGGAATACCATAGTCATTACTAGAGCAGGTACCCTTGGTCGCTGAAGCATTCTATATGAAGTACAGTACAGTGTTACCTCCACTAATGGCCCTTCATCCTTCCTCCTGGTCGTTGGTAGATTCATACACCAGGTTTAGCCATTCAGCATATCTTCGAGACCACACCGACACAAAATCCTGCGCCCTTGGTACTTGTTCCTTCGTCAGCCACATACCTATCTTAGTATCCTCGTGCAATATCAGGGGTTGGGCAGTGACATTAGTTACCGTCAGGAACTTCCGACTTCCTACCTCTTGGTTCACAGTCGTGATCCACCGTTCTCCCCCTTGCGACCCACAACATAACATTGGTGCGTAGTCGACCTTTTCAGAGGCACTTCCTCATACCCTCCGTCCGGTATCTGCACTTATCGACCCAGCTTTACATCTGATACCCAGTTATCGTAAAGGGTCCTTCGTCCTGCTAACAGGACTCGAACCTCATCGGGGAGACATAGTGTCTTATCCGCCAGAGCTAGTCGATAACCGGCTAGCACCATGGAGTCCATGGCTAAAATGGCATGCCACCATCGGGCCCACCCACACCTTAAAGATGTATACCAAGTTTCCGTTCATGGTGACCTTGATACGGGTACGACCTTCCGTGGTATACACGGACTCCCCGATACCAACACATTCTTGTCGCTCACTTTCATCAATCTGGCAGCCTACCTTACGAGCAAAAGCGATATCCAAAATAGATATCTTGGCGCCAGTATCACACAACAAGTTAGCTCAATCGTTGCTAATCTTCCTAGAGGCCTTGGCCTGTCCAACCATTTCTTAGGCGCATGGTATTTCCAATACCCCCTCGACTCGCCCGGCAGTAGGTCCAACTCCATCACTGCACATTCTTAAAAACAATTGCTAGACGCGCCGAGAGAAGCAACATGGACCCTAGGGTAACTTTCAAACTTCGATATATTTTCCATCGAGTTATCCTGAATGCCCCTTGCTACCTTGGGCTGCTTTTCCACATATGCAAAAATGCAACAATTAGAACGCTCGACTTGTACCAGATTCAAACCTGGCGAGCGTCCTAGTTTAGCATCTGCTTGACCTTCTCCGGTAACATTCCAGCGTGCGTGGTAGGGTTGTATCACTGACGGATCAAGTTATAAAACTCTTCCATCGGGCACTTCCCGACCACGTGGGTTTCTTCACATCCTCGACACACGAACAGGCAACGATCTGATGGATGGCCCTTCTTCCACAGCGATCGCAGGTCAGCCTCTTCCAAATCAACCCAAGTCTCCATGCTTTCTGGACCCACAATGGGCACATCTTGCACTTGGGGTTGCCGGGCCGTTCGGGTTCCAAGGTCCTTGGTCGAGGGTGGGGTCTGGTCGACCGGGTTGGTCTTAGTTTTCGATCGAGGCCCAATGACATTCAGACGGTACAGGTAGTCCAGCGGATTCATCCGACCTTTTCTTTGCGTGGTAATATTGGCGGTCCACTGGTACTCCCAAACCGCAGAACTGCATCTGAAATTCCTGTAACAAACCCTTTTAATTTCCACGAACAGAGCGACCTGGTTGACGATACCAGTTCTGGGCAGGTCCAGTCAATAATCCTCCAAAAACGAGACACTTTTCCCCATCTGGCGCTTGGTCCCTCGTTTACGCGGTCTTCACAGTGGTCACCCAACTGTGTGCTCGGTCCTCATCTTGATCTGTACTATAAAACTCCTTGAGATCCGACGTCGCTGAGAGCTTGATACGAGAAACCACGTTAGGCACCTGTCTTAGGTTGGCGTTGGCCATTCTCGCCAAAGGTCTATCGAAGTCCATGTCATCTGGATCGTATTCACACAACCCGACCGATTCCATATCCATGTCGGTCATCCCTTGGTCTCTTGCGCCTTGCATACTTGCACTTGACCCCAGCTAAGCCGTTGACCTCTGCGCCCTCTGTCGTCTTCTGGCCGCACTTCCATCGATGTGTGTTTGCGGTACTTGGCGTTCTTGTAAGAATCTCGCCATCGCCGCGTCGAAGTATGCATGTAAATTACCTACCGGGTTGGTATGCGCCCCTTCCCGGTCAGTTTCGTCACGTGACGAGGTAAAATTTGGTACTAGTCCTGTATCATTTCTGATTAGTTGAAAATTCAACCTATCAGAAGCCCGACTTTCCCTTGGCTCTACACACGTTGCCGTCTCGTGAACTTGCTGCTCGTCGTCCGCGCTCTCCTCTCGAGCCTGCAGCATCGGCATGCCAGACGGTTCTAGTGACATTCGACCCACGTGACTAGTGACGAAAGACCCTCGCGACGATTTCCTTGCAGAGACTTGAGGATCTTGAGGCAAGATGGTCTGTGATAGACCTCGCATAGACCATGGGTCCTTGGTCGACCATTGCTCTCGAGGGTGGACCTCGATGTCTTGCAGGGTCATCTGGCTGTCGTCATACGGTGCTTTTGCGGTGGTCTCAGGAGGTTAGCCGAGTAGTACCGGGGTTATTCCCACCAAGATCCGTAGAAGTTTGTGTAGGATTTATAACGTGGTCTTAATACTGTTTAAACCCAGAGAAAACAAGTCTCAGGCTCGAACTTCCTGCGATCATACCCACCTCGCGGAGAAGGGTCAAAAGCGCGGTGATCGCGTCTGTCACCGTCCTTAGCTTGGAAAGGGTCGACACAGGTCTACTGAGCTGACCCAGCAGTCGGATCTCGAGGGCTTTGGTGACGAGGTTGCTCTCCCAGAACGCTTCAAGCTTGAGTCGATGGTAGGCAATGGTCACGTCAGCATCCGACCAGGACAATGGTCCTGAGGTCACAGGTCCTACCGACTTGGTGTCACCCGGTGCCTTCATCCGGGGCTTGGTCGGCTTGGACATAGCGATCGTATTTTTTGTAGTTTTTGTATGTTCTTAGTTTTTGGGGACAATAGTCAATCGGTTTGCACCTTCGACTGATTGTCCTCTGGGACATGATAGATATCATGACTCAAGGTGTCCTCGGCGAGGACGTAGGGAGGGTATTTCGGTTTCTTTTCAATAAGTTTAACCTTGACCATCTTGACCGCCCTCCCCCCAAGACCCGGCCAGTCCTTCTATCCTTTGTTGATTTCTTGTAGAGTTACTGGCGATCAGTCTTCCAGTGACTCTTCGTTTTTTCTCAATCTTTGCTTGAACATCTTCATCTTCTTGGGACTCGCGGTGATATCCCGAGTCCTTCGAAGATCCGGGCACGCGCACCATTGTGGTGGAGTGGGTTCTTAAAACTGCGTATTGAGACCCCTAGCCACTCACTGTGCTGGACTGCCGACTACCTCGATGCCGCGTATAGACCTTCTCTCACCTTGTGTACCCGTCGGCTGGCGGGTTGCACTCTTCGGAGGACTTGGTTGAGATATGATGTCGACCTTGAGAGAGTTCGACCTTGGGGTGCCTCGAGTGGATATACTTCACTCGGTAGGCGGGTAGGTCGCCACTCGGTCGACTAGGCCGAGGGTGGACTTATAACCAGATTTTTCAGGAAGTATTCTCGACCCTGGCCGCTTCCTTGATATCTCAGGGGTGTTAACCGCCTGTCCTTTACTTGCTCCCGAACCACTAGGGTAGGGAGACCGCTTCCGATAGCGGGTCGATTGGAGGGGTGCTACTCAGACGAACCTCCAGGCCAAGTATATCCTAGGGCTCTATTCACACTTGGGTCTTACCACGCAACTGTGTTCGACGGGGGGGCCAGAATATATCCCCTCCCGGAACAGGTGGGTAGGCTTGGTTAAGTTCCTTGTGAGCACGACGAAGGCGTGCTATATAGATCGCAAATTGAAAAGTCTTTAATAAAGCCCTATCTTTTAACTTCTATACTTTATCCTTACCCCGAAAGCTGATTTTTAGTTTTGCTTGGCTAGGGTATATCGACCGAGGGATTGAGAGGCCAGGGACCGATAGGCCTAGAGTCCGGGGACCGAGGTTCGGGGCCGAGGGGCCGAAAGTCTAGGAATCGAGAGGCCAGGGGACCGAGAGGCCTTGAGGCCGGAAGTCCAGGGACCGAGAGGCCTAGAGGCCGGAAGTCCAGGGACCGAGAGACCGAGAGGCCGAGAGTCCAGGGACGGAGGTACCGGGGGGCCGAGAGGCGAAGGATTGATGGGCCGAGAGTCCGTCGACCTAAGGGCCAAGGCCTATCGAGTGAGGACCGAAGTCCATTGATGAAGGACCAAGGTCGACCTTTAGGTGCAGGGGCCGAGAGCCCACCGATCGAATGGCCAAGGTCTACCTTTATGGATGACCGAGGTCAACCAATGATAGACCAGGGTCGACCTTGAAAGACGGGGTCCACCTCGAGGAAACGCGGTCCATTGGGCTAACCGCGGTTAACTCCCTCTGAATGGCGGCTAACTAGCACGCTTTGACCGTACATTCTTCTCACCAACGGTCTTTCCCTGTCCCTTTTAGCGCCTCGTATCTCTGTCCCTTGCCCAACGGCCGCCCTCTTTGCTAGTCCCTTTCTCTTTGACCCACTTGTCCTCTGACCTACCAGTTCTTGAAACGCTTCGCCACAACATGACAATCGCTGCCAAATTAAGCGAGAAGATTCATGAAGTCAAGATAGCCCTAAAACCGCCTTTAAGATGAAGTTGTTAGGCGAGGTGAGATTTATCTTGGGTATGGAGATTGATCACGACAAGAACGTTAAAACGCTCATGATCAAGCAAACCCGATATATTGATGACGTGGTTAAGCGATTTAATGAGCAGAACGCAACATCGGTTGAGTACCCTTGCGCTTTCGACATAAAGCTGTCGAAATTGTTGTTTCCAGCTACAAAGGAAGAACGTGCCAAGATGAAGTCACGACCGTATACAATCTTTTATCGGGTGTTGATGTACATCACGACTTGCACGCGACCGAACATAGCATTCGTGGTGATGCAGCTGTCACGCTTTCTTGAGAACCCTGGAGCGCAACATTGGAAAGCGGATATTTGCGTTCTTCGATACTTGGAGTCGACGTGAGCACGGCATTATGTACCACGGAGGCTCGAGAACGGTTACTGCCGAGGCGTTCACGGAAGCGGACTGGGAAAGTTACACTAATGACCGACGTTCCGTATCTGGAGTCATGGTTAGGTTGGGAAAGCTTCTGTGGTGTTCAAGTTTAAGTACCAGGGAACCGTCGCTCTAAGTTCTGTGGAAGCCGAGTACATGGCTTTAAGCTTTTGTACGCAAGAGGTGCTTTAGGTGCGCGCCATGCTGAAAGACATGGGTCTCGAGCAAGTGAGGGGAGCGCGTTTGTCTGGGAAGACAACCAAGGTGCAATTGCATTGGCATGTAATGCTGGATATCACGCTCGGAAGAAGAAAGTGGAAATTTGCCATCAATTCATTCGCAAAAACGTCGAGCGCGAAACTCTCAAGGTCGACTACGTGGATACGAAAAACCAACTAGCTAACATACTTAGCACGGGACTGGGGACCAAGACGTTTAAGTTCCTACGTGACGCAAGTGGAATCAAGAGCAAGGTCAGCAAGCAGTAGCGGTCAGTGGAGGTGTTGATATTACATTGCTAAACAGGTACGTTTCATGTTGACTGGATTTGCAGATGAGACATTAGGCGCGCGATAACATATGAGCACGTTCTGTGTTGACTGCAGGACAAAGTGAGCGCACAATAGATTGAAAAAAATCAACACGCACCTTACGCTAAACAATTGCAGTCTAACTAATCGCAGCTTACAGTTCCTTCATATTCAGCACGTCGTGGGAATAAATGCTGAAAACTTGTTCGCAAGGCATTATACTTCAAAATGTATTTACCTATGCGTAGGCAGATGTTATCCATGCTTGACACAGCTAAGGAGCGAGAGTCCGAATCGCATTGCCAAGTTGCTGCATGCCATTCGTTTTTTGTGCAGCCTGGAAGTCAGATTGTGCATTTCGCGTTAACTAAACCTCTTATTTCACATCAATAAGGAGCTTTCGCCGCCATGTCAAGAGCAGATAGAAAGGTAATGATCGATTTTGCGTAAGTTCAATCCTAAATGCAATAAAGCATTCAATAACTTACTGGCTACTGTACGACATTCTATCGGAATTCGGATGTATACTCTAGCAAACTAGATCGATTCTTCCATGGCAAAATACAAAACCATTCAGTTGGCGTAAAAGGTATCGATCGATGCACTAGGATCGAATCATACACTAAATATCACATGAGCTCGAGCTTGTGCAACATTTGCAACCTTTGCATCTGATGTAGCAAAATCAATAGGCGTGTTTTGTGTGTGGCTGCTATAAATATTGTCAGTCTCGTCAGTCTTTTGTTCATGTTATTGTCATAAAGCGTCCAAAAGTTCGATTAAGTTTGTCATTAATTCACTAAACTACAAGAAGAATTTGTGGATTCGGAAAAGTAAATTCTCTTGACGTGTTGATTTTGTGAGCCTGTTACATGAATGCACTACCATCAGCACCACTAGTAGCACCTATGGTCACGAACTCCGACGCTATATGTGCACGATTACTACAACCTCAGAAACAACAGCAGCAGCAGCAACAACGAAGAAGAAGCACATGGAAAAGAAGGATCATGGAATGCAGATATTCCGTAAGAATAAATCCAAACGACGAGGTTGTCATAATCTCAAGCAACCATTGACCAAGGACATGCCACGCATGCTGTCGGAGCTGCTAAAGGAGCCTAAAGTAGCGCTACTGCATCGCGTAGTGAAGAATGTAGGTCCCAAAGTATCCTGGCAGCTACTTCGTGAGACGCTTCGGCTGGAGAAAGACGGTGGACAGTCAGTAAATGCTGAGGCCAGTGGCAAGCCCGAGCTTTTCTTTGTAGTAGACGAAGTCTCCCATGAGTATAAGCCACGGCGTCGCACATCAGGTGGCGTCTTCTTTTCGTTGTTGAAGAATAAAGTGTCGAAAGAAGTATATCGTACCATCTATGAGGTAGAAGATCAGAAGAAGAAGGATGCCAAGAAGCGAGCTCGTAGTCGCCAGCGACAAAAAATGGACAAAACGCTGGCTAAACTAGGCTTTGATGACTTGACGCTCGCATCTAAAGGCGAAGACCTCACGGCGGCAAATGGCAACAACACAGGAATCCCGGCTACTTCAATTGATGCTGCTGTTGCTGAAGACGGAGAAGTGGTGGAAAACATGGAAATCAGTTGAGTAGAGTAGTGGAAGGCTCAGACAACTACGTAGAAGAACGAAGTGCTTTATGCTTTGACAGATTTGTTGTTCTCCATCACGCTTGGATGTGTTGACTATGTCACCAGGTTTTGCCAAACCGGAACAAGGGGTGTTGGAACGCCAGCAGCGACAACTCAATATAATAAAGCTGCCGCATACCAGCGGTTTCAAACGCCTTCCAGCCGAAGTTAGTTCTGTTAAGGTTGATAACTATTTGGCGATGTAAAAAGCGCATGGTCGTACTCTGACAGCGCTACAAATGCTAACTGAGTTCGGTGCGCTCCATTGCAGTCTGCGAATTACTCGTAAGGAAAGAAAAGGCTACTTAACAACCACGTTCATGCAAACGACAATGTTACATGTTTTCATGAGAGAAACAATCGGACTTTGAAACGTGACAACAAGTTGTGCTGCCTCTGGGTTTCCACATTGACATGATCGTACTTTGTTCAGAGCTTTGGCTGTTGAGCAGAGCCCTGCTAAGGTAGTAACGCCTTTCTAATTGGTATGACTATGTTGTCATCTTAGAAATGAAACACGAATGCTGAGCTTGTACTCAACAACCATCTCTATCCTCACAAATCTTATCATGACAATCGACATGGTGTTGCTTACAAACAACTGTAACGCCTTAGAATGTCGACGCAAGTTTGGAAAACTTGCAATCTGGCTTCAGTCACCTCGTATTGACAAACATTATACGTAAATGTCACCTATACTGACGCTTCGACAGTCTCCACGTTCACGCATCTTCCCAGTGGCAAGGCCACTGCTCGAGCGTGATAGAAGGAAGCCCCGAAAGATCTGATTGCCTGCGATAGCACCATGCAAGCCTGACGCAATGTCGTTGCTATCGCTCACCGTTTTGCAGCCAATGCGGGGCAGTACGACCTCATGCACCAGGATCCCAGACCCTGTGGGTTCATCTACACGCCCTCACGGATTATCATACTTTCACTGCATACCGGATTGCTACCAGCCCACTGACCTTCTTTTCACACAATTCAACACACCGTGAAATCGTGCCCAATCGGAACATGATGCGCCGGCAAGGAGGAAACGTACGAGCATCTCTGCTGAAGTTGTCCATGTTGCTCAAGCGACTTGGGCGCAACTCATCAGCCACTGGTAAGGCGGTAGAGTGCAGCCAAGCCGATTGTAACGTTAAAAGCGCGCATGAGCGGCTTGAACCAAGATGTCCTTGTCGTTCTATACCCCCTGACGAATTGGATGGCTTGTTCATACATCGAGCTTCTCACTTTACTCACCAAGATGACCCATAGATCTCCTTGACGAGTGATTGTCCTCATACACGTCGCACCTGTGGCACTGAATAGTAGATGGATTCTCTGATTCTCTCTCGCTCCAATCATTCTATAGCCACCCAATCAGGACACTTTCATCATCAACCGTGAGCTATTCTTTACTATCATGATGATGGAAAATACATCCAAAGCCACTAGAAGACAAACAACAACAAACACGCCCTGTTCATCTTCAATAGTAACCTCATTACCACCACTTGGTCAAGTAGATGTGTCTAATACAAAGACACACACAAAAAGAGACGTCTTTACTACAGAAAAGAACATTCATCACATGTCCACGCAAGCCAAATTACGCACTTATGAACGACGTAGTCGTCATAAACGAAAGGTGCGACAACAAACAACCGAAGTGTCATATTTGACGATTGACTAACCAATGCAGTTGTTGACGCTTCTAACCCTTTCATTCTCTGTCTTTGCTATTGCTTTACAACAATCGCTCTTGTGGTCCTGATTGTCCTGATGTACGTAGCATACGATAGAGATCATGAGAGAAAAAGTAGCAATCATGGAAACTTACATGAAGAAGAACTTGTGTCAAACCAAGCACCATGATAATTCTCTTCAGCACATTGATCTTTGAACTTATATTGGAGGCCATGTACCTTACTAACCACAACTATAAATTACGCATGGCACTGGACAATCACCGTTTCTTCCACCTGATGCTACAGCTCGAATATGATCATGTACGTTGCAAGCTGCTGTTGTCTACTTTTTGTGCAAATAGACATGGAAAATATTGACTTGACACTCGTTTAATACGCAGCGAGAGACAACGGATCACTCAGTGGCTAAAGAGCTGCTCAATCTGGACACACCCTGCTCGTGGCGACCACTGGAGGAAGCTGTTTGTCTCCGTATCATGAAGGATTCATTCGTCAAAATTGTAACCTTCTTTAATAGCGAGGACTTTATTTCAAGTGGTCTGGAAATTTGCGGCTGGCGCGAGAAGCGCAAACTCGTGGGTAACAACGTCACCTTTATGTTACACAAGATATTTGCCAAAGACTGCAGTGAGGAACTGGCTACCCGCAGTTGGGAGATGCGCGCTATTCAGGACCAAGTGACGCGCTATTTTGGTCACAGCCTTGACGTCAAGGTCGAGGTGCTCCAACGTTTTGAGAATGACGTGGTGGTTGTGCGACGCAAGATCAAGCACATGGTGGACGGGTGGGTGCATCACACCATCTACTTGCTGTTCCGCACCAAGACGCCGGACGGACACCTCGTCTGTATTCGGGATATGAACCCTGAGGATGCGGACGACCTGTCATTATTGTCGGGATCGGCTACCCTAGCGTCGTCGCAGTGTGTGATCTGGTCGAAAGCCTTTATATGGTGGAAGTTCACCAATTTGCCGGAAGTGGAAGGCCAGCTGCCCCGTGGTTTTGAGGTTGAGTATGGAGGATCACTCGGTTCTGCTACACAGACTGACGCTACTTTCTGGATACATGAAGTGATACTACTGGCGCTGCGTTGGGAGAACTTGGTCGTTGGACCACTGATCACGCTGGATTAAGGAGAGATGTCGATGGGACGGGTACAGAGAGGCAACTGGAGGATCATCGCAGTTTGGGATAACTGTCGTGCTGTCCGAGACTGGTCCCAAGTCAAGGCTTGGATGAACCCCTTTGGTAGGTTTTTTATTTACTCGTAGCTGTGTAGATTGAGACGCCGGTGTTGGCGTTTAATAATAACGGGAAAGCTACACGAAGCGTTTCTTGTTTGTCACTTGAATTTGTATGGAGGTGCCTTTTGAAAAGAAACCGCGCTGGACAGCTCACGACTCGGTTTGCCTAGGCCTTGCAGCATTTGTGGTCATCAATGTGATTATGTGTCTCTGGGTTGCGGCGATATCCACGTCGACGGCACGACGCCAAGCGACCGCGGTCTTCTTCGCCGTAGAGAAAGCATCAGTAATTGACTTCAATCTTACCTTGCAGACGACGATGAATTCCTTGCCAGTCAATGTGACCGGGAGACTGCAGCCACGTCACTCAGAGTGCTCACGCAGACTTTATTTCAATGGACGAATTATAGTGACGACGCCAAATACAAGCGAGGTATTCGTGCTACTAAACCATCGAGGATTCCGACGTCAGCTTTATGGAAGCAACGCGAATACAACTTGTTTGACAACGCGGGACATTCCACCGCTACACACACTCGTCGACACTGTCTACAGTGCATTCCGACCGGTAGTGTACGAGGCGTTTAAAGTCGATTGCAAACCACTCCAGTTCACCTTCTATGACATGCCGTTCGTTGTGTGTGCGGAGGATTGGCTTCGAGCGAGGCTGTATACCCAAAACTTGACTCATTCTACGAGACACGATCAACACCCAGGAACTGTCAAAGACCCAGTGTTGATCATTCATGGCAAGAAATCTGCGCTGGAACTTATGGTCCTGTCCGACACTACGCCAGTCATTACTGACCAACCATTTGAAAAGTTGGATCACTGCGAGTATCTTCACGCCCCAATGACTTCAGGTGAATCTTGTTTGGCTCAAAAAGTACGAGGCTTCGACTTATAAGACGTCTAGAGACATGACATGTGCAAAATGACGTCTTGAGTGTACTTGTAAGCAGGCTAGCGGTCAAGATTCAAAGCTCTTTTTTCAGGCTTTAACGTAATTAGCTAGCTGTCTGCTATTGACAGACCAACTTTCCTTCGTGTCTCTGATGCCCCTAGCAATAGGTCTTGTCATGTGTCGGCTAGTAGTATTTCAAACAAAAAGCGCCAATGTGTTCGACAATTTTGTCTTGTTTGGGAAGCTGCGTTAGTGTCGACTGTTTTGTTCACCTCCTTTCTCTTTGAAATGCACAACGTCACTTGTCAAAATGGACGGTGAAGAGCAGCAGAAGCGAGTAGAGCAGTTGAGTACGGCATCTCTCGACTCACTTTACGATCAAAACGATGAATCAATCGAAACCACGAAGCGACCGATTTGCAACCGATGCACTTGGACACCGTTTATGGTTCTGACTGGTTTAATCTTACTCGCCGTTGGGTTGGTACTGGCGCTGGATCGTAGCAATCCTGATCAACAAGAGGCTGTAGTCAGTTCCTTCCATGGGGATCCAATTCTGACAGCATTAATGAGTAGTAGAGGTCTCGACGCTCCTGGAAAGAAGTTGATGGAGTGGTTCGAAGAGGCGCGTAATGCAAGTGAGCTCTACGTCGCAGGTGGTAGCAGTAACATGAGCGTGAGCGGTGCCGTCTTTCCACAAAATAGTCGTGACACATTGTTGCCTTATAACGCCGTAGTGGCGATAAATTCCAAAGGAGTCTTGTCACGCCGGCAATTCATAGTTCAGGCAAACGGACGAGGCTTCAAGTGGGTCGTGACCTCGTTCGGTTATGGAGATATCATTGCCACAAGCGGCTGCTTGACTTCAAGCCACAGTTTGCCATTGAATGAGCTTAGCTCGATCATGTCGACGGCAAAGTGGACAACCTCTGACATTGATGACCAGAATAAGGTGAGTGTTGTCTCGGATGAAGTAACCTATACAGTGTCAAAAGACGAAGATGACTATTACTCGAGTGAGACGGTCGACGATCAATGTTGGACGATTGAGAGTGAAGACGAGGAATTTCGATTGCACGTTTGCACCTCAGTTGTTGGTGAGGAGCTTCCACAGGAGGAGCTCGCAGATTTGTTCGGTGCCACAACTACATGCCCACAACTCGCACCAATGGCAACATATGCGATGCTTTCTGCTCCATTGCCGTTGCGTAAGTGGTATGCTAGCTACCAAGCGTAGTGAAGGCAATCAAAATCTTCTGGTAGGATTCTGTGGGTCGACTGAAGTCGTATACATGCATGACCTTTAGATGAATACTGTTTGCTCAAAGCATGCCACAAAGTTATTTTCATTTGTTGATTGTGTAGTGTGAGAAAACCTTGTTTGAAATCTACGATAAGCTTCGATGCACATGAGCTGGAGCCGATCAGTAAACGTGTCAAGGCCCTTCATTCTCGTAAATTCTATAGCCTTACTATCACCGAGGCAATGACCGTCCAACCACGTCGTCTTGTTAGCAGTATCGCCCAGCTTCAGGCAGTGTTTCAAGCCAACGAAGCAAGTGAAAATGACTGTGCTCGCGAGCCTCATCAACAACAGCCTCAAAACCAAAGCGTCTTCGATCGTGGTTATATAGCCACTGAAGCAGTTCAATATCTCCTCTTGTCGCCGCTTCTACCGTTTTCGGAAGACGAGAACGAAGACGATTGTTTTCTTTCAGAAATTGTAGCACTTGCACTGAACGTGATTCACCCGCCAAAGCCGTGCAATATTCGCTACGGTTGGCAAATAGATATTTCACAACACAAAAGTGTCCATTGCGTGCAGCATTATCCATTGCCGCTGTCGTGCAGCCTTCCTTTCGGTTTTGGTGAAGGAACTCCACAACATCTAGATGACCATTAGCAGCAGCACGATCCATCGCAGCCACTGTGCAGCGTAATCTCTCAACGTTCTCGTGCATCCAGCGTAAAATATCAAGATACCCGCCTGCTGCGGCATCGTCCATCGCGCGGTTTGTGAATCGGTATCCTTGATGATGCAGCCATTGAACGAACTGAATATTGCCAAAACTAGCAGCGCTATCCACGCGAATACGATGGCGCTGGCGCAATAAAGGTTCAAACGTATCTTCCATCCACTCAATAATGGCTTTATGCCCGCCACTAGCAGCTCCACGAAGGACATGTGCTCGACGACAATGCACAGGGTAATTGTTGGTATGCAGCCATTGCAACACATCCAGTTGTCCATTTCTCGCTACAGCGTACAACTGGTTGGTATAAATTTCAAAGCGAAAGCGTCGATTAAACATAGCAGCTTCCGTCGACGCCCGATCGTGCAGCCACTCCAAAATCCGAAGCTGTCCGTACGTAACCGCAGCAGTCAACGCTGCCTGCATCCAGGACGTATACGCCACCACGATCGTTTCCATCACATATTGCACAATGTGTAAGTGTCCCCCCTACAATGGCATTTTCCAACGATCGAAACGTCCTGATCTCATAGTATCTCGAATCGTTAAGCCATTTAACGACTTGCAAGTGTCCATTTAATGCCGCTTTCTCCAACCCTCGTCTAGTACATCGATTACCCAGTACACTGTCTAGATACTGCACTACTTCCATACGATTATGTGCCAATGCAGCATCCATGACGTTCCATCCAAATGCATATGGACCCTTCATCTCACAATACCATTGTACCAAATCCAGTCGACCATCAGCTGCTGCATGAGCCACTGCATCTTGACTATCCACTACTGCATCATCCACCATTTTATTGCTAAATTCACTATGAAGGTACCGTAACATTTGTAAATTTCCACTATATAGAGCTGCACGCTCGACACCATGAAATTTTCCTTTGGGATAATATTTGGAGCGTAACCATCGGACCCCGATGAAAAACCCTCGGGCTGCTGCATAATTCAATGCTGTTTCAAATTGATATTGTTTATAGCTTCGTTTGAGCTCCGAAGACCAGGAAAAGAGTTTCTTCTTTTCTCGAAATGCAGCATGTTCGAGTAATGATAACGAGGGCTGTGCTGACTCGAGTGGTTGATACTGCACTGCAATAACGACGGATAAAACCTTTGATACATCAAGAAGGTTCTTAAGATGATGGATTATATGATCCAGAGCTTTAACTTGAGGATAGACACGTAGAATAATGTCCACAGAAAGAAAAGTAGGATGAAAAGACGACGTTGGTTCGAAAGGACTCATGATGATGGAGAACAATAAATGAACTGGTACCGATAATAACTAGGTGTAATCATACCAAGACAACGAACCCCAATTAATACCGTTGAATTATTACTATCAAGAGGCCAAGACATACTGCAGACGCACCGATGGTGATCACCCTTTGTCCAAATACGGAACTAACACCCGCCAACAATTGTAAGACATCTTGTACTATCGAAGATTCCAAGTAGATTAATCACAAGGGACCAGATCAATGCGAATAGACAATAGGCAATCGTCATTCCACCAAGTCGCTTGCTCCGATGTCCACTGCGCTTTAGTGTTTGAGTCTCTGTCTTTTGTCTTGGAAGTAGGCCAAGAAATAAGAGTGAGAGGAATTTACTCGTGTAGGAAATGAGAACGATGATCGTGACATCCCATCGTGTATCGTGCGAATCATTCAGAATATCACGATTACTAACATTGAACGATTCATCAATGACCTTGGTCAGTGTCGCTGAAAATGGGCTGCTGAGGTTACCAACCGTTGTCAAAAGTCCATAGATGGCAGCTTCATTGCCCTTATCAGCCAATTCGACGACCACAAAGCTCGAGACAATAAAGTTCATGCTTGATGGGATAGTCTCAACAATAGGCAAACCGAGCCAGAACCACTGGTTCCGCACGACATCCCACGTGGTGAGCATTGTACAGATTGAATCCAGTGCCACGACAACTACTGTGGTAATTATAGTAACATTGCGCCAGTCCCAGTCCAGTCCATGGCGCCTTATAAATGCTAGCGTGAAGGCTGTTACACAAGAACCAATGATCTGGGAGATTGAAATACTGAAACTCGTCGCACGGACCCAATACATTGTGACGGGATCGGAAGCTACATAGCCAATTCCACTAAAGACGCCCGAAAAGAAGCTGTACGCAACGACTTGGTAAAGCGCACGACCCTGTAGGGCTTCCCATAGAGTATTCATGTACTGGCGCAGGTTTGGAGTACTGACCCGGTTTTCAGCAACAAAGTACCAAGTTAGTGGAATCACTGGTAGGCAGCAGATGGCCAATATGAGCGAAAACACGGGAAAACTGATGCCAAAACCAAACTCTCCACCGTATGGTGGAGAACTAAGTCCAAAGCCTACCAGTATACTTCCGAAAATGCCAAAAAGAGACCGCATAGTGTAGATTGCGGTCTGCGTCCGGCCTCTAATCGCGATAGGTTCGCGCTGGGCGTACTCGACAACAATGCCGTCAGCTGCCACATCTGCGACTAAATAGCCTAGAGTTGCCAGCATCATTAGGACAACGTACTTGCCTCCTGTCGCAGGGGCGTGATAATTGATTGCATCCATTTTTTCCGTTGTGTACTCGTTGGTCTTCAGTTCTCGCCACGATGCCTCAGGAAAGTAGGGTTTCTCCAGCGGAAGTGCTGCCATGGCAACAAGACAAAGAAAGCAAAGCGTCCAGCCAATGATTATGTACGGCCGACGACGATAGCCATGTACAGGAAAGCAGTCCGATATGATCCCGATGAAAACCTTGACCGACCATGGAATACCAAGCAACGCGCGAGCTGATGTTGTGGCTTGGCCTTCCATGTTCAGGTAATAGCCTAAGAACGGTGTGACTGCACTCGGTAGTGCTCCCATCATGAGTCCTACCGCGGCATATTGCACAAGCAAACCACAAGATTCGGTCGAGAAGAGTTTTGGAACGTCTCCGTCTCGTAGTGCCCCACCATTGCTAGAACAATGTTCCTCTTGACGAGAAGCAGCAGACGGACAAACTAGCTCTCCAAAGGCATCCTCTTGCGTGATTTTGATGGCGCTCAAGTATGAAATCCTATCCGATGCCTCCGCTTGCTGGAATCGTCCAAACATTGTTCGTCTTCTTGGAAACTGATCCACTCAACGGAAAAAAAATGAAATAATCCGACAGTGTTTTTTTTTCGCTTCATGCTACTGCCAAATGAGATTACGATTGTTGTATGTGCAAGCAAGATAAGGTTTCGTCTCACGTTGAGCAAAACAATCGTGGGCAGTATTCACTTATATGCATGTACATCTGAGTATAATAATGAGGAGAGACCAGACTGTTGTTGAAGTCAAGTGAAATCTCTGGCTCTTTGTCAATATTGCTTCGTTTTTTGCGTGTCAAACATAGCAGTGACGCTAAAAATTATCACTTTTCACGAGTTAATGATGAGTGTATACATGTATACAGACATGCTCAACCTAGTGCAATGATGACCTTACAAATGTCTAAACTACTTGATTACCTCATGACAGCAAGCACTTTTTAGCATACAAGATGGTTAAGATTAGATACCACTCTAAAAGCCAAGAAAGATTAGTTTTACTATTTTAAGCTAATCTCTTCTGGTATTTAGTATCCTAATTAATCAAGTGAACGGACAGTTAGTTATAAGACGTCATCGACCCACGGGATAAAGAAAACCCATTTGTGTCGTCTATTGGGTGCATCAAACACTAGTTAGGGTATAGCTATTTTTTTCTCTTTCGCCTATTATGTTCTCTATATATAATTCAAATAGTCCATTATCATATCTTCCATTTATCCATTGTCATCATGCCACGAGCCTTCAAGTCTGTTTAAGTCCATACTAAATTGAAAGATTTCCGTGCTGCAACTAGAATTATCGACGTTCCTGACATTTCAACTCCATCTGCTTATAATGTAGTGGTTAAGAACTACTTTTTGGGCATTAATGCCACGGATATTAACATCACAGCTGGTGCCTGCCTATACGGGCACATTGCCGCTACCGTTTGGTTGTGGTCTAGAAGCTGCTGGTATTGTATCAGCTATTGGTAAAGAGGTCAATGACATGAAGGTGGGAGATACTTGAGATTATCAGAAGCTTGGAGCCTTTGCAGAATACGTTGAGGTACCCTCTAACAAGCTCATCAAGACCCCAGAATTGTCAGCTGCAGTAGTTTTACCGTGACGGTTTGCGGCATTTCAGGGTCGATTGCATTGGAGCAGGTTGGGGAGATGAAGTCCATTGAGGCGGTGTTTGTATCAGCTGCTGCTGGAGGAACGGGTCAGTACGTCGTGCAGCTTGCAAAACTCGCAGGTAATCACGTGATCGGCACGTGTAGCTCGGATGAAAAGGTGGAAGATTTGAAAAAAATTGGTTGTGACCGTGCAATCAACTATATGAAGGAGGATGTTGATGCTGTGCTGAAGAAGGAGTACCCGAACGGCGTAGACCTTGTGTTTGAGACTGTGAGGGTGACATGTTCAAAGCTGTGACGAAAAATCTGGCTACACACGCACGTGTGATCGTGTTTGGTTATATTTCTGGGTACCACGGTGACAAATCGGCTGATCCGATGCTTGTCAATGATCTGAACTTGACGCTGCTTGTAAATTCAGCCAGTGTACGTGGCTTCTTTTTGCAAAACCATGCCAAGTTGATCCCTTTACATATTGAACGTCTCCTGAAGCTAATGGCGGAGGGAAAGCTGAACCCTGGCATTGACCCGACTGAGTTTCGTGGTCTAGAAAGTATTCCGGACGTGGTTGATTACATGTATGCTCGCAAGAACAGTGGCAAGCTTATCGTTCAATTAAACTAATCCATTACTGAGTATCTGAACGAGGTAGAGTCCAATACGACCTTAAGAAATTAAAACACTTTTGTATGGTTTTGCTTACTGCAAATGTATGACATCCGATTTGTGTAGAAATAAAACCCGTACCTACTCAAATTGGGTCAATCCTGAAAAAATAGATTTCAAAATCTAAATAGCTCTCATTTGTGACTTTGTACCATATTTCCGGTACCTTCCATTTTTTATTTTTTTTAATAATATATATATATTCCTAAAAAATAGTTTCATTATTTCTTAAGCCTATAATTAACGCACGCACGTCCGTCCGCACGTCCGTCCTCGTGTGCTTTGAATCTCGTCTGTGTGAGTCCTCCGTGCGTGTACCGTGTCTCTTAACATCGTTCACTTGTCCGTAATTCTCCCGTATCGTTCCTTCTCTCTTTTCTTACCCCTTTTTTTATAATAAAACATTAAAAACAATGGACGTTTCTCAATACAATGAGCCTCCTGATCTATCAACGACTGACTCGAAAGCTTATCACGAGCAATTAATTGATGGACCTGTAAAGCTTTTTGTAGGTCAAGTACCACGAACAATGGAAGAAAATGATTTACGTCCTGTGCTTGAAGTTTTTGGTCCACTGGAAGATTTAGTCATCATTCGGGACAAAATTACAGGCGCTCATCGTGGTTGTGCGTTTGTTTCGTACTTTACGCACGATGCCGCTGAAAAAGCTGTGCATGAATTGCATAATAAAGTGACATTGCCTCAGAGTATTAATCCATTGCAGGTTCGACCTGCTGAAGGACAGGCAGGTGCGTCTCAGGAGCATAAAATGTTTATTGGGATGATTCCCAAGACAGCCGATGAAGCAGCTATTCGTGAAGTTTTTGAGGTTTTTGGCAGTATTGAAGAAGTGTATATCCTACGCCATCCAGCTACTGGACAAAGTAAAGGGTGTGCGTTTCTAAAATTCAAGGAACGCTCATCAGCACTTGCTGCTATTGAAGAAGTCAATGGAAATGTTACGATGGAGCGTGGAACGTCGCCGCTTGTGGTAAAATTTGCTGACAGTCGTCGACAGCGTCTTCAGCGTGCACGGAACTTGGCTGCAGCAGCAAACGCTTACTGGCCGTTGCCTCCTGGAGCTGGCATGGCTTTTCCGCAATTGCAACAATTGCAGCAGCAGTACATGCAGCAGATGCAGGCTTTTGGAGTACAGGCTGCTGCAGGGCTAAACCCGGTAATAGCTGGTCTTGGTTCGCCTGTTGGAGCTGTTGCCGGTGGTGCGGGAAGTCCTACGAACTCGTTCATGTACTACAACCCGTATGGGTTTGCTGCTGGCGCGGCTGCTCCGTACGGATTCGGCGGAATGCCGAATATCAGCGGTGGTGCTGGCTTTGACATGCAGTCGAGTGGCATGGTTGCTGGATTGGACATGCAAAGCCAGAGTGGGGAAGGAGCAGCCAATGCTTCGCGTACGATTAGCCAACTTGAAGGTCCTACAGGCGCTAATCTGTTCATCTACCACTTGCCGCACGACCTGACGGATGCTGATTTAGCGACTGCATTTGCGCCGTTCGGGTCTGTTATCAGCGCCAAAGTGTATATGGACAAGATTACGGGCGAGAGCAAGGGCTTTGGATTTGTGAGTTATGATAGTGCGGACGCTGCCGATGCGGCTATTGCTAGCATGAACGGGTTCCAGATTGGCACCAAGCGGCTTAAAGTCCAACACAAGCGCATTCATCAGAGAAGCGACTACTTTGGCGGTGACTCGAATAGCAGCCTCGGCGGTCATGACGACGATCTGGCGAGCATTGAGTACCATCAGCAGACTCACCAGGGCATCCATGGTCTGGATGACGGTCTGCACTCGCACAGTGATGATAGCGACGCGACGTCTCTGAGCGAAGCCGCAGAAGTCAACAACGGCGTCGACACGTCACTAGACGAGGCCGTGCAGAACCTGCGCATTGACGCGTAAATCGCGATGATTTTAGCGGTTTGTTTTTGTGACTCGTTAATCATGTCAGTCAGTCGGTCAGTTGGTTGGTGGTGAGTTTTGAGCGTGAAGATGTACAAAATGCCGTGTACAAACAGCGATGCGATACTGGAGGTCAGAAAGAAGCAGTTGAGGCACGAGAACGGAGAAGCTTCTTCGGAAGAAGCTTCATAAGCAAGCACGCAGCAAAAGAAGAAAAGAAAGAAAGAAAAAAGAAGTGCAAAGTAGCGACTCCGGTGAAGCTGCGAGCGAGCTTATGTAAAATCAGTGTGCATTCACTTACGTTACTGTTAAACTACTGAGTGTTGTCTGTCATGCATCGGCACTAGTTTCTACATAATTCTTTACGACCATTTTGCGAGCAAACCAAAGATAGCATATCCAGTTACTAGGGCGATGGATTTCTTCAACATCATTGCAGATTTCTGCGAGTGATCATGTCTATCGTGGCCACCATCGTGACTGTGTCGTGGGAATTCCTGAGGAATGACTTCCATGACCGCCACATAAATGAACGTCCCTGAAGCGAGAGCAACACAGATACCCGCTGCAGCCGAGTCCTCTGACGAGTCAACAGCAATGATCCAGCCCACAGTAATGCCAATGATACTCATGAATGAAAACACAATCATATATAGCATCACATGAGTCACAGGCATGGCACTCTGCACAAGTCCGGAGCCCAGGGCAAAAGCTGCTAGTCCCTTGTGCATGATAATAGCCAGAAACACACCCCATGCTGTCTCAGTCTGTGCTCCAATACCAAGTCCCTCTAGTACTGAGTGGAATGACAGAGCAATAAACAACACCATGGCAACAGCCAACGATCCTGTCTCAGAATCATGTACGACATTTTCATTACGATTGTGTAAGTGATCCAGTTGATTCGTACTTCGAATATTATCCAATCTCTCTTCTTCAAAATTGTCTATATTTTCCAAATATGTGTCATCACTTTCTGGAGTTTTATGAAATTCATCATCATCATCGTCTTCATGCTTGGCTCGAATATACGTATTCGTATTATGATTCTTCCAGTCAGTATCCGACTTTATTTTAACTTGAGCTGCTTGTTCTAAGAGTAAAAGACCCAAGAAACCCAAGGTACAAAACATTTCAGCATATGGAAAATCATAACGTCCTTCATTCACTATAGACCATTTCCGTAATGCTGCATTTTCAATTGCTGAATGCAATAAATGAAAAAAACCACCAGCAAGGAAAACACCACCAGAAAAAGCGTTGAGGATACTTAAAAGAGGAGATTTTGTATGCTTTAATGCAAGCAAGACAGGAATTAAACCACCAATGAGACCCACAAGCCAGATACATAGAATCGACACGAGCTTAAATATTGTAATTTGATCCATGAATGAGTCTGTAGAACTCAACGACATCTTGATCCTATTATAGAGCATATATATGACATAACTTTGTGTTCATTTTACCTAAGAACCTTATTTTAGTAATATATCGATTAATAACCAACACAATCTCGTCTACATCCTTATTATTTTCGCTCAATCACAAGTGATCATTTTCAAACTACCATGACCTGTCTCTCTTTTGATTCGTTCATAATCTACATTAGACCATTTTAATTATTAACAAATAAGATTTCATCTTATATAACTTTGATATCTTCTTGTCATTAGTCAAAAACGCCCCCTCATAGTAAAAAGAAGATAGTATTATACTTATGAGTACATCAATTCTATATGATTACATTGTTATTGGTGGTGGTAGTGGCGGTATGGCCTCAGCCCGTCGAGCTGCTACATATGGTGCAAAGGTTCTTATTGTCGAACGCGGTCGTGAATTTAATGGTATGGGTTTAGGTGGTACATGTGTAAATTATGGATGTGTACCAAAGAAGGTTATGTTTAATACTGCAGCACATGTGGAACATTTGAATCGAAATAAAGATTACTGTATTAATACAGCAATGAAAGAATTTAAATTTGGTGATTTTGATTGGTCCACGATGAAAATAAAGCGTGATGCTTATATTAACCGTCTTAATGGCATTTATGAGAATAATTTGAGCAAAGCTAAGGTCGATTACGTACAAGGTATTGCTAAATTTATGGCCAAGGATACGATTCAGGTGGATTCAAACGTGTATACGGGTAAACACGTGCTAGTTGCGACTGGTGGCGTCCCTATGATTCCAGATTTTCCAGGAAAAGAGTTTGTTATTGATAGTGATGATTTTTTTTCGACTGGAGCAACAACCAAAGAAAGTGGCTGTTGTAGGTGCTGGTTATATTGCTGTGGAAATGGCTGGCATCTTTAACACATTGAAAAGTGAAACAATGCTCTTCTGTCGCCACGACCAAGTACTGCGCAAGTTTGACCCCATTGTACGTGACTTAGTGAATGAAGAAATGGAGAAAGCAGGTGTCACATTTGTGCGCAACATGGGAACTACGCGTGTGGAAAAGCAACACGACGGCAAATTTACGTTTGTCGTGACTATTAACGGAGAGGAGCAAAAGTTTTCAGACTTTGACACGATCTTGTACGCTGTTGGACGCGTACCACGCACCAAGGATCTTGGTCTAGAAGAAATTGGTGTCAAGCTTGCGGAGGGTGGATTCATTCAGGTGGACGCACAGGAAAACACATCGGTGCCTGGAGTGTACGCTATTGGTGACGCAACGGTGACTGGCTGGGAGCTCACGCCAGTAGCTATTGCCGCAGGCCGTCGTCTAGCCGACCGTCTTTTTGGTGGTGAGAAGGATGCGTGTCTTCACTACCATCAGATCCCGACAGTGATCTTCAGCCATCCACCAATTGGCACAATTGGATATACTGAGCCAGAAGCTATTGAGAAGTACGGTGTGGAGAATATCAAGGTGTATTCGAGCAAGTTTGTGAACTTGTTGCACGCAATGGCGGACCCCGAGCACAAGGTTAAGACGGCCATGAAGCTGGTGACTGTGGGTGAGAAGGAGACTGTCGTTGGTGTGCACGTAGCTGGCGATGGAGCGGACGAGATGATCCAGGGCTTTGGTGTAGCGGTCAAGATGAACGCTACAAAGGCGGACTTTGACAACATTGTAGCTATCCATCCTACGGCGTCTGAGGAGCTTGTGACCATGGCACCATGGGGAATGATTAAGGACAAGATTGTGGTGGCGCCAAAACCGGCACGTCCCGCCCCGATGGGCAAGCAATAAGTAAGCGTACAACCAGTTGGACATGTGCATACACGGCCTAGGTAGTTGTAAGACAACTAACATGAACGCAGCCATTGATAAAGACGTCTTGTCTGATGTAAACCACCGAATTGTTGTGACATGCGTTGTTTAGTAAATGAAAATGTAATGTTCCATGTATATTTTGACTAAATACACTAAATCTCTCGAATCAACCCATTTTCTTATTCTTGGATACAAAATATAAATGTCTTCTAACTCGTACTTTACATGGAAAAAGATCTTGAATACATATGTGTAGCCATCTTCAACCTTCTTCTCTTCTCAATTGTCCTATTAACCTTTATCACATTCCCACCTCTTCTTCTCTTTCAAGCAATGTCCATATCTCCTCAAGATCAAGTAGAATATTTGCGTTCACTTCCGTCAATACGTGATGGCTGCCATCGTGTCTTCCTGCTTGCAAAAGAGAATCAAGTACCTCATTTCTCAGTAATGGAGACTAAGATTCCGGCTTTAGCTGACTACGTCATCAACGTCATTCGCCAGTCGTATCCGACTCCAAACGAAAGTAATGTCCCATTCCATTCACGTTGGCGTCACTTTGAGACAGGTGATCCACATCGTGTAAACAAGATGACGTCAACGTGGAACTGCAACCAGCTTGAGAAAGCGCGACGATTGTTAGACTTGGCACTTGTTAGTGTCTTACTGGATGCTGGAGCCGGTCCAACGTGGCAATATAAAGAGCCAGATACTGATAATGTGTATACTCGCAGCGAGGGCTTGGGTATTGCCAGCTTGCACATGTTTTGCAACGGCAACTTTTCGATTGATCCCGTAAACGATCCACATCGAGTAGATGCTCAAGCACTGAATACATTGTCAGATGACGCAATCATCAAAGCGTTTCAAGTGGTAAGTGACTATCTGTTAGTTTTGTATTGTTGTATTGTTGAATTGTTGATAATTCTGATCATTCTGATCATTCTTTTGTGTGCTATTGTGATATTTGAATAGACAGACACAAATCCATTGGTTGGTTGTGCTGGACGAACGGATTTACTCAAGGTGATGAAGATTCTTTTCATCTTGTATATATCTGGATCTTACGCGGTAAGAAAGCACTGATTTGATATGTAATGTGTAGCGTCTCGGCAAGAGCATTACCAATTATCCGGACTTTTTCAAAGGAACGGATGGATCCATTCGACCCGGTAATATGGTGGACTATCTGGCGAAACACCAAAGTGCCAGTGGAGAAATATCCATTACGGAATTGTGGAAAGTTGTGCTGTATGGATTGCAAGATATTTGGCCCGAAAGCCGAACGCGCATTGGAGGACAAAACATGGGTGACGTGTGGGAGTTGTCGTATGTGGATTTGTCTGAACTTTGTTAGCATGTTGTCCACGTTTGAGAATAACACATGTGTCATTTGTGGATTAATGTCGTACCAGTTATTTGCCCGAACATGAAAAAGCGGGCAAATTTGTGAGTTTTCACAAGCTGTCGCAGTGGTTGACGTACTCGCTGATGGAGCCACTTCAGGATGCCGGGTTTATAATTACAGATCTCTACTTGATGACTGGTAAGATTGTGAGCAGTTTGTTTTTACAATGTGTTTATTGTGTGTTCTAATCTATAGCTTTTGGTACTAGGTTTGCCTGAATATCGCAATGGAGGCCTTTTGGTGGACTTTGGTGTGTTAGTACCAAAATCTGCTAACATTCTCACAAGCGAGTTTGATCCAAGCTCTGACGTAATCATCGAGTGGCGAGCTCTTACGGTTGCAATCTTGGACGAGTTGCATAAAGTGATTTTGAAACGTCTTAACTTTTCTACCGACTTGTTTCCACTTGTAAAGGTATTGCAGCTCATTCATTCTTGTGTTATCATGTCAAGATGTCGAAAATATTAACCTTTCTATCAAATGCTTGATGCGAAACAACTAGATGCTGGAAGGAGGAACCTGGAAAGCTGGACGAATGATTGCAAAAGAAAAACGTAGTGACGGTGGACCTCCCATCAAGATTAAAAGCGATGGCACTGTCTTTTAGGCTGCATTGTTTCGATCGGATTGAATCTGCAAAATGTGTTCGGTGTCGTATTGAATGATGATACTTCCGACGACTGATAGTGCTGTGTGTTGGCTTGAAGGGAATCAAACATTTCCACTCTGCATAATAGTTTGATAATTGCTTGAGTACAAAGCAAATTTGGTGCTAAGTCATACAATGCCTCAGATCTTGGAATAGCACCTTATAAACAATATTACAGTGTCCTGCCGGATCAAAAGAAGGACCAAATCACAAAACACAAATATTGAGCATTCTTCTTAATGTCTTTCAAATAGTTTTCATACCCTCTAATAACCGATCGTCTCCATCACACTCTTCATATGCGGTGGATATAGCTTGGACACGATCATTTGGCGATAGAGTACATCCGACTGTTGACGCGCATGCTCAAGCACTTTCTCTTGCTCGGGACTACCAGTCTCAAGTGTCTTATTCTTGCGAAAATCTTCCTTGATGCGACGTAGAGCGTAGCTGCGAAAATTATAGTTCTGTACAGTTAAAGAGCAGTAAAATACAAGCACGTAAGTAAACTATTACAATTGAGGTAATGGAGTAAAAAGCGCATGGAGACGAACGAAAATAGATAATGAAGGTACGAGATGAACAAGAGCATGATACGTACCTCAAAATTAGCGGCATTACGCAGCATCTGACGGTACAAATGGAGCACGGATGACGACGACATGCTTATCGAGAAGTTTGATAATGTTTTCTGTGGTAAATGAGGCTTTAGGGAGCAAGCAACTTTATAATGGTGCTAGTAAACAGAAGTTGCTGTAAGGATGTTAGAAAAGCAGTAATCTAATTATAGATCATTTCTAAATCTACCTGTGAAATCACATTTTCAATACTTTTTTACTTTCGCAGGTAACCGAGTCCTACCGGTTCTAGCTACATACACTCTTGCTATCCTCTATTTCATCTAACCTTCAAACTTAATAGTCAAGAGCTTCAACTTCTCGATGCAGTGAGCTAATCCTACTTTTTACGTATAAACCCTTAATAACCAGTCAGAATTAGGTAAAAATAGTCTTATCATCATGCAATTTGTTGGTAGCAAATCGGTGGTAATATTGACTAACAACATGGCTACATACCTCATTTACTCCATTGACCACGTACTAGGCACATTTTGACTCGATTGACGTCCAAGTACTTCATATTCTTGTCCTTGTTGCTGTTGTTTCTCAATACATTCCATTGCAATCGCACGAGCTTCTTTCTTTCGTGTTAAACGAATTGCAAAACACGAGGTAATTCCAAGTGCAAATAACAACGAGCCAATACATGCTGCTAGAGCAATAGGAGGACCAAACGATGCAACGTGTAATCTGCTTGGAACAATACAACGTGGTCCTGTCCATGTCTTGCTCAAACATTCACAGCGCTGTTTCCTGCATCTTCCAGTCAATACAAAAGCTTGACGGCTCTCTTCATGACGATCAACAACTCTTGTTTCGACAGTACAATCCTCATCAGTCCGACAAAAGGCTTTCCCATGCACCTCGACAAACTGATTCTCGTCATCTTGATACTCATCAACATGATCCAGAATCCACTCATATGTGGGATGTGATGGTGGATCACACCCTATGCTCATCACCGACTCGAGTGATACATCTTGATACACACGAACATAATCAATCTTCAAGTGCATTGGAAATGAGTCACAAATTTTGTTTGCCACAGGATTGAGTCCGTCACCACGGCACGGTTGTTTTGGATTTGGTGGTTGCGCACCCCACTTGCTCGACATGGCAACGTTGAAAATGATATACAATGGTTCCTCAATCATGATCTTGCTTGGATTCGTGATACGCGCTCCTTGTGGAGGGTTCGTCACTGCTTGGGCTGGAATCTCGTACAATACATCTCCTGATAACATCCACCGAACATAACCATTCGAGCCTGGAACCCACTCCACTTGATACGTCACAAATTCGGTGTACGCTGCCATATGTACGGGCCAATTTGCAGAGAGCGCATCTATTTGAAAAGCAAACGTCGACTCGTCTTCCGGCAAGACTGGTGCATCCTTCGGTGAGTCACAGTTTGGATCTGAATTTCCAGCGCTACAAATAAACTCGCCCATGTACGAATTCATGGCTGAGAAACACGTGCCATTCGAGTTAATGCCCCAACGATCGTTGCTTTTGGCGTCCATGAACCCTAAATCCGAGTTAATATCCAAAGACGCAGGGCATGTCGTGATCGAGCACACATTATCTTCAGTTCCAGCTTCTACAGCTGCTTTCACGGTGATGTAACTCTGTATTTCACTGGCATTTCGCTCACAAAAATTGTTTGCTGCATACCGCAAATGCTGATACCATGACTCATGTCCACGTGATTCGGCGTACACGCTCTGCGGTATGCCGGGAATGTTGGCACCTATAGTCTTGCATGAACTGGAGTATATGCACAGGCTATTTTCGTTGACTGGTGCGATGACTCGAAAGTCCGGCGGCATACCAGGTCCTACTTGAATCGATGCTGAAATTGTTGTACCACCACCTTCGACAATATCGATCTCAGGTGCACCGCGACCTTGGTGAGGATTCATTCCAGACCCTGGGTTTCCATCACATGCATTGATTCGCTGGTTGTTTGGCTTGAACGTGTCAGGATCACACGCATCGTAAGAAAATGGCCACATTCTATTTGTTGAGCCGGTGAAGATTGCACGACCTAGGTTTCCCATCATCCAAATCCCAGGCCAAGTTGGGTAGTATTTGAGTGTCTTAGCTCGAGCACTTGAGTCCAAATTGACGTCAGGATTACCAGAGGACTCGGACAGAGCTCCTGGAAGTTGTGCTCGAACCTCAACCATCCCACCTTGCATGCAAAACTTATTCCAAGACTGGACCATGCCTCCGCGATAAAACTACAATACAAACACCGTCACAAGAATTGTTACGTGTGAAGAAGGTTTGCAAGTTCATGGCAAAATACGACAAAAACACTTACGAAGGTGACATCTTCCAGACCCGGTGTGCTCAGAAAGCTGTTCCACACCTGCAGCTGAATGATGGAGTCTTCCAGCTCAATTTGAAAGCTGCAAACGCCGTTGGTTTCATCACACAACGTTGTAGTTTTATTGTGAGCATACACTTCCATTGCTGCGTTCACACCGTCGGGTTTCTCAATCGATGTCCATATATGGTCATCTCCAGGCCGAAACGATCTTCCAGGTGTGTTAAACTCGTCACTCATAACAAGCTTCCACGTTTCGCCGCGTGATGTCTCCCACGTGTACTTTTCAAGGGGTGTTTCGGGATCAACCCACATCTTCAGATGAGATTGTGTCGTCACCTGATTATCATTTCGACGATTCGTTCGCACTGGTAAGCAACAAGGGACCATGGCACTCCAGACAACACCATGTGATAGTCTCATCTTTCTCACGGTGAAAACTGAATGCCTTTTCTCGAGAACCGGGCGAGAACTTGGGACGTGGACCATTTAACGGCTTCAAGGTATTTCCGAAAAGAACAAACGAGATCGTTCGCACGTGGATTCTCGTAAGAATACAACCGGAGGCATGATGGCTCATGGTTGATGCTGGATGGTTCTTGGTTGCTGCTCGATGAGATTTGACACGCGCTGAATTGAAACTTGTGATTGATGGCACTGGAGAGATATTGGGAATTCTTACACGAGATCAGAATTGGGTCACTCACTCACTTATGTTTTCCCATTTTCTATTGTCCTTTTATCCCATTCTGTCCTCTCTATAAGTTATACCTTTCATCTCTCTCTCTCTCATTAGTAATAATTATTACGAATATATTGGTCCGAAGTACGTCGATTCCGTGCAACTTCATTCGCCACTTGATGATTTGCATATAATGCTTGCAATGCTTTCATCCGTTTCATATTTAAGTACAATGGTCTTCCACGACGTACGTTAATATCTTCTTCACCAAACATATCGAGATACGGTGACCCAAAGTACGAACTTCGTGGCCCAAAAATCAATAGAACAGATGAGGATCGAATGAGAAAGAATAAACCAACTCCAGCACCACACGTCAGCGCATGAGACGTACACGCACCCATTCCATCTTCACGTCGTCGACAACATTCAGTTCCAGCACACAAGACTTGTTCACATACGAGACAAATTGCTGGATTCTCGACACTCTTCCACGTCTCTTTACATTTGCTTTTCCCCAATACTTGAGCATGTAAATCCGTGTAGGAAGACGCTAATTTCACAAGTCGAACATTCGCAACATGAAACAACCTCTTCTTGTCTTCTTGTGCGGCATCTGGTTCCACACGTAGTGGAAGACGTGGAACTTGTTGTAAATTACTGCGAGCAATGAGATTTCCACGTTCCGATCGAGGTTTTTCATCCGTCTCCTCTTGACTTGAGATGAGAGACTCAAGCTTTGCAAGAAGTGGCTCAGCGTGACCGTGCTGCTTGTAACCAAGAAGTAATGCTTCATCAAGTGCAGCACTTGTCGGACGAACACGAAGTTCACGTGCAGCACGTACGAGATATTCCACCAGAGCTTCATCCGTCAACAACTGACTAATTGTTGGTAAACCAATTTGTTGGCACATGGCGTGGTAATTTGTACTAAGACGAAGAGAACTCACAAAGTTAGCACTCCACGATGCATCAGGGTCGTGTTCGCCTCGAAAAAAAGCACGGCACAACAGTGTCACCTGCCGCATAAATGCCAAGCACGATGACTTGAAAAGAAGCTCGAGCTGTCGGCCATGTGGAGCTGGACGTCGGTGAGGAAGATCAATGGTACTACCTCCTGCTCCCTCTTGCTCTTTCCAAACAAAATCCACACCAGCCTCTTGTGCAAGACGTACCATGAGCGACTCCAGCCCACGTTGCATATCTTCCTGTTGCTCTGGGAATGAGCCGTTGGTCACGGCAGCACATCGTCCTTCTGTTTCGTTCTCTTTTTCTTCAAGGCAATTGTCCTCATCTTCAGCTTCCATTTGTGCTATCTGAATGAGCACTTGAGCCATGTGCAAGACGCAGAGAGAACGAATCGTAAGCAAGATATCAGCCTTCGTCGTCAACATGCTGCTGCAAATTGCTACACTGAGGTAGAACAAATCCTGACACAGAATGGGCAAGCCTAGCTGCAGCGGTGGTCCTCGTGGTAGCGCTTGTGACCACTGGTCCGGCGAAAGCGCAAGTCGAAGATTTTGTGCGATAGGAAAGCACATACTTTTGTAAAATTCTCCACGATGCTTAGTGAATAGCAACGGAACGCGGCGCAGTGAACGAAGCAATATATTCAGCTTGCTGTCATCCTTCGGTGTACACTGATCTAGCTGTGGGTCCAGCGCTTCGGGTAATGACACTGCTAGACGTGTTTTCAGACATGGCACAGCTGGATTCAAGATGTTCGTGATCCGCAACGAAGAAAACGAAGAAGCAGGCGCTACAGGACTGGCACCTGTACTCGTTTTTCGAGTAGCGGAATTTGATCGCCAACTAACTCCATTGTGTCCGTTCTTCGACGACGATGCATGCATTTCGAGCGAGTAAATTGCAGAAGATATGCCGCTTACTTGAGTGCTTGTTATTGTAGAAGCTACTGAAGACCAAATCAAGTGCGTCAACTGCGGTCCCGTTGAGAAGAATCCTTTCTTGAGAGAACTCAATGCAGTTCCCAGATGCGTCAATTCTGGTTGAAAGCGCAGCATTGTTTCGAGAAATGACAAAGCAAATTGGTTCATAGCACGAATGTCATCCTGCCGCTGCATCCGGGTCCTTTCGTCTGCATCATCATCACTCATACTTTCGTCTTCAGATGATGCAAGAAATTCTAGTCGACTTGGTAGCCCCTCTGACAGCCACGACAGAATAATGGATGTATCTTGCTTAGACTGAAATACTCGTTCCATAGCGTCACGATCGTGCTGCTGTTCTACTAACGTCATAGGTGGGCAAACTGGAAAGCATGGTACGAGCATGGAACTGAGCGCTTGACAAAGTGGGCAGAGGAATTCACCAAAGTGCGCATCAAATGCGATGTTCGTTTGACTGTGCTCGAGATTAAATCGAGACTGTGTCTTTACCGACTCGAAGTATTTCTGCCAACAATGCAGATGCACGGCGTGACCACATAGTGATAAATGAATTTGGGGCGGGAAATCCGGGGCAAGAGATGTTGTAGTCCCACTGCTGCCACATGTCTTGTTTTCATCACTCAGGGCAGTCTCGACATCGCCAAGAAGATTCTCTTGAGTGTGCTTAATGACTCGACTCATTTGTGCGTGACCAATGTACATGATTGGCTCATCTCTCTCTTTCTGAGAGCAGATAATACAATCTGGCGGTGGTGGTGGTCGATACACGATCGTATGACCAGGCATCACGCACTGAGGGTCGTCCGCATCGATGCTAAGCTTCCCACTCGATCCAGGTCCCCCTGACTCACCATCGTCCTGATTGTCATCATCCAAATCAGCAAAAGCGTTTGACTGCGCAAAAGCCTTTTGGCATGCCATCATCGCGGCGATAGCACGCTGTTGGTGAAGCTTCTTGAGCTGCGCCTTCGACATACCATTCTCAGTTGCTAATTCTTCGTGCTTTTTCATTCCACTCCAAACCTTGAGCTCAACATAGGCATGAATGATGCGGTCTAGTGTAGCCAGCTCGTTCAAGATCCAGTAGATAGCCGAGATTGTTGATTTCGAAGTTTCAAAATCGTGCTTTACCATATCCTTTGAAAGCGTCACAAGCAATGCAACTATACTCAGATCGTTTACCTCGCCCAAATCACTTTGATCGCTATCACTATTCATTTGGACATCTCCATCGTCTGGAGATATCGACTGCCGCTTCACACGCTTTTTGCCACGAGAAGTTGTGTCGGCTTCTTCAAACGTATCTGGGCCGCTGCGCAGCAATACTAACGTTTGCCGTCTCTTATCGTCAGACACGACAGCTTCAATTTTGTGCGGTAAAGTGGCACTGCCAGCACCGCATTTCAATACAAGCACTACCAAATTAACCAGATGAATACCACGCATAACGACCATCATATTAGTTTTCTTGACTCCAGGCGTACAACTCATGCCATCACAGTGGCCAACAGCGTGACAATTTGCATCCTCTAGGATGAGCCGCAAAACACCTAGCAATCCCTTCTCCAGCACAAGGAATCGCACCATGCCTAAGGACAGATGAGGAAGTGGAACTTCCGCCACCAGCGGAATAGGTGGATTCTCAACCTTCCACGTCTTGAACAAAGCCTCCTGTCGCGCAAATTGTGCCTTCTCGTGGCTGGAACGGCTCAAGTGATAGAAGGACGGATCATACTCCTTGAAGTACGCCTTCTTCAAAATGTACTTAACAGGCTCCATTGCTCCGTCTCCCATACTATCTGCATCGCGACCTCCGTCACCAAGAGGAGCAACCATAACAGAACGCTTGACCTGCTCGTCAGCCACTTCGTCCAAAATCCGCTCAAGCCGAGCTAAATGCTGCTTTTCTTGGCGAGCAGAAATACCACCAAAAGGTGTCGAAGCAACAAACGTGGTCTGATCGAGCAATTCTGATAGTCGGCAAGGGTGTTGGCTTAGTCGATGGATAATCTCACGACGAAGTACCGTGTCTCGTTGTTCGATCGCATCTAATGGCGGCGTGAGCTCGGTTACAATCCAGATAAGCTGCAAAAGAGCAGCTTCTAACAAACACACATGCTTTTCGTCTTCCGAGCCACTGGAAGGAGCACCACGAGCCGAGATACCGGAACATTCATCATTTGCAGTGCGAACATTAGACCATGCGAGAAGCCACTCAGAAAGGCCAAAACGATCGAAAAATATCGTTAGAAACTTTGGAAAGCCCACGACCGCTGCGCTCACTTGTACAAGAAAGAGGTCCAAATCTCGCAACTCACTGCACCACGGTGGACTGGTATAATTGAGCATTTGGCGTTGCATGTTCTGGCCATTGCGAATCCACAGCCCACAGCTAATTTGTGCACAGAGCACCATGGAGCGCAGTGGATATTCCATCATTCCATATATTAGCATTGCTTTCTTGTGTTCCACATCATCATCAACTTGCTCCTGCTCCTCAGTCTGCAGCACCTTGGCCATAGACCGGTCTAGAAGTGTGGCCCAGTCTGTAATCCATGGAACTGCACTACCAGGAGATGATGGTGGACCGTAGTAGAGACTCTCGATCAAAAAGCTGCTCAACAGACCGTGCAGTGGATTGTGAAAAGATACTGGCTCTGTTGACACGTCATACTTGACAATTTTTTCGGTACAAGGCGACCCCATCAACTTACCACACGGCGGAACATACAGTTGCAACCGAGTTGTACCCAAACCGGTTCGATCCAGCTGGCACCAAAACCCTTCCAGCATATTCCACACCATGCGCTCGCAGTCTTGGTTGCGCGTTTCCGTATCTGCAGCCTCGTGATAGCGAAGGCCTTTCGAAATGAGCGTGAGAATTTTGCTGATGTTAGCATGAAAAGCAAACGCCGTGAGCCATGACTGGGTTTCGTACGTCACGTGCGCACGACCATCCTGTATACGTAGTTGAGGATCCAAGCCCTGAATTTGGGCAAGAGCATTGAACCACTTTTCTAATAGATCAGACCGAAGAAGTAGAGAGCTTGACATCGCCGGGATACCCAATACGTAGCCCAAATTTTCAACCACAAAATGATACCGCTTAAATTTGAGCAGTGGATGATCACAGTCAAGGGTTTGGTAAACATCCTGATGTTGTGGCAATAGCGTCGGCGCGCGCGCCATCTCAAGGGCTGTATTGATAGTATCCAGGAGCATATCTAACAAACCCATGCTTGCCAAATGATGCACAATAGAGGGTGTTGTAAGAATTTGTACACCGTACTGAAAGAGTGATTCTTCACGCGTACCAACACCACAAAAGTATTTGACCATCATACGATTATATACTTTCAGGAAAACGATAGAAAACTGCAGCTTTGGATCTTTATCTCCCTGTAGTTTCAAATACAATTCATACAACTCCAAGACAATATCCTTACGAAAGTACGGGTCTGAGAGAAACATGACCTGGATCGGCTCTTTACTCGAGTCATTTCTCGCAAACAACTTGTCACAAAAGAGCACATGTAGTTGCTTCGAAAGCGCGCAAATTGTTTTCACCCATTGCGTCACACGCAACAGTACATCTTCATCATGAATAAACGTGTCCTGCACGACACACACGTGCCACCCTTCACACTTTAGCGCCTGCATGAGCGTCAGCGCATCACGTAGTGTCAGATTCCGAGCTACAATCTCTGATCCGTTCGAGTCAATCGCACGCACAAGTTCTTCTGCTCTTGGAATTCTTTTCTGTGACAACGACCGAATCAAATCTTCGTCCGAATGAACATCATCATTGCAGATTCGCACATGAAATTGTCGTTCAATGATCTGTCCTTGCTCCAGACTATACCCTCGCTCCTGTAAATTCAATCGCAATGCATGCAACATCTGGCGTCCTTGTGCATCCACAATTTCTGCATCAAACACTTGCATGGATTTCTTGGCCATTTCAACACAAAACTGTACAATGGTCGTAAATAAGACGTCGGCCATCTTGTATAATTTCTTGAGGCAAGGATCGTATACGATTCTTCTTGATAGCTGTAGCTGTATCGGACATTTCCTCATTTTCTGTTTCCTCCTCCTCTCTCTGTCCATGATAGATACAAAATCCTTCTGGTGCCCATGCTTCACAATCTCCACAATCACACACTCCACCTGGACTTGTTCGATGAAAAAAAAACCTCATGACCTTGATGATTTCCATTTTGAAAGCATTTGAGACACAAGACACACGTTTCATCCGATTGACACGTTTTACAGTTAAAAACAATGTCATTGCGTTGAAAAATGTAGCCACATAGCACTTGCGCCGTGGTTTTGGATTGATACGTGAGGAAAAAATGCTCGCGTGGGATTGGTGGAAATACATCACGCGAAGAGTTAAATGTAGCCATGTCAGGATGTGAATTATCTTGAATCAGTACATGATCAATAGGCGCCAATAGAATTGTATCAAGAAATTCGCCAATGGACTCGAGAGGTACTGAATTACTGGTTTTCTCGTCTCCGAGAGCTGGAAAATGACGCAAATTCGACAGAAAACTCGGCATAATCTCGTGACATATTGTCTCCACGCTCTGTGCCCGTAAATAACGTCGTAATGCTGTTGGTTCGGTACGAAATGGCAGCGTCGACATGATCCAGTTTTTAAACAGCGATTAAACGTGATCTAGAGCGAGGAACGAGATAATAAAAGAGCCACAAGAGAGACGAGATAACGTAGAACACGATGAATGTCTTGTGCGAGTCTGGGAAGAAGGAGAAAGCGAGATATGGCGCGTACAATGAGACAAGAGCTCGCGTGACGAGTGGCAAATGTGAGAATGGTGGGAAGAGGCGAAGTAGAGCAAGGGATTAATGTGGACGACATGAAATTCGACTAGACTAGGAATCGCAAATGCCAGGAATGTTCGGTCAAATAGAAACGATAGAAAAAGCGCCGGGTGAAGAAATTGCTTGTTTTGAAAACGTGCTTTTTTCAATCACTGCTTTTTATTGGCAAATTGGGTTTTGCTAAGTATACAAATTTGTGTCAGTATGTATGTATGTACTTGCTCTCTACTCGTATGTATTCAGCAGCCTAAAGAGCATGACTTATTCTACAACTAGAAACAATAGACAATCCAAATCGCGATAGATAGAAAACCCCTCAGTAGTAATAAAAACCTTTTAACTATAAACATGAGCAATCACTTGATGTGGCCACGTTGTACGTACAAGCTCAGCAAATGGTGGACCTTGTAACTTGGCAACTCGAATGGATTGCAATTGTTTTCGTCTTCGACCTTTTCCAATCACTTTTGACTCAATTGTTTCATCAAGTAAAAGAAGATCCTGACGCAGTGAATAATTCGGATCATCCAGTAATTCATTACTTCCACGAAAGAGAAGCTGAACTTGACAACTATTCAATTCCTTACGTCTCCATAGTCGTAAATCAAAGACAAGACCACTAAAACCAAACCATCCAGTAAAATGAGGCTCTGGTTTTGCTGGAGAGAGACCACTGATACAACCTGAACCAACATTAACATGATGTAATTTTGTCCAGTCTCCAAGTAAAGCACCATTGTCGGAAAGACGTTGCTCGCCATTCAAATAGACCGTCAAGAGTTTATCGGGCTGGTCATTTCGAGTCTCCAAGCCAGCATCACCACCATATGTGACCACAAGATGATACCAATGATTAGGTGACAGTTCACGTGCGATGCAAATCGGTGTTGGACGATTGAGGAACGAACACCAGAGATTACCTGCAGGGTCCACAGAAATCAATTGCTGATGGACGTAAGGCCAACCACTAGCATCACTTGTTTCCTGAAATGGTAAATCTTGAGCTCCAAGTAAAGTACCACCCATAAACGTATCACTTAGCTTAGCAAGCGAAAACCACATTTCAAGCGAGAAGGGATCGGCAGCGTTGCCAACTTCAGTTTTAAAGTTGGCATCTTCACCGCTAGTAGTAAGCATGTGACTCAATGATTCCGGCAACGGCAGTGCCGAGCCACGGTCACGCCAGCGCGGATCCATCGATAGTCCGCGGAAACGAAAGGATTCCGTAAGCAACTGTGGATCACGCTTGAACGACACTTCGAGAGGTCGAGGTGAACTCTGAACGATGGCACCGATTTGAAGACGGTCCAGACCACTCACGCCCTGGCCATTAATCGCAACGATAATATCGCCACGCTCAACACGCCCAGAGGCCTCAATCTCTCCAGCCGCGCCCGACTCGGTTCGCAAAAACTTACTTACTACCACACGGTTTCCAATCGAGTTAATCTTTACCCCCAGCCACTTTTGTCGAAGTTCCACGACTGCTATGGTAGAGGTTGGTGACTCAGGCTCAGCTTGCTGCGATGATTCTGAAAGCTTAGCCATAGGCTTTACCGTTGAGTTTTTGACTGGTGGGTTCACAATTGGGCCACTTTGCACCCTGACAAGTTCTGGCACACTAAATGCGTTGTTTGGAGGAGTAATGAAAGAAGGAGCCGCCGCTCGTAGATAATCTGCACTGGAGCATCGATGTAATGGCAACGCAGTCATTGAAGAAGCATCTTGAAAGTTTTTATCATCACCATCGCGCTCGCGCTCCTCTTCAGCTAGAGCCTGGAGTTCCTCCACAACGGTATTAATTTCAGGTCTTGCAGCCTGATCAGGATCACACATGGCCTCAACTAGTGACCACACATTTTCTTCTACACCGACAGGAGGAGAAGGCATGTTACCAGCCAGTACTTGCTCACGAACTTCCTCATCAGCCATGAATCCCCAAGGCAGCTCTTCTGAAAGTGCCTCCAACAGTGTCATTCCAAACGCATAGATATCCGAGGCCAAGTCAGCCTTTGGGTCATCTCTCACCAACTCCGGTGCTTGCCATCTGAGTGATCCTGAACAGCGAGTGAAGGGTGCATAAAGCTCAGGCTCCGACGTGTTACGCGATAGAGAAAACGAGCGAAGGTTTGAAAGTCTAGCTTGACCGTCATCTCCAACCAAAATATTCGCACAACAGAGATCACCGTGAATCAATGACGCCTCATGCAGACTCTGGAGTCCCATAGCAGCTTGAGCAAGTAGACGAAATAATTGACGTCGGTGGTCAACAGACAAGTTCAAGTAGTCTTCAAGTGATGTCACCATTGGTGATCCAGTATCAGGGGTTGCCCATGGACTCACAAATGCCACAAATGGTTGTGACCCAAAAGTTGATGCTCCTGCTAGTTGCAGCACATGTGGATGACAGACAACATCACGTAGTAATTCAGTCTCGTGTCGTATAGCTTCAACTGCTTGCAATAGTGCCGCCTCGGACTTGACATTCGCTCCATTTCCAGTCACAAACTGTTTAATCAAAAGTTGTTGGACACCACTTTTCCTCTGTCCACGACTTCGCATCCAACTAGCACTTGTAATTTGACATTGCGGTCCTCCACGAAAGCGCGTATTTGGATGTAAAGCAACTTCAGCAGGTGATAGGAACCAGGATGGTAAAACAGGCACTTGAACGCCGCAAACTCGTACTAATCGACGAAATAAAATTCGTAACGATTCTTCATGATCCGGAAATAACTCTGTTCCATCAAGTTTTGATTCCTCGACGGTATCTTCCTGACTCTCATAGCTTTGTGAAAAGACAACAACGTTCTTATCTTTCTTTCTCTTCTTCGTCCGTCTTGTAACAACATCTTGGACTTGTTTAAACGCAAATTTCACGACTGCTGCCATTTCTTCTTGTTCATGAAGGATACAAAAATTTGCTGCTTGATCAATTTGTTCCTGTGCTGCAAGTTGTAATTGATGTTCAATCCGTTCTAATTCTTCTTCCCATTCCTGTGCCCAGGAAGGATTTGGATCAATATGTTGCGCATGAAACGCATGAAAGATTGTATCCACTAACACATGTAACAAACGTAATTCACGAACTGGTGAAGGAGCAACTGCTAGACGAAAGACGGCACTGTCTGTCGCTCCTAAACTCTCTAATAAATGAGTAAAACGTGAGAAAGCAGCATCAATTTCCACTGACCAATGTGATTTCTCAGTTTCTAAGGATTTCACGTGATCCGTGGAAATGGCTGAAGTGTCTGGATGAAAATGATTTGTATAGCCACAGATTGCAACAAGACGTCCTAGTAATGTCTCACATAATGGTCGTAATTCCCAAGAATGTTCACATAAGGTCTGGATTGGTAGTAAATGTGGTTCCATTCTTTTCCTAGTAGTAGTGCAACTTAATGATAGACAATGTCACTCAGTGTGTTTGATGGAGGAAATTCAAGAATGACAAGAAACAGTCGGAGAGAGGGGGATCGAAGAGGAGAGATTACAGTAGGAATATAAAAAGATAGAGGATATTAAAAAGAAAGACACAATCGGGTCGTACGAAAGTGGGATGATCGTGATTACGATGGACACTACTGGACTTGCGTAGGTAATGTGACTGTTAAAAGAGTGTTTGACATGGTGTAGGAAATGGAAGATACCGGTATATCGATATCTCGTCACCAAACGACATATTGTGACGAATCTTAATGCTGGTAAATCCTACACATAAAAAAGCCATGAGCTTCGTTTGTAATGGACTGAACACGGACTTGTCACGAAATAACAGTCACACATCAAGTCAAAACCTACGCGACATCATATAGTGCCACTCATCCATACACTCACATTCGGTCATTCAAGACAGAGCAATCATTGCTAGTAAGTGATGCGAGTGCACACCTTTAATCTGACCTTTTTGTTGCAATGATAACCTTCACCCTCAAAGTTTACGTACTTGACAAGCACGTCTTCCTCAGTCTCTGCTCATCAAATCCCATACTTGTAGTCACCGGAAAACCCACTCTCGTCGTCGTCCTCACAAACATTAAGCGCATCAATCTCTGCCATCACATTGCGTAGACCATCAAGCGATGAAGCCGCCACGTCAATGCGACGAGCAACCAAACTTGGAGCACAGGAGAAAAATGCTGGGCTGTCGGTATTGTGCACATCGTTTTCTTGACGCACTGTCACCATCGTTGCTGCGTGCCGTAGTTTGTCGCAGAGCGCAAGCGAATGTACGTGACTCCAATCAAGGTGACTTGAAACCTCAACCGATGCACGCACGAACGATGCACCAGGTGTTCCATCAACCTCCGCTTTAATAAGCGCGACAAGGACTTGAAAATGGTCGGTTGGATCCAAGGGGCTTGTCTTCTTCAAGCCTTCCCCAACACAGCGATATGAAGCCATCACGACCGCACAGTCTCGCACTATCTTTTCCATCGCTTGAATCCACACCGTTTGTGCATCTTCGTTGCCTTGAAGCGCTTGAAGCGAGGTCCCAAATGCAGCAGCCCACTCGTCCGAGTTTAACTTTGATAATTGAGTCAACATCCGGTACAGCGTGAAGATAATGTGGCCTGACATGACGTCCGCTGCCGTCGGCATTGCATCCACTCCACCAAATGAATCGTTGGAACTGAAGCACTGCAGAATCAACCGCTCACTAGTGAGATTGATCAAAGAAGACAACTGACACTTGCTCGGCAAAAAACAACTACATCGACTCAACAAAATCGCGCGAAGAAGTGCAGTTAGTACACTATACGATTCGATATCAAAAAGCGCGCGGCTCATCCGTGATTGGAGCTCGCAGAACTCTAATTGTGCGACGGTGTTGGTGTCAACTCCACTTCCACATTCCATCGACCGAATTGTCATTCGCACGCAGAATGCTGGTGTGTGGCTCGATGCAGTACATAGACTGAAGTAGAGTAGACCTGGAAAGTTTGAGCCGCCAACAGCATGACGGACTCTTTGGTCACAGTTAAGTTCGTTCAATAATTTCATTCGAAGCGTCGACACCTCGCTAAGGGATGTTCCATCTGGCAGCACCAAGCATAAATCAACGACACTTGAGGATAATCCAGGCACAGTCATATCGATACGTTGCAGTGAATGGTTGGCTTTAACCTCCAGAACTCGGGCCCAAGCATCGCCAACGGTGTTAATGCCATGAAAAATCACGCTTCGCGTTTGCTCTTCGACGTTGATGCTTAGTAGATCCAGCGACGAGAGGAGTGTTGAGCTTGGAGGTTTCAGCGCAGTATTATAGTGCGTCGCACCGCTTCCAAATCCAACATCGGTACGGAAAACACTCACAGCAGCATCTTGGAAGTGATTCATCTCGCATAGAGGCCATCTCATGGATTCTTCTACGGTTGTCAGCATCGTGAGCTTCTTCGTCGGCCCCAAATGAGCTACTTCCAGATAATTGTTTATCACCTCTTCAAAACCTTCGAACGAAAAGGGATGAGGAATCACTACTACGTCGTCAAAAATGTGAGCTGACGCGAAACGATACTGAGCTTGTACTTTACTCAGCAACGCAGAAATTGACACCCAAGGAGAAGCCTGAGTTTTTTGTAAGCAAAGTATACGGCGTACCTTGTGCTCAAAGCCCATTTGGTGCAGAATCTGAGCCCTCTTCAGAAGCTTTGTCGTAGCCTCTTCAGCATCATCGGCGAGGTCGCATTCTCTCACGTACATAATAAACAATTCGGAGCTGGTAGGAGTATTTGTTTTTGCTCCCACACCGCTATCATTAGGGGGACGAAAATGATTAATGTCTTCAGGCGCTGTATCTACAGCAAATGGCGACGTTGTTACATTCACTTGCTGGTTTTGAATGTAAAAAGCAGCGCCAACACGAGCTGTTAAATCGATGGGCGGATTAATGACAGTTCGTTTCGCAGTCGAACTAGTCAAGAGATCGTTGGAGTACGTCGGACGCACGCCACCCTTGGTCGACAACGTAATATGCGGTATCTTGTTTTTCACTTGCAAAGGCAGTTGCTCATCCAGCTCGACCCAAAGTGCTTGACCACGTTCGTCTTGTACGACTTCAACGCCACGAACAGTGTATGGTGCACCAAGTTCAGCGAACCTAGCGTATTGTTTGTTGGGCCGGTAGAACAACGTTACGTGGTCGGCAAATTTGTTTGCATGGACTGGGGGAAGCCGCGCCGTCAGCTGCTCCTGCACAACGGCATCTAGGAACAGACCCAGGTAGGTAAAGCCTTCTACATCATCATCGGAAAGTGGATTTACAAAAAGTGTAGGATGCTCAAATTGAGGAGCAAAGCAATGAGCGCGTTGGTCCTTTTCCCATCGCTGAAACATACTGATTACTTTATCAGAAGGCACGCCGTGAGAATTGCGTTGGCTCATCCGAAATGCCGTCAAAACGTCTGGACACTTCATTTCAATGATATGAACACGACAACCTTGAATCTTCGCAATGTCTTCGTACGCTTCATATTCCCATCTCTGCGTATTGGAATTGTCAACCAAAACAACGTGCTGTTGAAGACAGCCGTCTTCGCTGCTACGTGAAAGTTCTTTTTCAACAGCACCCGTAAAGTCTGCCTTGCACTTGCTGTGGGCGGCACCTATCTTCCTGACATCATAGAGATATCCTCGCTGCGTTTCAAAGAAGGAATCAGCCGAGCATGTTGTTAACATCACTTTCTTGTGGCTACAAATCGCCTGGATTTCGCGTCGAATCGTAGTCTTTCCACTTCCAGGAATTCCTCGCAAAATAATCACCACAGCTTTTTCAGAATCAGCACTGCTACTCAATATTCCGTCCATATATTTCACTAGTCCAGGATACCGCAGCTCTTCAATAATGGCTTGTGCAGCTGTTGCAACCTCTCGAATTGGTGGAAAAAACACTCGTTGGAGTTCATCTCTCTGTTCACCCGCCACAGCAAGCACCACTTGACTCGACACTAGTTTTCCATTCCACTGATGCTTGTCACTTTTCATCGTTCCACAATCTCCAAACACCGACAGTAACGATAATATCAAGTGATTCGTCGGCAGCAGCACTTTCGACGTGACCCCACAGCTCTTCAGTCTCAGCATCAAAGCATTTTCAAACCTACATAGCGCATCCATAGACTCTCTCATAAAGTCCAAACTCAACATCCACTCGTTACATTTAGCGTTATGACGCAGCAATGTCTTGGCCATCAGCTGCACGTGTTTCTTGCCGTCCATTGGTCTCTTGAGCGCCGCCAAGATACGCTGGAGCTTCACCACGTCTTGCCACTTGTTCAGGCCACATTCTAATAGCTTTACACGTACGTCATAATGCTTCGTCAGTGCGTGATTACGTCGTGCCTTGTAGCATTGTTCAAATTCCTTCACAACATCATATAATGGCTCGGATACTTCTGTTTCAGCTCGAAATTCAAGCGTCACATTCACACGCACTGCACTTTCCTCGGTTTGATCCTGATCATCAGATGATCGACGATATCTCCCACGATTAGTGGAAGAAAAAGCACGAGAAGGTCGAGAATGAGTATTATTATAATGGCTCTTGTGTCGTGCCATGACAATTGAAAAGTGAGCTGATAGACCTTCATTCTTTTAGCCTGTAGAATTAAATAATCAACATATCACTCTGACATTTTATCGTCTTCTAACGGCAGCATATTTATGACAGATTACGTCAACTGTAGGATATAATAACACATCAAATACATATGAGAGACCTTTTTCAGAAATAACGAGACGTCTGCTCGTCCCGTAACTTGATAAAGCCTGGTACACTCTTGTAAAAGTCCTTAACCTTTTGCGTACGTTTATGCAGCTCGTCTTGCAACTTGGCCTCGGTAGCAATGACCGCTGGTGGCAACGATGTCTCAACTGCGCCAAGCCCTACAGTCGTAGATGGCAATGCATTTCGTTGTTCATCTCTTGTTCCTCGCGTTGCCATATATACATGTGAAGCTTTCACAAGAGCTCGATCTCTTGACTCAAGTACTTGCTCGTCCGTGTATTCTTCTAGTTCACGTTTGAGACTACGAATTCTCTTTTCCCACTCTTGAATCTCTCTCATCTGTGCTGCATTACGTTCTTCCATTTCTCGAGCACGTACATCAAATTCCAATGACTGATTCTTGAGTAATTGACATGAACAATGGAATAACATCCTTGCAGATGTCTGTGAAATGCCACTGGATTCACTTTTCAATGCTTTCATCGGCCATTTTCGTCTTCGATCCACATGTGCAGCAATTTTCCGTGTCATTGTAACTTCTTCCAATTTATTATTCACTTTCTCTTGAGAAATTGAATCCTGCTTTCCATGATACTGCTGCTGCTTTCCATGCTGCTGATGCTGCTTTCCATGATACTGCTGCTGCTTTCCATGCTGCTGATGCTGCTTTCCATGATACTGCTGCTGCTTTCCATGCTGCTGATGCTGCTTTCCATGATACTGCTGCTGCTTTCCATCTCTTCGCTTTCCATATACTTGCTGCTTTCCATGCTGCTGATGCTGCTTCTGCTCTTCTCTGTGACCTTCATTCCTCATGTCCACACACATTCCTTTTCCATCCTGTCCTGTTACAACTCCTTTTGCTGGCTTTACTGGAACCATTGGTGGTAAACCAACATCATTATATTTTCTATCGTCATTGCCTTCACTCTGCTGCTTGTTCTCCATATTCAATGTACGTTCCATCATGTCTCCGACTGTCCGTTGACCATCACTCTGTTCTGACCTACACAAGCTCAATATCAACCTCTCGCTTTGACGGCTTCATCACGTTGGAGAGTGACACAAAATCGGTATACCGTGCAACAATACCGATGAGCCGTTGAAAGTGATGTAACCAGACACCATCGATACATTATGTAAACATACACTACACAAGCCTTTTGCTTACGTAAGTCATTAAGTCACATTGTTTCGTATAAATGATGCCAGGCGTAGTATCAAGAGATCCAAGTCTATTGCTCAAGTGCCAGGATTTTCTCTTACATCCAACTGTGCGTACATTATCACTGGCCCAACGTGTGGATTTCCTCGAGAAAAAGGTATAACATGAGTCGCTTTATCTCGATAAGAAGACGACTATTTTCCAGTTTTAATTCTGTCCAATATGATGGTATTGTACTATAGGGGTTATCACCAGAGGAAATCACGCAGTGTTTAAAGAGTATTGAGCAACGTAATGGTCTGTCCCGATTAGCGCAACGTACGGCGAAAGATCTAGCAACGCATGTGGATATTTCCAGGCTCAGAACGCTGAAATTAGCAGTCAATTCGCCATTGCAGCTGCTTCAGTACGTCGTCAAGAAGTACGGCATTGTCATGCTGTTGTTAATGCTACTGGGCTATGGCTATGTACAGTTTCGACAGAGTAAAATGGATCAATTGTTGCTGCAACGTCAAGGAGAGAAGACACGGCGTAGCAAACGTCTGCATGCAAGAGTTGAGGCATTGCTGGATGTGGTAAAGCATCAGCAGATGCAGTACAAGCAGGCAGCGGAGCTTTTACGAGCACGAGTGACAAAGGTTTTAGTATCTGAAGAGACGACAATAAACATGGCGACCATGTTGAAGACCAATTCATCCGTGACGCAATTGTCGCGAGGATTGGAGCTTCAAGCCCTGCAGAGCGAGCTATTAGATCTGAAAAGCGCCGTCGTGGATACATATTTGCACCCACCAGGTGCTAGGAAGAGTCTGGAAAAGAAAGAGATATCGATGCTTCTACAACCAGCCTTGTTGGACAAAGGAGTTCAGGTTGTGCAGGCGACTACGGACACTAGACATTGTGTCGAGAGCTTTGAGACTGGTGGTGCTCTTTGCACAGCAGTGAAGAAAGCCTGTCAAACGGTTGTAGAGCCACACAAGAAAGCGTACAAGAAGCAGAGTGAAGCCCGAGATCAGACTAGTATGAGCACTGAGGAGATTACAGCTTTGTTTCAACGAGGTCAGGTTGAAGAGGAGCTGTCGACTGCAGGAAGCTACCGTCTTTTGTTTGCGACATAATAAGGATGACTGTGTTGACGAAAGTGGATTAATATGTTGCGTGCAGCGTGACTGAACGCGCTGCTTTCAACAATGACCACACCTTTCGTTTTGTTGAAGGCGGGCAACGGCCAGTAAGAAGTAACGTCAGATTGCTCGCTAACGACACGTTCAGCTACAGCTCCTCGTCCCAGACATGCAACTCGTGAACGGGCCGTTAAAGAGGCATTTCTGACTAAAGCTGTGCATGACGCAAGCGAACACTTGAAGCTCTTGCAACACCACTGAACATGTCGGGCTGATGTCGAGTCTTGTGCCTGCTACAGCCATTGATTTCTTGACTGCCAAGAAGATCGGCTTTGCCTCATCATTAAAAATACGGCGTAATGTCTAAAGATGTGTGACGGGCTGTTTCAACAGAGCACAACGATAAGTATATGAATTGTACACTGCAAAGTAGCATTACATAAAATCGCAAACAATACCACAAACGTTCGTACACGCAAGCACGGCAACTAGTTGAGCAAACTTCTGATCTTAATCCGTTCTTTGTGGTGGCTCAAAGTGATCTCGGCCGGTCAAAAAGCTTTTCACGGCGTCCTGATTTGAGGTAGGCGTGTCTAGCTGTAGACGTTTAGACGTTGAGCTTGACATACCAATTGCCAATGCAGTTTTTCATTTCCATCATGATAGTTACCTAACAAGCAATGCCGTGCACACGCTGTTCGTCGGGTACGCGTCTTCCTTTCAATGTGATGTGGAAAATACGGTTGTTTAAATGCGCCACACAGGACGCAGTCTGGTATGGTTCGACGGTTCCAAGTCTACAGCTTGTGCGACCGGAAGGTCGTATCACCCATTTTAAACTTAAACTTCTTGCCGCGAAACGGCTCAAGCGCAGAATCGGTCGAGTTGCTGGCATTATACGCAAAGCCTCGCTTTCGATCATCCTCAGACTTTCTACCCAATCCGTTATTGGCATCGGGACCACTAAGACCACCACGACCCGAGCCGCTCATCAACATCCGGTTTTTACTATCTTCCATCATAAGTCGAAGACTTTCGTAGCCACCTGCCCAGTTTGGAGCCTTGTCCTGAACAATGTGAGCAACTGAGATGGGAGTAGTTTCACCCCACACCCTTCGATATAAAACAATAAGTGCCACACGCAGTCTCTGGTCCATCGCAGCAGTCGTGTTCATCAAGTTCCACAACTCCTCAATGATACGTTTGGCTGAGCTGCTATCGTCACGAAGCTTGCTCAAGTCAGGGCGATCAAACAATCCCAGTATCTTGTCCTTCTCCGGGCTTTTGAGAACAAAAGATGTCGGCTCCTTCATCTCAATATAATTCATCAGGCCTAGCGTATAGCTGTGGTCCCACGTTGCCAGAACTTCTTTTCCAACACCAGGTGGAAATCCGCGTATGCAGTTTAAACACACTTGCACAGCAAACAACCGGACACCTGGAGACTGTTCGGCCTTCAATAGTTCACATAGCCACAACATCGCTGCCGTGGCACCATAATTATTTGCAAGCAAAGAAGACGCTCCCCGTGCCGATGTTCGACTGGCCTTATGGTGTGCGGCAGAGCCGACTGAGTAAATCAATCCCTTAGTCGAAGAACTGTTGTCACCAGCAGTCGGACCGTGCGGGTCTTCAGCAAAGTACAAACGAAAAATGCTTTCGATAGCTGCTTTACGCACAACATTGGAGTGCTTCGGTGAAGCAAACGAGTGAAAGTTCACCAGCTTCTCCTCACATCGGCCAGCTAACACCAGATTGCACAGCGCCTCTAAACAGCATACGGTAATGGTCTTATTGTAGCTTGGCTGAACCTGATCGTAGTGTAGAGAGCGCAAAATCTCACGCACGACAAGCGTATCGCCACCATCGGAGCGCGCTGGTCGGTCAACGCTCAAGACTGATAACGAGAGCACCAAATTTCCAATGTAGTAGCAGTCGTCAGCAACCTGCGACTGATCGCCCATTTCAATGTAGTTCTTCGAGTTGTCATTCTCAATAAGTAGTTGCAGCAGGAAAGCTTCGATCTCGGGCGGCGACTTGCCACTTTGGGCACGAATCATTGCGAGAGCCTTAGGAATGCTCTTCTTGATTTCGTATTCACCAGCAGCGTAATCCTGTACCTGAATTTGCTTGCTAGAAACCGATGCCTGCTGCGCTCCTAAAGCTTCAAGGATAACCTTACCACCAGACGGCAAAAAATAGTTCGGCAATGGCATATCCGTTGCTCGGTCAAAAAAGTGTTCCTTAAAGATGCGCACAAGATTGTGCATCGCTTTCCAAATTGGTAGCTGTGTGTTGGCATTAGTCAAAGGCGCATGGATTGATTGCCAGATACCAAGCGATTGAGCAGCTTCAGCACGCAGCCGTCTTGAGTGAGTCGTAAGACCGCTCATACACTCCGTAAGCACTCGGCATGACATCACGTTGGGCTTCTCATGTGGTCGATGGAATAGTGCTAGTGCACGGGCGGCGTGCACACGGGAACCAACCTTTTTGTCTGATAGCAACTGCTCCATCCAGTTAAAGTCTGGCTGATGCATGACCACGTGCCTCAGCCACGCACAGCCGGTATCAATCTTCACCCAGAACACTGGCGTGTCATTTAATCCCATGCCGGGACCACCAACAGACACCGAGTCGTCCGGGTCTGCAAGTCCCTGGCGTTTGCGGCGTTTCTTACGGACCTTTGAGTGGCACGGAAAGTCAAATTTATGCCGCTTGTGTTCAACACGTTTCTGGTAGGAGTATTCACTCGTATCCTCTACAATCGTGATTGTAATAGGGCCAGTATAAAGCTTTCCACCAGGAGGAACCTCTTGTTGTAAAACCACTTCCGCTTGTGTCTGTTTACGATTGTACCAATAGCCGACCGTAAAGAATGGCATTCCAGGTTCGATAATCCATAAAGAAAGAAAAGACTTCGTTAGATCCTGGCCCGATGCCCCCCGCAATCGCCTTCACCGTCTTCAAAAACGACAGCGTCGTCAAAGGCTCGGACGAAGCTAAACTACCCATCGACTTTCCAGCTGCACCAGCATTTGCAGCCTCACCACCTGCCTCACCCGCTTCTTCTTCATCATCTCGTCCACCACCTTTCTTGTCATCGTGCATCTTCTTTGCTCCATCATCTTTGTTTCCATCTCCAGTCGCAGTACCATCGCTCCCACCATTTGCAGCAAGATTAGCCACAACGCTTGCACTCCCACCAGACACAGCACGTTGGATAGCGATGCTTAAATGCTTTGGACCGACGCGCTGCTCAACCATGTGCAGCACAAGAGGTGCCTTCACTTCGAGTAGTGTGAGAGACAACGGATCGTATTCGGAATAAACGTCTACCTCAGATGACAGCAGGGCAGGTGACAACTGGTCCGTTGTTAATTCCATTGTGGTCAGCGCATCCATCGCAAGCTGAATTCGGTAGCCATACTCCTCCTCACCGTAGATTGACCGAACATATGTGTTAACAAGATGACCAATAACACCAATGAGCACCCATGCGTCTTTCGTGCTCTGAATTCCAACAGCACCACCAACCCAGCTACCTACAAGTCCTTTCACTTGCGCCAAGTGCGATGGCAGCTCGCGATCAATAATCCGCGGTCCATGCAATAGGTTCTGGTCCAAAATAGCCCCTCCAGCAATGTACTGCAACTGGTCTGGCAGGTCCTCCACAAAGACCTGCTGGTAGGTCTTGAACGGATACGAAGCTCCCAGTGCAGTTTCAAAATACGTCATCGTTGAGGCTAACCTTGACGTACAATGCACTAGATCCTCAAAACACTCTGGCAGTGCAAAATGCGTCATCTTGGGCATTTCCGGCGGCACGTAGAGTCGAAAAGGACCAACTGCAAAGCCTATGGACGAGCAATTGGTCTTGGGGTTGACAATGTATCGAAATGTTCTCCACTGCATTCCATCCGCATCAGTCTCTGGACTCAGTACTTGCTGTACCATTTGTCCACTGCAAACTGCTACACACCAGTCAGGGACCGTTAATTCAATCCGAAATGTACAGGCATCTCGTAGTGTATCTCGACACGGCATCCAGGAGCGTGCACCATCACAAAGACCTCCAAATGGTCCACAATAAGTGTACATATGTGGAGAACGTTTTGGCTGATACTGTTCATCTGGTAACACAAATCTTAATCCTCCACTTGGCTCAATAATATCGTACTCAATTCGTACGACAATAGGTTTAAATCCTGTAGAACTTTTTGGTAGACGGTCCAAGTCCCACATATCCAAGATTAATTTTTGTTCACGATGAGTACCAACTTCTGTCATCTCATCATCATCTTGTTCTACGTGGTTTGTTTCCAAAAATGGTTTGCTTAAGTTGCTCGAATCCTCAACGTCTTGTTCATCCTCTTGAAAGGAGATTTCTCGTGGAATTTCAATGATAAGTTCACCTTCCTTTGATGCAACAATAGCACCACGATAGAATAGATCGAATGTAGCTAAATCTCGGTAATTTTCATCCACAATCTCACCTAAAAAATTAAGTTGCTCAAAGTGAGTCTTCATGCCATCAATGTGCACAGTCCGCACCTTAAGTTGCCGCGCATGCAATCGAAGCACACGCAATTCCATAGCACGTGGAGCTAGTACGACTTCAGCTACACCCACGATGTGCTGACGCAAGACGTCCACTTGAAGCGCCACACGCTGTTGCAGGTATTCAAAGTCCCCGATCATGTCGCTAGTTATTGATTCAATATGGAATTAATATTGTAGTAATGACATTTACATTCAGAAGACATGTGCTAGTCACTTATGTGGACTACACTAATGTAGAACTGCTCAGCTATAATCGGCTGGCTGTATACCTTCACCCTTGATTAATGGCTATATATTTCAAGACAGACAAGACAAATGGGAGTAGGAATGGTATTTAAATCTGACAATTTGTCTATATTGTCATACGAAATGTGTTTAGTGAACACAGTAATCATAATATAAAACTACTGGTTGTAAAACGTTTACCACGGGATCTGTAGACATCGCACTTCGATCTATCTTGTTGTCACGTAGGACACGAATGTGCAATGGGGACTTGTTTTGTATGCAGCAAAATCAAAGAAGGACGATCTGAACTCGTTCTGCCCTCACGTGCCTTATACATGAGCAAGAATACCGTGATTCATCATTCTAACAATGTCTTTGGCCTCTCTGCATCCTCTTGAATGACTATGTCTATAACTTTAGGACAGATAATGCAAGTGCCAAGCAAGCATCAGGTATCAATCAGATTGCTACTTACTCTCTAATCAAGCAATCATCATACATTCGTTGCAGACAAAGGCAATTCAATCTGTTCGACAAGACATTGTCGTAGATCTTTAAATCGAGACGTCATTTGATCACACAGATACGGTATGCATACAATCTTTCATATACTTTTACCCCATAACTGTCTCAGCTCATGGATAGATAAAGATCACAAACCACCTTCGTCAATCCTTCATTCTCCAATTTGCTAGACAATACATAAGCCACAAGGACGTATCTGCTTCATAGCATAGTCTCTCTCTCTTCCTCTCTCCCCTTCCTCTCCCTCTTTTCTCGATCAAAATGGTACGCTTTACGTCTCTTACTTCTCTTCAAAAGCGTGTCAACCGTGTACTTGTTGTTGGGTCACTGGATACGCTGCAATCTCAAGGTAATACCAATAGTTTCTTACAACAGACGCTAATCACCGCTTCATCCAACACTCTTGACTTCTCATCTGGTGCCAATCCTCTTCTCCTCCAACATGCTCTGGATACTCTTAATCCCAGTACTGATAATGGTGCTACCTCGGAGCTTCTACTCGTTCGTGATGTAAATGACGCACTACACGTGACACTCTACGCGCTACCAACGCAGGTATCGCGCTCTAACTCATTAGCACGTCCTCATGCCATCGCATCCTTTGTCAAGAGCCGCTCGAAGCTACTGACCAAGAGAGACGCGGAGCAGAGCACGGACGACGTGGTGCTAGTGGTGTTAATGTTACCAGCTCACACGGACACGTGGTTTGCCGCCGGAACAGCTGTAGCTCGAGCAGCTCCGCTCTATGAGCACAAACACCAGCGGACAAATGCCCTGCCTGTAACAACAAAGACTTTGACCGAGTCAGACAAACTCGAGGTAGTGTACCAGACCCCACTGACGTCAGAGGAGACGACACTTGTGCAACACACAGCCAACGCCATTCAACTGGCTTCGAGACTTGTAGATGCCCCACCTAATGAGCTACACTCGGATGCATTTATTGCTGAAGCTCGTGCAGTGGCAGAAAGGACCAAGTCAAAGATCGTGGTTATTCAGGGTAAAGAGCTCCTTGATCAGGGATTTGGTGGAATTTACGGTGTGGGAAAAGCTGCAACTCACAAACCGGCATTGGTGTGTGTAAGTCACGTGCCAGAAGGAGGTGAGGACGTAAAGGGTGTGGCGATGGTGGGCAAGGGAATCATCTTCGACACGGGAGGTCTGTCTATTAAGACGGGGGGTAGCATGGTCGGCATGAAGCGTGATATGGGCGGTGCAGCGTCATTGCTGGCTGCATTTGAAGCAGCGTGCCATGCGAAGAATACGACGGACAAAATTCCGCTCCACGTGGTGCTGTGTGTAGCTGAGAACTCGGTGGGACCGGACTCTACGCGTGTGGATGATATACTGGTGATGTACTCAGGTAAAACAGTGGAGGTAAACAACACAGACGCTGAGGGACGTCTTGTGCTTGCTGATGGCGTGGCATACGCTGTCAAGCACCTGAATCCGAAGGTGATCGTAGATATGGCCACATTAACGGGAGCGCAGGGTATTGCTACGGGTAGCCGCATTGGTGCCATCTACACGAACGATGGTGAGCTCGAAAATTTGGCTGTCCAGGCGGGTAAGGTTTCTGGCGACTTGGTGCATCCTATGCCGTACGCGCCAGAGTTTCACCGCCTTGAATTTAAGAGCACGATTGCCGACATGAAGAACTCGGTGAAGAACCGTGCCAACGGACAGGTGTCGTGTGCCGGGCAATTCATTGCAAACCACTTGGGCGAGTTTGAGCAGACGGGCAAATGGCTACACGTCGATATGGCTTACCCAGTGTATACCGGTGATGACGAACGATCAACTGGTTTTGGTGTTGCATTCATTCAGTCGCTACTGAAGGAGATTCATAATGCAGGATGGTAAGCAGCGAGCGTAATATGATTGCGTGACTGCTACTCCAATACATATGAATTGCCATTGAAGTGTATGGGAGCACCAAAGCTTGTATGCCTTTCATCTTCGCATACACACACTATTGCATCATAATCATGGTAAACATTGGCTAGCTTCCATACCGGTACAACCGGTAATTTGCTTCATATTACATCAATGTACATAAAACAGAGCACGCCAAAACTTGTAATTCTTGCACTTGTAGCTTATTTATCTTGTTTTTAGTATGCTCTAGAACATTCGCGATTACTTCTCTCGAACGTCTCTCTCGCTGACTGTCTTATTTTCCCATCTACATACATTCTTGACCTTCACTTCTCATGTCAATCACACCACTTGAAGATTGTTCATTATTGAATTTACCACCTCCAAAACAAACTAATTTGATTCATTACAACTTAACGTCAGTCTTCTAGACTAATTAAAGCTTCACGTCATGGAGACTCCGACATTTCATGAGAAGAATCGTCTACAGATTATTGAACAGAAGGTGAAGGAGGTGCAGGAGAAACTCACTACACGGCTACCATCACAATATCAACATTTGGTGGCCATGGTGTGTGGCATCAAGTGGCGATTGCAGACACTGAAACCACAGGACACTGGAGCTGTTGTTAAGAAGATGCGTCTGGAACTAGGAGCTTTTGACTATCGTGCGAAGGAGCAGGCAGAGCTCCTGACGCAGTATCTTCTAGATCTGGACGGTGTGTTGAGTCACGGAGACGCCGATATCAAGAACACTCGTAAGGCGCTAGTGGTGTTTATCCAGCAACAGCTGTTACCCAAGGCTGACGCATTTAAGAAACGCAGCGCCAAGTTGAAGCAGTTTGGAGAAGATACGCTCGGTAGATTTGAGAGGCAGACACGAGAAGTTTTGATGCAAAGTGACAGTGGTGCTGAGTCTGATGATCTGCACGTGAAGGCTTTGTTTGATGAAAGCGAAGAGGAAAGCAGCGAGTCAGATGAGGAGGAAGCCAGTGAACAGGGTAGCAGTGAGTCAGATGAAGAGGAGGAAGAGCGTGAAGAGGAGGAAGAAGAAGTCAATGAAGATGAAGAGATGGAGGAGTTTGCTGATGCAAAGGACGACGAGCCCATGGCATCTGAGGCTGAAGCAATTGACGAGGCTGAGGCACACGATGTAGGTGAGGCTGACGATGAAGAAGACGAAGGGGACAAAGAGCAAGCTGCTCCGTTGCGCAAGTCACCGCGACTTCAGTCGCCTGTAACTCCTGCACCTCCAAACATCGATGTCAACATGCTACCCGTGTGGCGGCCGTACTACCAGCTACAGCGTCGACAGGATGGCATTTATCTCATTGCCCGACTGAACGATATTGATCCGCGCAACGTGCGCGTGCAGTGGAACGAGCGTAATGGAGTGTTACGTGTAAGTGGTTTCCGACTGCCGACGCAGAAGGACATTGTCATGTCCCGTCTCAGTGGTGCACCGACATTTGGTCGTTTTGAGATTGCAGAGCAGTTTCCGCGGAATATGCTCAATATGGAGGAAGCGACACAGCAGATTGTGGAGAACGGTACTTTACAAATCCGTATGCCGTATTACGTGTCGCGACAGCCGTTGCACTATCACCCGGCATCACTTTTTCAGCCCCAGGACTGTTTTGTATGGTAAATGAGACAGCTTAGGTCAATTGGTATGTACAATATCATTAGGATTAATCATTTCTGCGATCAAATGCCGGTTAAGAAGCAAAAATACAGAAAGTCAATGGGTCTTTGATAGTAGTCACTAAGCAGTCAGTTGCCATCTCGACATACTAATGAACTTGATAAACAAGATGTGCATAGTGAGAAGAGCAAAGAGAGTAAGTGGATCACACTACATGACTTCGAATTGTACTGACTGGCATCGATTCAAATGCCGGCAGTTTTCGATACTTCAAGGCTACTACTACTTCCAAAGTCGACCACTTCATAAAGTGCTTGTGCTTACTCATGAACAATACTCGACTATTGCTGAACAATGTTCATTGTTCTTTGCTAATCAATGGATGCCATCTACCAAGAGGTTTGCAACAATCCTAAACGGTTGTCTTGTTTTCAATGGGTGATGTCATGCTTGAAGTCCACCACCAAGTGAGTTTGAGCATGACAGGATAGCAAGACAGGGTTGGTTCACTAACTAACCGATGATCTAGTTTAGAACGCATACTCAAAGTAGCTATAGAACTTCTTATGGCATGTAAAAGTGAACGGAATAGTGAAGTATGAGCTTGATATTGGTAGCTTAGTTAAGTGCTGGTTATCAATCTACAGGAGGTCAGTTGCCGAGCTTTGATGTGCTCGAGTTGGACGAGACTAATTCAACATTGAAAGAGATAGAGTGAACGTGTGTACCGTGATGATTGACACGATCATACCACTTAGTAGTCTCACTGCGGCACTATTGTAGACATTCTTACCGACGCGCATGTTGGCATCATCACCTACCGCACTTTCCAGTCCTTCGCTCGACGATCCAGTCTCATTATCAAACGCAATCGATGCGTCCGTGTCGGCGTCGGTCGAGATCAATTTTGGTAAGGGAGTCAAGCCGTTTTCAACGTCATGGAACGTCTCTTCCTCTTCACTTGCACTGCCAAATGGGACCTCGATAGGATCGATTGTACTGGACCAGTTCGAGTGGTGCATCGATTCGTTGCTTGCGTAGGAATGAGCTAACAGAACGTCAAGCAGTCTTTTGAACTTGTACAGGTCGTCAGTTGGGTAGTCTTTCCAAACGGCTGCGACCAGTTCGTCGAGAAAGTCGGTCGCTGTTGCATCCGATTCGTTATCGTGATGCTGGGGTTGGATCTGAGTTGGCCTTGGAGAATGCGTTTGCGGTTGGAGCACAAACCCATACGCTTTCGTCGTCATCGTGAACAGAAGAGCGTTGAAGCAGAAACGGATATTCATCTTGAGTGATCAGTGGACTTGCTGAACTTGAAATGATCTTGATAAGATCTAGAGACCTACGCGGCTTGTTGAGGAATGAATAGAGAAAGACAGCAACCGCCAGTACATTTTCAGTCGAGAAAGTACTTGAGCTTCTACAGTAATACGTGTGGATGAAGCAGAGAAGGGTGTACTGTGTTCGTAGTTGAGTGCCAAGTATAAACGTCATGTCAACAAGATTACTCGATGACGGAGCTACGCAATAGTCCTGTGGATGTAAACGTGATGTCTGTAAGTCCGATGTAATGTCGTGTGAGGTAGATGTACAGCCTAGACAAGGTCAAGGTGCATAAGTAATCGTCATAGCAAAGTAGAGGGCAAGAATACGATAGCAGAGCTTGCGCTTGCTATTCGAGATGCATTCAACTGGATGTGAAGGACATGTCAATGATGCTGTCACTTATTAATGAGCCCTGATGCAGCATGATGCGTTGTGATGTGCGCTCTAGGTAATATCTCTGACTGGTGCAATGCACAAGGCAGTATCAATGCTCATCAATGTGGCATATTAGTTATTGCAATTCATGACATGGTCACCAATGTCACCTACCGAGAAAAGTTAGACCATATTCCATACAACCGTTAAGCAAACTTGTTAGCTGTGCCTGTAGGAAGAGTGAGAAAAGCAGAATAACTTGACAAATACCTCGCTGTTGATCGATCATGACCCAAACACCTGTGTTGCTAGCACTTTTAACTCATGCACGTCATCCGTTGTACTAACAGCACGTTATTGTCTGGTTGAAAGCATCTGCATTATAAATATGCCGGTGCAAATCCAACCAAGTTCCATGCGTTGTTGCAAATTCTGGATGCTATTGACCATACATGAATATTTACAAGACTGTTGCGTAGCTCCGTCATCGAGTAATCTTGTTGACATGACGTTTATACTTGGCACTCAACTACGAACACAGTACACCCTTCTCTGCTTCATCCACACGTATTACTGTAGAAGCTCAAGTACTTTCTCGACTGAAAATGTACTGGCGGTTGCTGTCTTTCTCTATTCATTCCTCAACAAGCCGCGTAGGTCTCTAGATCTTATCAAGATCATTTCAAGTTCAGCAAGTCCACTGATCACTCAAGATGAATATCCGTTTCTGCTTCAACGCTCTTCTGTTCACGATGACGACGAAAGCGTATGGGTTTGTGCTCCAACCGCAAACGCATTCTCCAAGGCCAACTCAGATCCAACCCCAGCATCACGATAACGAATCGGATGCAACAGCGACCGACTTTCTCGACGAACTGGTCGCAGCCGTTTGGAAAGACTACCCAACTGACGACCTGTACAAGTTCAAAAGACTGCTTGACGTTCTGTTAGCTCATTCCTACGCAAGCAACGAATCGATGCACCACTCGAACTGGTCCAGTACAATCGATCCTATCGAGGTCCCATTTGGCAGTGCAAGTGAAGAGGAAGAGACGTTCCATGACGTTGAAAACGGCTTGACTCCCTTACCAAAATTGATCTCGACCGACGCCGACACGGACGCATCGATTGCGTTTGATAATGAGACTGGATCGTCGAGCGAAGGACTGGAAAGTGCGGTAGGTGATGATGCCAACATGCGCGTCGGTAAGAATGTCTACAATAGTGCCGCAGTGAGACTACTAAGTGGTATGATCGTGTCAATCATCACGGTACACACGTTCACTCTATCTCTTTCAATGTTGAATTAGTCTCGTCCAACTCGAGCACATCAAAGCTCGGCAACTGACCTCCTGTAGATTGATAACCAGCACTTAACTAAGCTACCAATATCAAGCTCATACTTCACTATTCCGTTCACTTTTACATGCCATAAGAAGTTCTATAGCTACTTTGAGTATGCGTTCTAAACTAGATCATCGGTTAGTTAGTGAACCAACCCTGTCTTGCTATCCTGTCATGCTCAAACTCACTTGGTGGTGGACTTCAAGCATGACATCACCCATTGAAAACAAGACAACCGTTTAGGATTGTTGCAAACCTCTTGGTAGATGGCATCCATTGATTAGCAAAGAACAATGAACATTGTTCAGCAATAGTCGAGTATTGTTCATGAGTAAGCACAAGCACTTTATGAAGTGGTCGACTTTGGAAGTAGTAGTAGCCTTGAAGTATCGAAAACTGCCGGCATTTGAATCGATGCCAGTCAGTACAATTCGAAGTCATGTAGTGTGATCCACTTACTCTCTTTGCTCTTCTCACTATGCACATCTTGTTTATCAAGTTCATTAGTATGTCGAGATGGCAACTGACTGCTTAGTGACTACTATCAAAGACCCATTGACTTTCTGTATTTTTGCTTCTTAACCGGCATTTGATCGCAGAAATGATTAATCCTAATGATATTGTACATACCAATTGACCTAAGCTGTCTCATTTACCATACAAAACAGTCCTGGGGCTGAAAAAGTGATGCCGGGTGATAGTGCAACGGCTGTCGCGACACGTAATACGGCATACGTATTTGTAAAGTACCGTTCTCCACAATCTGCTGTGTCGCTTCCTCCATATTGAGCATATTCCGCGGAAACTGCTCTGCAATCTCAAAACGACCAAATGTCGGTGCACCACTGAGACGGGACATGACAATGTCCTTCTGCGTCGGCAGTCGGAAACCACTTACACGTAACACTCCATTACGCTCGTTCCACTGCACGCGCACGTTGCGCGGATCAATATCGTTCAGTCGGGCAATGAGATAAATGCCATCCTGTCGACGCTGTAGCTGGTAGTACGGCCGCCACACGGGTAGCATGTTGACATCGATGTTTGGAGGTGCAGGAGTTACAGGCGACTGAAGTCGCGGTGACTTGCGCAACGGAGCAGCTTGCTCTTTGTCCCCTTCGTCTTCAACTTCATCGTCAGCCTCACCTACATCGTGTGCCTCAGCCTCGTCAATTGCTTCAGCCTCAGATGCCATGGGCTCGTCGTCCTTTGCATCAGCAAACTCCTCCATCTCTTCATCTTCATTGACTTCTTCTTCCTCCTCTTCACGCTCTTCCTCCTCTTCATCTGACTCACTGCTACCCTGTTCACTGGCTTCCTCCTCATCTGACTCGCTGCTTTCCTCTTCGCTTTCATCAAACAAAGCCTTCACGTGCAGATCATCAGACTCAGCACCACTGTCACTTTGCATCAAAACTTCTCGTGTCTGCCTCTCAAATCTACCGAGCGTATCTTCTCCAAACTGCTTCAACTTGGCGCTGCGTTTCTTAAATGCGTCAGCCTTGGGTAACAGCTGTTGCTGGATAAACACCACTAGCGCCTTACGAGTGTTCTTGATATCGGCGTCTCCGTGACTCAACACACCGTCCAGATCTAGAAGATACTGCGTCAGGAGCTCTGCCTGCTCCTTCGCACGATAGTCAAAAGCTCCTAGTTCCAGACGCATCTTCTTAACAACAGCTCCAGTGTCCTGTGGTTTCAGTGTCTGCAATCGCCACTTGATGCCACACACCATGGCCACCAAATGTTGATATTGTGATGGTAGCCGTGTAGTGAGTTTCTCCTGCACCTCCTTCACCTTCTGTTCAATAATCTGTAGACGATTCTTCTCATGAAATGTCGGAGTCTCCATGACGTGAAGCTTTAATTAGTATAGAAGACTGACGTTAAGTTGTAATGAATCAAATTAGTTTGTTTTGGAGGTGGTAAATTCAATAATGAACAATCTTCAAGTGGGTTGTGATTGACATGAGAAGTGAAGGTCAAGAATGTATGTAGATGGGAAAATAAGACAGTCAGCGAGAGAGACGTTCGAGAGAAGTAATCGCGAATGTTCTAGAGCATACTAAAAACAAGATAAATAAGCTACAAGTGCAAGAATTACAAGTTTGGCGTGCTCTGTTTTATGTACATTGATGTAATATGAAGCAAATTACCGGTTGTACCGGTATGGAAGCTAGCCAATGTTTACCATGATTATGATGCGATAGTGTGTGTATGCGAAGATGAAAGGCATACAAGCTTGGTGCTCCCATACACTTCCATGACAATTTTCTATTTTATACAATGCTAGCTTTTACACCACTCTGCTGCTTAAATGATTGGGATCAACCCGATATTCGATAAATTGTTAGCAAGTCGTGAAATAGTGAAGAAATGAAGCTGCTGCCTCAACTCACCAATATTTGGGCTTGTTTTGTCGAGTGATGTGGCCATAAATAGTTGAAGTGCCTATGAGAGTATGCATGCACAGCTTTTCTTACTCGCAATTGCAAGTTTAGAGCAAAGATTGTCTCTTGCATAAATAAATTATATTAATAGACAAACTTTATTTAGGTGTCTTCTTAACATTAACATTGGAAAGTAAGCAGTTAATTGAATGAAGGATGAGCTATATGAAACAACTAGACCTGGTAGTCAAAACTTAGCAGATCAATAGATTGGTGTAAGATACACAAGGTTTATGCGTTGCCACTAATCTAATATCACGAAATACAATGCCTGAAGTGATGCTATCGATAGTGTTGTTCCTGCTGCCATGCGCCGTCATTCTTGAACGCTGCATCAACAACTGGTCACTATTATCCCTTCATCCAGCTTTGAACGCATTGGCAATGCTTGTATGCTTGCCCAGGTACCACACTACAAGTCCTTTGCCTTTGACTTGATCTTTTGTAGCTGACACGTTGTTCTGGTGGTTGCCATTATTGTTTTGTAGTGCATTGCAAGCAATGATACAACGAAAGAATGAGACAAATGATGCAAAGCGGTGGGCAACTAGCTTATTTGCACTGATTTATGTACGATATTGACCAAGTTACGGGTATTGTGTTACAGTGTCTGGCTGACCAAGCTGCATCTACTGCTCAATGTATCGGCTGGAGTATTAATAGCTACTGCAGGCATCGCCGTGTTCATTGCCAAACGTGACGCTAGTCATCCGCACTTGGCAACACCACACTCATGGTCAGCTCTGGTAACTGGTTTATTCTTCTCACTCAACGTGTTCCAGGGGATTGTGCTGACGTTTCAGGACACAAAAACCAACTGGCAGTGGAAAGACGAGACTCACGTGCTCACAGGCGTAATGATCTACATTGGAAGTGTCACTACGATGCTCTATGGATTGCATACGAGCTCATGGGGGGTCGAAAACTTTAGTTTAGAAAGACAATTCCAGCTCACAGCACTCATCATTGCCGCACACATGACGTTATTGGGAAAAATGCTCGTGCCACAAGGTCGAGAAAGTAGTAAACCACATGTTGAGAAGACGGCATAAGGACCGATGACTGATTGTACGGTTACTCGTTCATAACCATTGCGTAACCCCATACAACATAAACACTGTTAAAAACCTCATTCCATACTTTTTGCCTGTCAAATTTGGTCACCTGAGACCATATCGTCAATTGGACCACAAGCCTCCGCCGCTATAATGGTCAATAAACTGGAACTCTCCCTATTAAGTGGGCTATTGATTACGCCCTGCGCTATCATTCTATCCAAATGTGCAGCATCACCGTCTCTTTTTGCAGTACACCCTGCAACTAATGCCATCGCCTTTTTGTTGTGCTTTCCACTGTACACTCGCTCTTGACGTTGAATTGTGATTGTCAAGTGCTGCAATTGATGATGGGATTGTATTGATGTCTTGTGGTCTGTAGTGGATTATACGTCATGCTGGAACGTAAGCATGTATCAACCTTCAAAACGCGGTCCGTGACAACATTCGTATCTTGATCTTGATCTTGTGTATCGCAAACTCATGTTGCTATTGTTATTCCTAATAGAGTATTCCTTTCCAAGATACACATGTTGTCTCAAGTATTAGCAATGTTACTGCTGAGTGTGGGAGGTGCAGCAGTCTATATGAATAAAAACAATCTTGGCAAAGATCACTTCACGTCCACGCACTCGTGGCTTGCAGGTGTGACAGCGACGCTAGCGACGTTCAACATGCTTGGGGTACGGAAATTTGCTGCATTTCTTTGCTCGTCATTAATTAAAGCTAAGTGTAGTATCTTCCATCATTTCATCATTCTTGATGCGCAGGGCCTTGCCACTACTTTTGGTGGCAAGAAGACCAGCTGGCAATGGAAGAACCCTGGCCACCGCATTGGTGGTACTCTGGCGTTTGTGGGTGGAGGTATGTTTTTGTAAGGTTTATATGTTACATAGCAGAATATCAGGACTAACACAAGTATGTGATGTCGATAGGCTGCAGTGTGATTTTAGGCATATACAGCGGTTCCTGGGGCCCTTCTCAGCTTGGTGAGAATTTGCAGTTTAAAATGACCAGTTCCGTGGCTGCTGCATACTCGTTGCTATTCCTCAAGATGGTCATGAGCAGCTTTGTGGTAAAGAAGAGTGATTAGAAGATCATTGGGGCTCATCAAACAGTCCTTTCACGTGCTTATTGCTCGACCGACCGCTATATTTTTGAAAAATGTACAATGGCTACGGGTACTTTCTATTTCTAAATCATATTTGAAACACCAAATATACTCTTAATACAAAACCCAGAACTGTTCGTAACAGCATAGGATATGTTAGTAAAGACACGTCGTGGCTCCAAAATGACATTCCAAAGTTATAAAAAAACAAATTCGTTTTTTTTGGGTTTTTTACACGAAAAAAGAAGCAATTTCACTAAAATATAAGCAAATAATATTGACTCAAGCCCATATTTCATCAGACTTCATTCATCATTTCTACATTCATCCGTCCTCACACGCACATTCACTCTCGTCCATCACTCTTCTTACATGTCAATATCGTCTTTTCTTCTTCTTCCTCTTCCCCTTCTTCATTAATACATAATGAACTACTCCATTTACGACTCAAGACATTAGATGAACGTGTATTTCATGTCATGGCTACATTATCCATGTCCGTCATTGATTTTCGAGCCGCCGTCGCCCAAGCTACAGCTATTGCAATACCAAGACAACGTTTAATTTACCGTGGTAAGTTATTAAAAGATGGTGCTCTATTAGCTGCTTATGATGTACAGGACGGTCATACGGTACATTTAGTAACCAAACCAGCGACTAGAGATGAAGAAAATACGGACAGACGACCAGCAGATGGACTTGCAGATGGACCAGCATGGAATTTAGCGAATCTTCGTTCAGCTCTACGACGTACAGGCGTTTCAACTACATCTGGACATCAGTTACCAATGCTAAGGGAGATTTTGGCTGAAACAGCAGTTGAAAATACAAGAAATGAGGAAGAATTCGTAGTAGTTGACTTGGAACCACTGACACAAGGGATTTTTACCATACAAAGTGTACTATCAACAGCACAACGAGAACAACCGAGACAATTTTTTATCGGACAGTGGCTTGATGTTAAGGATACAGTGAATCAGTGGCTTGAGGCTACGATTATGGATATTGCCAATGGAAAAATGCTTGTGCATTATCATGGATGGCCTACAAGATGGGATGAATGGATTGAGTTGGATTCGGATCGGATTGCAGCCTTTCGCACACGAACTCTACACATACCAAATGCACAGCGTATGTCACCTGTGCCAACCACAAGGGTACCCAATGCACCACGAGTAAGTGGTCGTGACATACGTCGCACAGTGATTCAAGTCCGTAACTTGATGCGCGAGATGATGCCACATATTGAACAACTTGCAGACTTGTGTGAAGAGGATCTAAGACAGCAGCAGCCAGAGCAGAGGGAAGAGATAGCACGGAATGAGACGATGGAGAACGCTACTGACTCGTCGATGATGCCAGAGGATAGACAATCGCGAGAAAGTGAGGTGTCGGAGGCAGCTCACCTCGTGGCCCCTCTTTTCGATCGATTTGGACGGCTTTTAATGGATTCAGCGCAGTATTTGGACCCATTGTTGTACCCGGAAATGAGAGCTTCATCACAGCGGCAACAAGAGCGCCGCTTGGCAGCATTGCGTCGCGGACACGGAGGCTCTTCACGACAACACACTGCGAGTAGTTCGACGTCAATTGAAGTGCAAGACAGCTCGCTGTCCATTCGAGATCTGATTATTTCCTCTCCTAACGTAGCAAGCGAGTCGAACCAGCCGAGACGAAGCATTGATGTGCATATTCACGCGATTGTCGCGCCAGCTTCGCTGTCGTCGCTTGCTTCGCTGTCCCGTGGTAACGTTGCAGGCAGTCATACAGAAGCTTCTCCTCAGACGCCTTCTACGCCCCCGATTGGACGCTCTTTTGGCTTCAATGACACAAGAGTTTATAATAGTCACGCAAGTGATGACGAAGGCGACCATAGTCGGGTCCCTCTATTAGGATCGTATCGCCATCGCGCACATTCACATACTAGCGACTCAAGTCATCATCATCAGCAGCAGCGTGCAGTGTCGCGTGATCTAGATGATTTTTTGTCAGATGATTTTTTCAGAACTTCGTTCGGCCGCAACGATGATGACAGCGATGATGAATCGAGTATTAGCTACATGCACTCAGATGCCATGCAGTCTAGTCGATCAGCGTATCGCCCCCCTTCGTTGTCTGAAAGAATGTCTTCGCCAGGCACTCCTAGCGATGATGGTAGTGCACAATACTCGAGCGGCACGATAGGTGTGATTTCTGAAGTTGCAGCGACTGAAGAGCAACTGCAAGCACGAGTGTCTGAAGCAATTAATCAAGGCCACAGTGACGGCAATGGTCGAGCATCGCTTGCATCAACAGGATCGTCTTCCCCTGATTCGTCATCGGGTTTTCCTACATTTTTGGAAGTCATGCGCCGGACTCTCAGCAGTGTCCGAAGCTTTGTCCATACGGAACAGAGCAGCAGTTCTGTTGAAGATACACGCAATTCTTTGGAGTTGGTGTCGGGCTCTTTCGTGCCATCTTCCTCACCGTTACCGTCATCACCGTCGTCGTTGTCGACGCCCCCGGTGTCTCCAGTGAGTCATTCTTCAATCGAAAACGTTACCAGTTATCATCGTGGTCTGAGCGAAAGCAGTATTGATGGAGCGTTGGATTTGGATGAAGTGGATTGAAGCGGTCATTCGCCTAGTTGGTAAACAACGCGAAATACTTTAAAGCGTATGTTGCGAATCCATACATGTATGACGTGTTATAAACGACTATTTGCATGTGTCTTACGTTCGCTGATGATTTCGTAACACTATAGGAACGCAGCATGGTGGTGTCTACGTCGAAGCAGGAGTCAGATAAACTTGCGGCCACAATCATTGCATGCACCGTGTATTGATCGTTTGATCGTTGCTATAACTCTGATGGCTCATGAAAATCACTGATTTCAAGCTAGATGCGCTACTCGGCATCAAACATCTATGTATTCAAAATGGAGACATCTTGGCTGCAGCAACATTTGATATTTGCTTACTGCGTATCTACAGCTCGTCCTTGACTTCGGGTTCGTCTGCAAATTTGTCCACAACCTTTTCCTTTACGGCGTTCTCGGTCGACTTGGTCGATGTTGACGCTAACGCGTCCACAACCTTAACACGCGGTACAATGCTAGCGTCGTAAACGCCGGTGTACGACGGCAGGGTAAGCTTGGTTGGATAAGCGCCTCCAAAGTAAATTGTAAGCGTGGTGGTTTTCTTTTCCCCAGCTAAACCGAAATCAGGTGGGCTGGCAACGCCCACGGACACTCGGATCTGGTGGTCACGCTTGATAACATACGAAGTTGGCTCAAAGCGGAAAACAGCCTCGTACACGCGACCAGGCACAATTTCACGCGAGTCGGCACGCTTAAACGAATGTACATGCGCATCCGGTCGGATCGGCTTGTGTATTGGATTCAGCAGTGCCTCTGTAATGTACGTGACACCAGGGCGTTTGTTTTCATTCGGGAACGGAGCAGTGGAATCAACGTCCTCAAGATAGGCCACAAAGTTAACATCAGGCTGGTCCACCGAAAAGAAGAGACGCAGCTCCGCTTCGCCAGTGATCTCCGTCAGCGCCATCTCTGGAGTTAGGAACGTCACATACTGGTCAGCCAGCGACGTGCGGTCGTGGTAGTACGACGGACGCAGACCAAACAAGTGGTCTAGCATGGTCCAGCGTGACACTGCATTCAGCGTTTCCTCTACCGTCACATTACGAGTTACCTCACTTGCCTCACTCTCCGGTGCCGACTGAAATTCCTGGCTAACGCCAAGGTAGAATGTCTCGTTGCTCAAATAAGTCGGCGGCCACGAGATCGACTCTTTCCAGCGGTTGTGTGCCATGGTAAAGTAATGTACGGGCAGCTCTTCTTCAAGTTTAGTAATTTTGCGTCGGTTAGCATACATGTGGTAATCAAAGAATCGGCTCACTTCGTCCAAGTGGTAGAAGCACTTTTGCTTTGATTGGGCAAAAGGGTCGACATTGTCGACACCAGCGTGACTCCATGGTCCCAAAGTAAGACGATAATGGGCGACGTTTTTTTTCACAGCCTCCAGTGTTTTCTTGGGTAGCTCCGGCAGTAGTGATGCAGTATCTGCATCCAGTGTATTGGTCAGGTACCTGAACAGTAAAATACTGGAGCGCGCCACGCCCATCTCAAAAAAACCAGCCGACGTGTGCAGTGCAACACCTGAAGCAGCAATCGCACCGAGGTGGCGAATAGCATCCAGTTGTTCAGCTGTTACACCACTCGACGCCAGGTTGTCGTCGCGGAAATGTACGTTCTTGAGCTCTTGAGCTAAATCTGGATTTTGAGCATGCTGATGGATATAATTGGCAAACTTGGCGTCGTTGTCATCTACGCGGTAGACGTTGCCACCGAAATGTTTAAGCATGAGTCGCGGCTTGAACGTCGGGATCTGATCCCAGCGAATTTGGCGGTCCGTAGCGCCTGTGAACGATGCCCAGTCATTCAATGCTTTCTCATTCTTGACACCACCAGGAAACAAGGCGTCCTGAAATACATCCACGGGCGCACCGTTGACTGACACGGCCTTAAGTGCTGGATGGCCGCTCGCCGCCACCAATAGGGCACCGACTCCGTCCAGTCCGTGACCAAAGACGGCAACCTCTCCATTGCTCCAAGGCTGCTGCGTGATCCACTCAATAACGTCGTAGGCATCCTGCATCTCAACATCGGCAAAGTCGTGGGCTTTCGTGCCGGCCGAAGCGCCTGTGCCCCGCACGTCCACTGAGACCCACGCGTATCCATTAGTGACAAACCGCTGCACATAGGCATTGACCCGTGGATTGGTAAACTTGCGCTCATAGCGTGCAAACAGATTAAAGGGAAAGTCAAGTGTGTAGCCACGACCGTGACGCGTCGGGAAGAGCACAGTAGGCACCTTTTCTTGATTATCCCATAGATAATCAGCTAAGTACGAGTCTACAGCCAAGTCGATACCGTCACGCATAGCCACATATTGTGTTTCATGGTGAGTATTCTTCGGATCAAAGAACCGTAAAGACTCATAACGCTTGACACCAAACCACGAATGATCATTCACATGCAAGTCACAGGCGATGGGGTCCTCACGATCTGAGATGTAACCAGCAAATTGGTGCGCTAGATAGAGAGAGACCATGGAGAAGACGGCATTTTTCAGGTAGAATTTAGTATTTGTCACTGCCGGAGGTGGCTGACGCGCTGCATCTTCTGCCATAATAAGCACGACGGACTTGCAGGATACGACGGTGGGAGCTTATTAAAATCGATTATGAAACTCGATTAGACAGGGTATGGAATCTAGCGACATTTTTATACATAGAAAGCATAGATATTAAGGATAATATGGCCACTAGCAGTCAGATTGCTGAAGATAATTTATTACGTCAGCTACGAGCACAACAACGTGGAGTTGTCTTTATGGGAGATGGATACGTGGAATACGCTCTATAAGAACGAGTTTACGAGAACATTTGCATTTGACTCGTTTAATGTAAAAGATCTTCACGTGGTCGATCGTGGCGTCACGGCTCTATTTGTACATATTCACGACGGTGATCACATAGCGCGGCCACAAATCTGTCGATTGAGATACAAACAGTCGCTCCACTGGCATGGGTGAAACATTATACACATACCTAACTTAGAAAACGTATGAAGCTGAATACAACGATCAGCGAATTTGATATGTCCGTATGCCTGACATATAAAAATTTGCCCACCGAAACAACGTTGTCATGAACCAAAACTATTCAAAAATGACTATTTCAGTGCTTCCAAACTCGCAAAGAATTTATTGGATTGTTGTGTTGAGTGCTGTGCCGTTACTCGGATGTGCTAGCGCGGCTACGACGGACATTAACTACAAGACCGCTCTGAGCGACTCTAATGGCACCAGGCTACGCATGGAAACCGAGGACTTGAGTCCAACATTGATTCAACACAATTCCGAAGCGAGAATGTTCAATTTTGGTTCGCTCACGAAGGGTGCTACAGCAACGACCGAACATTCTTTGGAAGAGGAGGTGGCCACATTGAGTAGGAAACGCGCATTCCTTATTGATTTAAACGAAGTGCCTTTATCCGATTTTGATCATAGCAAAGTCCCCCCCCATCCAATATTAATCTCAACGAAATGCCCCCGTCCGATATTAATCTCAACGAAATGCCCCCGTCCGATATTAATCTCAACAAAATGGATATTAATCTCAACGAAATGCCCCCGTCCGATATTAATCTCAACGAAATGCCCCCATCCGATGTTAAGGCAAGTACAAGCAATCTATTCCCTTCCAATATTGTCGCAAAGGGGAAAACATCCAGCCTCGCTCCCCTGGAAACCACAGACGGTGTCGCACTGATGAAAAAGCGTAAGATTCTATCCGATGACGAGGTGAACTTAGAAAAACTCTTTGAAAGAAATGAGTTGTCGAAAGATGTCGATAACTATTTTGACAGTCATCGTTTTCAAAGTTGGTTTAATACAGCACTTGAGATCTACAATGGTGACGTCAAAGAGGCAGCAGACGCGATTATTGTAATTTTGACTCGTCATTTTAAAGACGAGGCTTTGCGAATGAAGCTGCAAAATCCGACAACGACAGATGAGGCAAAAAAAAATTGTCTTCGCGTTGGACGCTGCGCAGATTTCATACTGGGTAAAAATAAAAGCGACAAGTAACAATGTCTTTGTGTGGCTTCGTCTTAATCGCGGAGATGTCAATGTTTTGCTCAATCCAGAACTACAAAGCTGGAAGGCCTTCTTCATCGCACGTGGATTAGACCAAAAATTGTGCTTTGAAAGTCTATTCAAGCTATTGCTAAACAGTGGTTATAGAAAAGTTGACATACTTGCGATGGCGAAACAAGTTGCAGAAAATAAAGACATTGCCTTTGATGACATTTACCAATTTACGTATGTGCTGCTCAAGGATGTAATGACAACACCTCAGCGAAAGAAAGAGCATTTACCTACTTGGAACTCAAGATTGAAACTTGCTTTCAAAGCCCTCTCTTGAGCGTGTGGTATAATTATATGAATGAGATTGGTTTGAAGCCGGTGGACATGTTGCTCAAGAAACTGCGGTACATAAGACAAAATTTGGAAGACATCGCAGATGTGCGAGAAGAAAACATGTACATTGTTAGGGCTTTGAAAGAGAAGGTGCAGTTGCAAAATCAAGAGTTGGCCGAGGCCCAAATTCGAAGCACTATTGATTTGAACAACTAGAGAGACCAGATTTGGATACGCGGTCATGAACATTGAGGTAACGTACGCACCGTCCTTTTGATTTCACTTGGTTAGTTTTTTAACGCAAATAACAAAGCTCTTATTATTGCGTTTCTAAGTAACTGTTCTTGCACCGGCGCAATCTAGATTATAGACAGCCAAAAGAGTATCGTTGACAAAGAATATCGTTGACCCAGTTTTTTTTACATCTCACTTACAACAACTAAGAGGTTGATACAACTCGACATGATGTCGTTACGAGCACGTCACAAGATTTCTATCAGCTCTCCTTGTGCTGACCGAAGTGGCTTGTGCACTTCGCTGGTTATATCAAGCGCCTGATATACCGGGCTAGTGAGCACTTGACGTGGCGGCTCGATATACGCTGCACTAACGTTATTTCGAGAAGCTCTGCCTCTGGCCTTGCAAAACGCTGATATGCTGCAGCCATCGCTCAATTGACAGCTACTTTGGCACGTTCATAGAGAGATGCCCATGCATGTAACCCTTAAGCTTATAATAGCTCATACAATGGGCAGTTTATAAGCTTTGCGACGGCTTTGTTATTTGAAAGAGAATTTCAATAGGTAGATCTCTCATGCATTGGTGCTCAACAAATTGCCATGGCGACACCAACGTTGGCGGTGGCCGTAGCCGACAAAGTGTGAAGTAACACAACTGCATCAGGTTCCAGAGTATAGGCAACTTCTGGTTGCTCACAGCTTCTGAAAATTCTCTGAGGAGATGCAATAGTCATCTGAGTTTGCATCTAAGCCATTCAGGGCGAGACGTTTGTTGTACCTTGAGTGTGAAATAGTGAAAGCGTGATTTAAAAGCTTTAACAGTGCTCCAGCTTCGTCTCGGCTGATATCTATTTGACGTCGGTAATTGCAACTTTAGAATGTGCTTCTTAATCCAGCGTCTCAACAAGTTCACTAGTAGTTGACATAGTTTTTCTTCAATGATCTATTCATCCCAGCTGCCAGTTCAGCAACGCCCAGTTCAGCAATGCTCTTTTCAGTCTCTATGCTTCTAACATAAATATTCGTCTTTTCATGATCCAAAAGGAAGTAGCCCATTGGAACGATCAGGAGCTCGAAATACGAAGACGCACGGTAAGACTTTTCAGTGCCAGCAACATTCCTGGCGCAAAGTAAGCACCACAATTCTATAAGATTAATGGAACCGAAAGACTGGATGCGGTGATAACTCCACTCGGTATTTAACAGATTTCGGGGAAGCAGATCCTCGATATCAGGGAGCTGGTGCACGTGGGCGCGCCGAGAACGATGAGGATTATTACACTTTGTTTCCATTCAGTTCAAGTGCTGGGAATCGACACGTAACGTGACATCGATTCTTATCAGATTTACTAACGTGATACTGCATCACTACCAGCCATGTACAATTTGCTATAATCATTTACACTTATGTACGATGTGTAAATTGCCGGAAGGACGAAGGGTAAATGCGAAAGCCAACCGACAACGGAGATATGTGAGGTCCGCTGCTGACATCACCTCCCCCCCCACTTAGAAGATGTGACACATTTTAGTCGCTATCGAAAGACAAAAGACTTACTAGGGTTCTAGCGGACACGGCAGATGCAGAGACTGCACTAAATAGAGCACGGTACCAAAGGCCACAGTCTCTACGGCAGTCACGGGCAGGTCCAGACGACTACCATGCGAGCTGGACGGTTGACCCGAGGTAGCAGCGCGACGGCCGGCGTGATAGAACTCAGAATGACGTCGCGGCTTTTCTAATAGGCGAATGGCGCGGAAAATGGTGAGGTTCTATTCCCCATTATGAAATGCGAGGAACGGAGTGTACGTCCATGCAGCGAACGCAGGCGGTTTTGCCACAAAGACGACGACAAAAGAAGAGGTGCTGACTGCTTCCAGTTTACGTGCGGGTCTGGCAATGTCGCGGCGTCAGGATAATTGCGTGGTGACTCCACTAATGGACAGTTTAAATTGATTGGAAGAAACTGGAGGCTAAAAATTATGCTGGGGACGATATGATCAGACTATATCCCCAGCGGAATCAGGCTCGGTCACCACCTGCTCTGTGCCTACTCTACGACCATGAGATAGCAGCTTTGGTAGATGTCATGACATCAGGTTCAGGGGTACCTGACCAAATGCAAGCCCATATTCAGCTCATCCAAACCAATACTAATAGAAGCAGGCTTTCTACACAGCCATTCAACTGGAGGATGGGGCCGCAATCTAGCGAATTTGCTACGCCAGGCTAGTACGGCCGAAGACGGAAAATCTACATTTATACTAAGAGCACCCCAAGGGATTTAATTATGTCGCGCTACATCTGATTAGAGCTACAGAGCGCTGACGCCTACGGGCTACTTACTTTGCTACAGGGCTACGAATTCGATTTGGCAGTACGTCATCCCTCACTAAAGCGCGCACCGGACCGGCGACTTCTCACTCAAAAGGTACGTGGATTCTCTAAAGATACACGGCTACAGTAGATGAAAGCCTGGCGCCAAACTTCGTCGAGTCGAAGACCGTTGGCGTGGTGCAATCAAGAAACACACGTGGCCACCAAGGATGATATTGCTGCTCTACGACTAGAATGGCGGTACGGGGCCAACGGAATATGTTCTGAAGATTTCAAGGCCTGCTAACCAATTCAGGCCCCACTATGCAGCAAGATCACAGTGGTAGGCGACATTATACTGCTCTTCTCCCCATGCATGGACGTAGGATCGAGCCTATGCCGCATTCTAACACCGCGGCTTCGCCACGCTCCGCCAGTTTTATCGACCTATGTTTGGTCGCTGAATAGCGAAGCGTCATCGCAGGCCCGCCTCCGGGTGGCGCGCGAAATTCAACGCAGAATATTACGCTGCACCAAGGAACCGATGATATGCACTGGAGGTGCACGGGACCCATCCTGGATCTGGCCGATAGATCTTTTGTTGAACAGCGTGCGTCTAGTCAGGAACTGAGGGAACACGATCTCGTCTTCGACGTGCACCCACAGCCTCACAGGTCTCCGTGGGCGATCCGGATACTATCCCGAACAGTTCCGTCCAAGCGCCGCTCATACGGCCGACCTTAAGGTATCACACAACAGTGTTAGCCCGTCCTCTGGGTAATTTCCTGGACCGTCTGGAGGAACGGGCGGGGCACGACGAATGGCAACGCGCGGCACATGGTCAAACACCGAAGCAAGCATGGAACCATTGTCAAGGCCTTACGACTGTTCAAGTCTGGACGGGAATAGGATCGCAACGAGGCAACTCAATCTGCACCATGCGGGGCGAGTGGAGAACAACACCTGCCAAAGCAACCAGGCTGTCCAGAATGAGTAGAGACAATGACGCACTTGTTTTGGACTGCCCCTTTGCCTTCGTGGAATGGACCAAGCTAGTCGGACACTGGAAGGGTGAGCGTGTATCCCGCCAGGTAATTAATCACTATTTTGGCGCGTGTGCCAGCAGACGAGTCGTCAGCATACCCGAGCACCGACAATCCTTCCTCGCAAACGGTTTCAGGAGGATGTGGAAGCGGCGGAATGGGTGTGGAAGCTAATGGTTTGTGCTCGAGTGATTCAATGCATCGAATCACTCGAGCACAAACCGAGAGGGTCACCAGGCATAACTGGGGACAGCTTTGGTCAGCCCTCGGATCCTTCGACGCTGACGCCATGACTTAGGCTATATCAGAGATCTTGCGCATTGTTAATTCCGGGGAAATAGACCATCTGAACACAAAAAATGATGCAGGAGAGATCCAGGTCATTCTAGGCTCGTTACAAAACACGTCGGTGGTTTGCTGACCTGCCGTGTGTTTTAGTGCATTGGCTAAAGGATCAAAAGAATATGACAATAGAAGCTGATATTGTACCTGTTAGGACGAAATGGACGCGTTTTCATGATGTAGACTTTCTGTGGGATAGTGGAATGTGAACATAGTTTTGCTGTAACAAAACGTATAAAAGGAGAGAGGCGAGAAGCAAGAGCGTGGGCGTCCGCAGCAAGGTTGTTGTAGACTTGAGCGCGACAGGGTCGAGTGCTAACATGGCGGTGAAATAATGACGGTAGCTCGTCCGATCGTTAGATCCAGCAACCGTAGAAAACAAGTCGATTAAAGCTTCTTGCCTTTGTCATACGCTCAGTGTGTAGTCGCTGTATATTTTATCCATCCGGGGTTTACTGCCGACAACAAATTGAAGACACATATCTAGATAAATACGTCGATAAAGTGATCGCAGCATTTCCTCGTATTGCATTAGTAGAGGAGTTTTGAATAATCAGTCGATAATAGGCCGTCTGTCTTGGCACATATTCCAAAACAAAAGATCCGCACGCACTTCACAGCCCAGATAATAATTGCTTGAGTTTGCTAGTGTTTTAACGATTCAAAGTTCCCGGCATCTAGGCTTGTCTCCCATTTTAATTATCTCGCCCCATTTCCGTGTCTCCCTTAAGCTTATACGCTGAATCAAAAAGTTTCTGACGACAAACTAATTCATGATTACCTTCACATGAAACAGAAACGACCGATAACTCTGCTTGCATTAGCTCACGTCATCAGTAAACAATACATTAGCTTTACCATAAGACCGTCGTATATCTTCGCTACTTCAATCGCTACTTCGGAGCTGCGAGGGCACTCCTACCACCAGCTTCTCCACCTCGTTAGCAGCCTCTTGAATTCGATACACGAGCACTTGTAGTTCTTCCACCGAACAAGCAAACACCATCTTCTGGAGTCCCGAGTCCACAGCATCAGGTGACTGCAGTTGTATCTGCACAAAGTACAAAGGCTCGTGCACACTTCCGGCATTACTTGAACGCAGCACGTAATCCAGTCTCCAAGACACTTCCACTACTTGAGCGAAGTCAAAATCTGGCCAATCGACACAAAATACACAACAGCATCGAGTTGGTTTGCATGACACACTGTAAAATACATAGTTTCACTTACTCGTGGCTTCCAGCACACGACTCACGCGCGGAATTATCACACCCAGCACTGCAATAAGCTTTGACTGTAACTCGTTGTCTTCTACCCCAAGGGCGCAGAGTTGCTGTCTAATACAGGTAGAGGATACAGTCATTTCAAAGTACAAAATGTAGAGGGTCTGAATTGTGTTGTTACCATTATTTCGATTCGTACCGCTGATTTGCAGGCGTCCATGCGCTTCCTTCTCGAGCACATGTAGCTACGATGGTACACATAGCAACAAAAGCCTCGAAGCTTCTTGGCGTCTGCTGCATAGCGACGTTCTGGTAACTCGACGTGTGGTGTTTTGTGGGATTGGTAGTCAATTCGGAGGCTGCTGCGTTGGTCAGAGACTCCAGAGATTCAAGCGATAGAGAAGAAAGAAGAAGAAGGATAGAGTGAGGTATTACATGTGGATCAGTATGGAGGAAGACTCCATCGTTATCCACAAACCCGTCCGCCATTGGTTACAAACAGTCTGTAGAGCAGATGTAAACGCTTTATATTTTGATTCTCAGATCTGAGAAATTGGAATCAAATAAATGCGCGAAAGAAGTAGATTAACATCTTGAAAAATCACAGCATTGTTACCAATACATTCACATGTATAACTGACACTTTTGCTCAAACAATAACACATCTACAATGCTCTCAGTAGACAGACCTACAAGAGCAGGTGCATGAACCGGCACAATGCCTCGGTAGACTTGCTTACACATAAGAGACCGTCTCAGTACATGCAGAGCGATCCTGATGGACCAGCGCCAATATTCATCGGATTGCCGGACGACGTGCCATCCGACCACTGGCACACGTCCAACTTCTTGCCCTTGATCTTGATGTTCTCAAGCGTGGCTTGGTCGCCCCAATTCTTGTTCACCGTCGCAATGCTCACACCACCGTTCACTGCGAGCACGTTCTTGATGATCACCTTCCGTTGCATTCCAGCGCACGTGCCGCACGAACGGTAGATCTTACCAAAGTCCTGTGCGTAGAAACCCTCGATGGAGACGGTTTCCAACCCATTGTGCTGAATGATCTTGTCGTTGGCCCCGCGGGCGCCACCACCAATAACCTTGGTCACGCTCCTGCTCGAGCCGCCTTTGATGCTCAGCGCGTCCTCGCACACGTCCTCCCACCAAACGTTATTGAGCGTGCAGTCGCCGTTATCGCAGTGCACACCCTCCATTTGGTCCTTGCCGATGAGCACGTTCTTATGCGTGGCACCAGGCTCCAAGCGAAACACAGAAGTCTGGTATCCACTCTCCGTCTGGCCTTTGCACTTGATGTAACTAATTCGTCACCCTCCCCGGCCAAGTCTAGGTATGCAGATGATTTGAATAAATGCAGAAAAGGCTGGTTTTCTATCAAAAGAAAAGGCCTAATACGCGCCCAAGTTTTCATCTCGTGGATTCACGACGTTGTTTATTGCTATAAGAAATTTGATGAAAGTCGTCTTACATGACTTGAGTTGGGGCTCGTTCATTCAATTGTTTGGTCGAGACGGGTGTCCGTATATCGTGCTACTACATGTACATGCACTCAGTATGATCAGAGAACCACAGATTTGGCATTTGCGTCAACGTAAAATATCTCGAGTCATCCTCATGTGGCCATGGAATCGCGACTCTGTCATGACTGGGTCGTGATACTTTTATTCGCCTTAAATTAATAGATTACGGTGATAACTGAAAGTATGAACGGCAATTTTCGCATGTTTATCTCTATACACTGCCGTATCATTCCTAACCCTTTCCATACGAATGGTCTTCAGATTAATGCAGTTGCATTTTAGCCAAACCCGCTTAACGACAACAGCGCTTACAGCTTGTCACGAACCTCAGCATACTACCAGCTTTAAGACCAAGCATTTTGAATCTGTAAAAGCAACAGCTCTACGATATCGCTGTTGCCGCAAGCTTAAGAGTGCGTCTGTTTGTAGACGTGGTGGATCGGATCCCGTATGGCTGGACTGCACCACTTGACATCAGATAAAATACACATGTCCATGTGGCAAGAGGGCAGACAAAAGCGGTGGTCAACCTTCTACCAGCATTTAATCACGCCGCATGCTTTGTCAGATGATACCGTCAGCTTTGCCCTGATAATCAATAGAAAAACGCCGTTTACGGCACAAATCACAATATAAGATCTTCGCTCGCATGAAAGATTACCATGTCCTTGGTGTTAACATACCACCCAACACGACAACTCGCTGCATCTCAGTACCACCTCATCGACACTAGGTAGCAGCGTCAGCAAATTCGTACACCGTCTCATGAGTCAATACCTTTCTCACCTCATTGTTCAATTTGCGCTATTCACTACAAGCGATCAACCAAGACCATTCGGGAAAACCCAGAAGATTTACTAACCATGGTCAGTGCTTTATCCATTCTCACTGTCACGCTCGCCACAGCTTCTACGGTTGCCTCAGGTGCCTCCATGCGCTCCGAGTCAGCCGCCATGCCAACCGGATCGTGGCCCGCAAGTAAGGGAACAGTCTTCCTGACGGAGCCGTTCACGGTTAAGAAGGGCACGACTTTTGATGGCGGCATGAAGACGTACGCGCGCTCGAACATCAAATGCAAGGGCGATACGGAGAGTGGATACCAGACTTCTGTGTTTCGCTTGGAGCCTGGTGCCACACTCAAGAACGTGCTCATCGGCAAGGACCAAATGGAGGGTGTGCACTGCGATAACGGCGACTGCACGCTCAATAACGTTTGGTGGGAGGACGTGTGCGAGGACGCGCTGAGCATCAAAGGCGGCTCGAGCACGAGCGTGACCAAGGTTATTGGTGGTGGCGCCCGCGGGGCCAACGACAAGATCATTCAGCACAATGGGTTGGGAACCGTCTCCATCGAGGGTTTCTACGCACAGGACTTTGGTAAGATCTACCGTTCGTGCGGCACATGCGCTGGAATGCAACGGAAGGTGATCATCAAGAACGTGCTCGCAGTGAACGGTGGTGTGAGCATTGCGACGGTGAACAAGAATTGGGGCGACCAAGCCACGCTTGAGAACATCAAGATCAAGGGCAAGAAGTTGGACGTGTGCCAGTGGTCGGATGGCACGTCGTCCGGCAATCCGACGAATATTGGCGCTGGTCCATCAGGATCGCTCTGCATGTACTCGGCTAAGACGGTCTCTTATGTCTAAGCAAGTCTACCGAGGCATTGTGCCGGTTCATGCACCTGCTCTTGTAGGTCTGTCTACTGAGAGCATTGTAGATGTGTTATTGTTTGAGTAAAAGTGTGTGTTGCTGTAAATGTATTGGAAACCAAAATGTACTTTTCCAAGTTTTTGATGTTGGCACAATTTGATTCCAATTTCTCAGATCTAAGAATCATATATAATGCATTAACATCTCAATACAGACTGCTTGCAATTATAATCGGGTAACACAACGGTAAGTAGTTTTTATACACCTGCCACAATATTATGGTGTGGCTGCACTTTGGGTACATTGGTGGGTTGATGTGACCGTACCTAAGGTACAATGGTGGCAGGAAGCCACGTGGTCATTATACTTAGTTTTGGTATACATATGTTTACGTGTTAAGCTACCGAGGCAGTTAATTAGTGACTAGCACTAAGTATAGAATAGGTGCTTCTATATTTAGTGCTAGAAGATAAACACTGAATAAATCAGTTTGAACATGCTCTGCTTAGCATTTGTTGCTGGAGCCTTCGTTGCATACGAGTCTCATTGAGACGTGACTATGTACAACAGAATGCACAAGCTTGTAAAGCTAGCCTTGAGAGGGTAAGGAACCCAAAAACGTAAAGTTCGTAAAGCTTATCGTTCTCTGCGCTTAGTGCGTAAGTAGTTTTGCTACGGTGTCTCTTGCTTTCAATCCCGCACCTTGGTCTGTGACCATTTCTCTGTGAGGATGGACAACAAAGCTAATTCCGTGGTTGGCCTGTCACAGGCATCGCAAGTCGGGTTGCATAATCCTCTTTCGATCCAAGTCCCAAAGAGCGTGGAAACCCTCATCTATCAAGGCGAAGACGGGTTTAACAAGCCTATTCATATGCTTGAAGAGTACAACAACGCCCTGGTAGAGCAAGTGGAGTGACAAATGCCTTCAGCTGCGCACCATTGTGTCGGAGTGGGTTATTAAAACGGTGTGATGAGACCTCAAACCACTCACTGTGCCAGACTGCCGACTAGCGGAGCTGTGTACCCCAATGCTGCGTATGAACCTTCTATCACCTTGTGTACACGTCGGCTGGCGGGTTGCACTCTTTAAACACTTGGTAAGAATGCAGCGGCGGCCTTGAAAGAGGTTGAACATGAGGTGTCTCGAGTGGATATACTTCACTCGGTAGGCTATTAAGGTTCTGGACTGCGTTTCCACATACGCAAAGATACAGCTTTAGAACGCTCGGCTAGTACCAGATTCAAACCTGGCGAGCGTCCTAATTTATCATCTTCTCGGCATTCTCCGGAAACATTCCGACGTTCTTGGTTGGGTTGTACTATTGACGAATCAAGTTGTAAAACGCTTCCATCTGACAACTCCCAACCTCGTGAGGTTCTCTGCAGCCTCGGCGCACAAACAAGCAACGATCCGACGGGTGACACTTCTTTCCACAGCGGTCACAAATCATTAGCTTCTATAATCCGTATTACTCATGTTTCTAGACCCACAATGGGCACATCTTGCGTTTGGAGTCGCCGGCATCAGGCGGAGGGTCCAAGGTCCTTGGACGAGGGTTGTGGCTGGTCAACCTCTTGGGTGGGTATTGGAATTTTATATAGATATCCCTCGGGGACCTTGACTCTAGGTCCTTTTCCGCTTCCTGTGCCATTAGATAGGCCTTCCTTAGGTCACCTTCGTTAGCCTAATCGCTTAAGTTGGTTTCTTTGGGCTTTGATTCCTCTTGGGTCGCTCGAATTGCATAAACAGAGCGCGGTTTATCTCTTTTAGTCAATCAGGGGGAGCCGGTGCTTTCTGGCAAATTTGCTTGACTCGAAAACATCTTGCCTCGTCGTGTCTTCGTCAGCTGGCGCACTCTCAGCACGTCCTCCAGCTCTTCCACATCCACCAGACGGAGCACGGCCAACTGGTCCGCCAGTTCTGGGTTATCCAAGGTTTTAGTATAGTGCTCGACATTTCCAATGAATCTTGGACGACCCGTCCTTGATGTTAACCTTCGCTCGAAGTCCAACGACATTCAGCCGATATAGATCCTACCACGGGGATTTTTTCAACCTCTTTTTTGCAATGTAATACTGGCAAGCCACTGGTACCCCCAAACGCAGAGCTGCCTCTGGAATTCCTGTATTAGTTCTTTCCAATTTACTCGAGCCAAGTGACCCAGTTGGCGGTACCAGTTCTCGGCTGGTCCGTTCAACAGTCTCCCAGAAATGAGACACTTTCTCTATCCGGCGCTTAATCGCTCGTGAATGCGGTCTTCATAGTAGTCACCCAGATTCGGGCTCGGTCCTCATCTTAGTCTCTCCCATGAAACTACTTGAGGTCCGAGGTCGCTGAGAGCTTGATACGGGAGACCATGTTGGGTGCCTGTCCCAGGGTGGCATTGGCCACCTTTGCCGGGTTTCCTCCCAAGGTACATGTCATCAGGATCATATTCGCATGAATTGACCGATTCCATCTCCACACCAGTCATCGCTTGATGTCGTGAAGCTTGTATGCCTGCACTTGGGCCTGGACAGGCCGTCGACCTTTGTGCCACTGTCTCCCTCTGGTTGTTTCCATCAAGGTGTGCTTGCGGTACTTGAAGCTCTCGCAGAAATTTTGCCATCGCCGCGTCAAAATATGCCTGCAGATTACCTACCGAGTTGGAAGGTAATCCTCCACGGGCAGCTTCGTCACGTGATGAAGTTAAATTTGGCGATAGCCCTGGCTCATTTCTACTTGGATAAAAATACAATCAATCCGAAGCCCAATTACATTGGCTGTACACGCGTTGTCGTTTCGTGAGCTCGTTGCTTGTCTTCCGCGTCTTCTTCTCGGGACTGGATCAGTGGCATACCAGTCGGTCCAACCTGACTATAAGCTTGCTTATCTCACAGTTGTGAGTTCGTCAGTAACCGATCGTATCCGTGTGGCGTATGAACGTGATGCGGCATGTGTTGCCAGTATTTAGGCGCTAGGTAGCGCAGAAGTTTAAAACGCTAAGGTGAAGCCGTCACCGCTAGATTACATCGTTATGCACTGAGCGATGGTCTGTTGAACTATAGTACAGGACCGGATGACCAGCTTCGTGTTGGGGTGCCTCATGATGAAGACCTCAAGTATCATATACTATATGCGGCTACTTGGTGGTCGTTTGGATTGTGCAAAGACCTACAGCTCGGTAAACAGCCATCGTTGGTGGCCCAAGTTGTATAAATGGGTTGGTATGTATGTACGACGTGTGAAACGTGTCAAAGGGTGAAGCCCTCGCCTAGTATGGCTGCGCCTTTGGCGAATTTGCCTGTACCCTCGGGGTTGTGGCAGTCCACTAGAATGTACTCTGTGTTTGGCCTACCGCGCTATGCGGCAGGCAACACTGGGGTTGTGGTCTTTGCTGACCGACTGAGCAAGATGGCTCATTTAGCGGCAGTGCCGGACTCCATTGATGAAGCAGGAACAGCTAAGATGTTCATGGACCATGTCTTTCGACAACACGGACTGCCTGTGGCAATAGTCTCGGATAGAGACTTCCCCCTTTACGGGTAAGTTTCAGACGTCAGTCTTTTAAGTGCTGGGCACTCGACTGGACATGTCCACGGCAGATCATCCGCAGACCGATGGTCAAACTGAACTTGTGAATTGCGTTATTGTGATATGCTTCGCAGTGTTTGTGATAAAAAGTCTACGCAAAGGAGCACACTGATTCTACTCATTGAGATTGCGTTAGTTATACGAGCTTATGCCTTCTTGCTTGTACACGCAAACTTCTCAATGAGACTAGTATCGCAGATACTAATTCCGTCACAAGGAATACGCTGACGCAACAAGTACTTTACAGAGCAGGATTCAAACTAATTTATTTATGATATTATCTTCCAGTACTAATAGAGATTGAATACCTAGTGCTAGTCACCATATATAACTGGCTCTGTAGCCTTCCTACCGTATGTACATATATATACATAGTACTGAACGAAGTACGTCATTGTACCTTACGAGAGCCCCAGTGTATCCAAAGTAAAATTATTGAATTAACAAATTTTCCAGTGTACCCAAAGTACTGCCACACCATTTTTCGGTGTGGCAGGTGAATGAATAACACACATCTTTGCAGTATCTACTTGTTATGGTCTCTTAGCAACGTTGAAGACTTTCTTGATGCAATTCTATTGGCTCACGCAGACCATGTACTGATTCAATATGATTCACATAATATGGCTACACCGCAACAAGTTATGGCGAGTGACTAACGAATAAGTAGAGGTAAAGAAACACGAAAGTGATTGAGATTAAGTTACTTAGCATTCCATTTCTACTACGCTAGCTTTGTAGTAACGTACATCATTTAACTTTCTCTAGCTAGAATAGGCACCCATAACGTAGATCTTAAATCTCCTTAATAGGCAGCTTGAAGTTGTTTGGAACCTCCCAAAAAAGCACAAACTTCGTAGTAGCTATCCTGTCAGACACGTTCTGCAGCGTACGATCTTAACAAAAATGTGCATCTATCATGCGATTGATTAGAGCATTTTTTCTTAAAATAAGAAGCCACATGCTGCTCATAGGCTTCAGTCATGCAATTGACTAAAGCATGTGGCTTCTTGTTTCAACGTAATTTGACATATCATTTTGATTGTAAAACGTGTCAACCTGATGACAATTCCGTCGTATGTTTACCATGCTTTCAAACATCAATTATGGTAGTCATGATGCTGTGTTTATGTCGACAAGTCTAACGTACAAGCTCAGCAAATGATGGACCTTGGAACTTAGCAGCTAAAATCTAGTAAAATTGTTTTTCTGACCTTTTCTTGAAGTAGATAGATGATCATGACAAAGTCAATACTTGAGCTCATCAAGAAATACACTGCTTCTACGAAAAGCAGCTGAAGTTGGAAACTATAAAGTTTATTTACGTCTCCACATTCGTAAATACAAGACCACCAAAACGAAACCAGTCAGAAAAACGAAACTGGTTTTTCTGGTGCAAGCACTGATACTGCCTGAACTAACACTTTACCTGGTGCAAGTTTGCCCAGTTTGCAAGCAAAGCACCGGAGTTCAAAACACGTTGCTCTCCGTTGAAATATACCGGCTGATCGTTTCTGGTCATTTTGGTGGTGTCCAACCAAGCACCACCGCCATATAGTTACCACAAGATGATGCCAATGATTAGGCGAAAGTTATCAAGCTACGCAAATCAATGTGAGACGGTTCAGGAACGAACGCCAGACGTCCCCGCGGGTCGACAAAAAAAGTTGCTGATAGACGTAAGGCTAGCCGCTAGCATCACATGTTTCCTGAAATGGTATACCTTGAGCTCCGAGTAAAATGCCAACCAAGAATGTGTCACCAAGCTTTGATAGCGAAAATCACGTGTTGAGCGAGAGTGAATAGGTACAAGCATCGAACAAGATATCGAGCTGCAAGCGCCATAGATGGTTATCAAGCAATACTGTCCTCTTGCGCGTACTTTCGTTTGATCTGGGCGTCACGATACTAAGCTTCTCAAAACACAAACAATGCTGGGACGTCTCAGAATGAAAACAGTAAGTCCATCGTTCACTAGCTGTAAACGTATATTTGCACTCCATCCAGCATCAGGGCGATTTAAAGTGCCGTGCCGTCCTTAGTCACCATCGTGAAAAGCTTTTTAATAGTCTTGGCTTGGTCTTCAATCATTGCATTCTGGTGCTCGAGGATGACATTTTGCTGCTCGAGAAGCTCTATGATTCGATCACTGTCGGATTGGTTGCCCTGAATGGTACACTCCTGTTCTTGCTCCTGAACCTGCACTTGCTGTTGCTGTTGGGTTACAGCAGAAATTACTGCCATTTGCTGGTGGTACTGCTGCAGTTGCTGCTCATACGTTTGATGGTCCAACGCATTGATTGTCATTTGCTGGAGTTGCGATTGATCTGCGTCTATGCTCGTATCATTGGCATCGGTCGTCGCTACATCTGCAGGTGTAGGTGCAAGTGGCTTCTCCTCCACCAACACGCCTGTAGACAAGTTAAATCGCTTGCAGAAATTGTAGTACCATCCATTAGATGCCTGGAAATTTCCTAGTCCATACTTAGGCACCAATAACTTAGCCTTCTCCTTGACAAGAGACGGCGGTACCGGCACTTTCCGCGCCTTAAGTCCTCTTACCCACTCAAACAACTCTCGTTCAAAAGGCACACTCAAAACGTGGCCCCCTCGTTTTCGACCGTCCCTAGTCTCAGCACTGCCGTAGCGGTAACGAGCTCGCACCTCAGAACCTTTCTGCTTGAGCTTCTGTATGGCCGCACGCGTAATGCCGTAGCGTCTTGCGATTTCGGCGTTCGACAAGCTACCGCTACTTTTCTCCATCATATCTAGAATCTCCACACGCTGTCGATCGGTCAGCCTCCTTCCCACTCCTTTTCCTCGCCTATTAGAATCTGTAGAGTCCTCGGTAGCCTCAGAAGCCGGGGCAGAGACGTCCAGCTGCGTGGCTGGGACGACGACTTGTTGCATCGCTTCTATCGTTCCACTGAATGCATCAGAGGATACGATATGTTCATCAACGAGCGCTATGGATGAAGCAACAGTCGGTGTTGGGTGCGCATTCGTTGGGAGCTGTGTAGACGCAGTAGGGATAGCGTCGGCCTTGGTCGACGGCTCCATGGTTTGTGTTGACATACTGAAATCTATACCAAGGCAGCCATCCATACAAAACCTATCTTAACGTATACTTACCCATCTCAGTTTCCATCGCAGTATACTTTTTTCAAATTACATAATCGTACCGATGCCAAAGCTTTGCGCTTTTATTTTACAATTTTTTTTAACAATTTATTTAGATATCTTGACCATAATTTATGCTCAAATTTGACAGATGAACCGATTTGATGACTCAAATATTACGATCGTTTCGTAAACTTTCCTACAAAACAAGAAAAAAGCACTTTATTGTAAATTACATTATTCTTATAACCATAACTTGAAATTCTTCAATATTATACATGCCGTTGACTGCACGACCTCGAGCCTTCTCGCATCAAGCGCTTAAATGGCTCGAAGAGGCGTCTACGAATCAACGCACGTCTCGGTCAAATAGTTTGACGTCCAATTCGTTGCGTTTGTATGGCCACTCGTACCTTTTGCCTACGCTAACGCTGCCGAAAGGGAACAACAAAGACGCTGAGAACTCGCAACAGCTTTTCCAACCTGCCAGAGCTAATCATCGACCCACGCCAGTGGTATTGGACCTCCACCAAGTCTCTAGTAATGGTGGGTGCTGGATACAGTACATCATTAGCTTTCTCTATAAGTTGTTTGTCTAAGGGGTGGGCTATTTTCTTACTCCAGCATCGGTTCATATTAGTTCTGATTCTTGTGATTGTTGTTGTATATAATTTGTCATAGGCTCACCACATTCGCATTCAATCAAGAAACATGAGTTGAGGAATCAGGTCTTGCAGCTACAGGTATGTTACATTGGCTCTTTAGGTATATACAAGCTCAAATGTATTGAGTTGTGCTCTTTGGTGTCTTGTTATGTAGAAAGCTGGATATATGGTTGTAGGCATCTCTAACGCTAGTGAAGACGTGAAGAGGACTGCAGCCGACCTCGAATTACCCTACTTTATAGGTACGAGGCTGCGACAGGAGCAGCGGAATTTTGGAGTAGATGTTGGGGAGCAGGAGGAGATTTCTACCGCTTCTGATGCAGCAGCCGTTTTCGTGGAAGAGGAAAAGTCTGTTCGTGTACATACAGTAGCAGATCCACTTCCACCAATGGTAGTGACCCATCCGGTGCGCTCAGGACAACAGATTTTTGCGCAAAATAGGTCACTCATAGTACTGGGCAATGTGAGCTCCGGCGCCGAGGTGATGGCGGACGAGGACGTGGTGGTGATGGGTGTGCTCAAGGGCCGCGCTCTCGCTGGTATCGGCGGTAATGTGCGCGCACGGATTGTCTGCCACAGTTTTGACGCAGAGCTTATTTCCATTGCACATTGCTTCACGACATGTGACGACGTGGAGCAGAATGAGACCGGATCGTTGCAGCTACACAAGCCCACGACTATCTCGCTCCAGGATGACCAACTATTTTTTGAATCGTCGTCGCTGTGATCCGATGGGGTTTGTTGTTGACAGCATGGATTTGCACGAGAGAGCGCATTGTCAGTCCCACCATATATGGTGTTTGTATATCTACTTCTATCCTAACACACTTCAGCCGCTTCTTCGCAGCAATTCTATCCTACACTTTGCCGATACTGAAATACATCCTCTGTTCTACACACGACACTTAAGTAAAATCTTATTGTTTTGTTGCGTCTGCTACAACTCACTGCTCCGCGTCCAATGAACTTTGGCTTGGAAGTGCTCGCGCTCGTTCACGACGTCTTGCAGGTCGCGACGGTACTCAAACGTGCTCTGGCAGTCGCGTCCGCAGAATGCGCTTGTGTCCGGTGCAACAGACAGCGGCCGGAAAAAGAGCAGCCCGCAGTTGTAGCACGTGATCTGGGCGGCATTGCGTTGCACCCGTGTCCTGAACCTTGGCTGTGCGCGAACGTCCGTGTGGGTCTGCTTTGCTGTCTCTGTGAAGCAGTCGCGATACTTCTCGAGCTCTTTCAGCATGTGAACACGTTGCCATTTGCTAGGCTCACAGCTCGGTATCGGCGTGTGTTCTACTGTATCGGTCGTCTCCATGGCTCCAGGACACGAGCACGCTCTTGGCCGAAGATGTAGTCGGCGCTGCACGAATCGCCACGCACGCGCGTAAATGCTGCGGTTATGATTGTCAACGATGCAAGTGCTGGTATTGCTGCCGGTGAAGTTGCACATTGTTGTCATGCCAGAGCTTTGACTGTGGGTCACGGATAAGGTCTTCACTTCAGTATCTAGAGGCACTTGTTGCTGTGCCGTTACGCTCTGACAGATTGCGAGCATCACGAGACAGGGAGTAGAAAACACTACTTCTCAATACAAATTCTACCATGACGAGCCCCGACGCATTAGCGTAATTCAAGTGAAAGAACAGTATTTTGTTCCGAATTGACGCCCCTTTCCCAAGAACAACCCCAGCTCTACGCGTTAAGTCGCTTTTGCTTCCAACGTCAAACATGCGACAGATCAAAGCTCGTGTAAATTTTCGCTACTCGTAATGTGATTGCGTCAGCTACAGAATGATGGTAATACTAGTAATTCATGTTCGATTAGAGTTAGTTACCAGGAAAATTGTTTCAATGATACGAGTGAGTTTGTCAGTAGAATATGTTACAAGGTTGTGAGTTCTACGAATTTCTAAAAGCTGCGTGGTTGACTCGCATTGCTCTGTAGCATAATTACTAGAAACGAACAAATTACAGGTACGATAGGAAACCGCAAGGCGGCAAATGTATTGTCGCGGCTGCGCAAATTCATTTTGACAAGTCCCAACTTGTAACATTTTGCGTCATACTACCAATGAGCGATGCGAGTCTGAATTCATTCAGCTCGTGATGCGTTTATTTTCAAGCTGTGTGGCAGCTACGGGATCAAAACGATGCTTTCAAATACACTGCGTTTATTGCCTGTAACAACTCGTGTCACTGTACTACAAAGTCTGAAAGCAGCACAACTGTATTTCGCAGATATGTGACTTCATTGAAGGCTAAGGACAAACTGTTGGTGAGGAATACAATGTATGGTGTTATAAGAAACAGTGCAGTTCCGCACGTGCGTTGAATCATGATGCTTCCACTCTTCAGTTTCTAGCTCAACTCTGATCATCATTCTACGCGGGCATAGAAATAAGGCAGCTTTGTTTTCTTATCCAGAAGACAACAACAACTTACTTCTTTTCTTCTGTGTCATACTTTGTCTCCTCAATGTTCTCTTCATTTTCCTCTTCTTCAGGGCTATCATTCAGCACATGGTAGTACTCCGGATTAGCGTCCACGCAGTCCCGCAGTCCCAACGTCTGAGCTCCGCATTGTTCAATAAAGTCTTCGCCACTCTTCTTGCAGCGATCTAGGCAAGCCTCCCACGCCGTAAACTCCTTGCCGCACGGACCTGCTTTCATAAACTTGCAAAATCCACACTCAGCCTTAGGTGCTGTGCACTCCCAAGTTACTGCGTCGAATTGGGAAGAGAGACACACAGTTCCCTGCAGTGCCAGCTCCTCGCTCTGTTTCGCATCTAACTTCGTAACCGTGGCCTCCACGGCTGGGAAGGGGCTAAACAGCGGTAAATGCTTCGAGTCAAAAGCCGGCAGCTCACCTGTCCAATACGTTGTCGTCTTCTCTTCATCCAGTAGATATCGAAGCTTGTCACTGGCGCGCAGACGCTCCAGCAGCACGCTAGAATATCCGGCACTAAGTCCTTCGGCTGACGTCGATAGCGTCAGGTGCGCGGGCTCCGCGGCATCTTCATACTCAAGCGACTCTCCCGTCTCAGTTGTGACAGCAACCAATACCTAAACAACATAACGAATTCAAACTAAGAAATACGAAGCCTTACTATCGGTTAAATAGGTATCGCACCGTCTGAGCATGGGCATCCTCGGCCACTCCATGAACGCGCAGGTTGGCCGCACGTCCAAAAAGAGGTGCAAACGCCTCCTGTTCCTCATACGTAGGTTGGAACCGCAGCACCACCACCAGTGGCTCGTTACCATCGCCCTTAAACTTGCTTGGGAACTGTTGGCGCAGACGCGCGGCCGACTCTTTCTCTACAAATACACCCACAAAGTCTACAGCGGGAGATGATTTGGCTTCAGGTTCTGCCGCTTCTAGATGAGCGGATGACAAAGCAAAAAGAGCTGTTGGAGCCGCCAGCGACGGCAGTAGGTGACGCGAACGCAGGAACGGGCGTGACATATGAAAAATAGTCGAATACTAGCCACAAGCAGATCTATTCAAGACACAATTGTGTATTGGACATGGCTTAAGGACAATCATTCCGCAGTAGTTTAAGCTCATTGATATTATTACTCACAACATTTTTATTCTCGATAGTACTATTTTACGAGTACTATTATTGCAACCATTATATTCTTATCAAGAGGTATTACTATTACAGAAATATATATTTCGAGAAGAGCATTTGTGAAAGTTGAAATATCATATTGCAGACAATTTTACGAAACAATCAATCTTTTCCATTAGCTGTAACGTGAATTTCACATCGTTGTCCTTGGATTTGTTTCATTGATGACAGTCCTATGGTGTTTCTCTACATCGTGTCTAAATGGAACAGCAAGACCACAATCTAATAGCTCCAATGTATAGATTACCAGGATGCCTGGTGGGCTTGGGCGGCCTGATTGGCCATGAGGGAGGCCTGGGTACGCTGCTGCTGCTCCTGGTCGCGAACTCGTTGCTGACGCAGACGTGCAGCCTCAATATTACGCGCAACTTCCTCGTCGTCGCTTTTAGCAAAGTTAAACCCGCAGCCCATGCAGAATTTGGCCGTAAACTTGCAGTCCTTGCTGCAAGTTGGGCAATTCTTGGTGCTGAGCTGCGAGGAGGGCGCGGACCAAGATCCCGACGTGGGAATTGGAGCAGGCAGCGGTACGGAAGTATACGAAGATGACGACGTCGATGAGAACGAAGATGAGAGACTCGGTGTTGGGGCTGCAGAAGTCACGGCTGCTACCACTTTCGTTCCACAATGCAGACAGAACTTCTGAATTTGCTTCAGAGGCTGGCTGCACTTTGCACAAGCAATCGGGGCTGCCCGAGCCGGCTGTGGGGCCGAGAAAGAGGATGTCGAGCTAACGGACGATACAGGCGATGGGACTGCCACTGGAGCAGGAGGTGGAGCAGTCGAAACCACTTTTGTACCGCACTTTGGGCAGAATTTCTGCGTTGCCTTGAGCGTGCAACTGCACGATGCACAGCTGTGCTCACCACCAGGAAATGACGATGACGAAGATGAGTTTGATGCAGATGAATTTGTGCGCTGCACTGGTGCTGGAGAAAAGTTGCCGCTTGGAGCTGATGGCGCCGACGAAAAGCTGTTGCTGGATACAAAACCACGGGGAGCTGTGGTAGCCGCAGCAGTAGCCACCTTCGTTCCGCACTGTAAGCAAAACTTTTGCGCAGGCTTGAGCGCCGCAGTGCAGCTCACACATAAGTTGAATGTAGCAGGGGCAGCAGCACTAGCAGACACAGACAGTGTCGACAATCGCAGAGCTTCTTGGCGTAGCTGATCTTCTTGTCGTTTTGCTTCAAACATCTTACGCGCTTCTTCTTCGGCCTGACGTCGGTTCGCTTCACGTCGTGCCTGTTCCTCTCTCAGCCTTTTCGCTTCCTCTTTTTGTCGTTCTTTCGCAATGCGTTTCGCTTCCTGCTTCTTCAGTTCTTCCTGCGCAGCATGCGCCTCGGCACGCAATTTCTCTGCCCTCGCCAGCTTCTCCTGGGCCATTCTCTCGGCGTCTTCTCGACGTTCACGCGCCGCCTGTGCCACCTGCAGATGCTGCTGTCTCTGCGACTCTAGCTCCTGTTGTATACGTGCATTTTCGCGCTCCACCGCCGCTCGTTGCTGCGCTTCATAGTCCGAGATTGCGTTCTGAGCCGACAGTCTCATAGCCTCCGCTCGGTCCCGCGCTTCTTGAGCTTGGCGCTCCGCCTCCTCGCGACGTCGCACTGCTTCCACCCGCTGCGCATCAATGGCTCTACGCTCGTTCTCCGCTTTCAAAGCGCGTGCCTCGTTGTCTCGAGCGGCTTGGGTCTCTACTTGTGCACGCTGATGCGCCTCATACTGAGCGATGGCATTGGACGCTTCTTTTTGACTAATATCAGCGTGATTTTTGGCTTCCTGGGCGCGTCGCTCGGCTTCTTCACGCAAATGACGCGCATCTCCCACGTCTACAGTTGAAGCAAACGTCACGCGACGCGCGGAGGCCGGTGCAGCGCCAGGAATTGCTTCACCTTGAGGAATCAATGATACATGAAGATATCAGGTTGTAGAGGGAGTTAGAAAGCAATACTGATACAGCTAAAGAAAGAAAAACATACCACATTCAGGACAAAACGCTCCCTGTAGGTCTGGGGCCAAATACGAGCCACACTCGCCACAAAAACCCATGGGGAAAAGAAGAGAAAGAAGAGGTCGTTTATCTGCCGAGTAATTGTCTTTACGTGCGACATCTTCAAGCTGAAATGTAGTACCGTAGATCATCTCGATAAGTACGATCAACTATCCTTGTTTGACGGGAAAACCCTGTCAAATCGAATGATCCAATCAGCCGTTCCTGGATCGCCACGTAGAACGCACACAGTGGAATTTCTGAGCTTGACTTGCAGACAATTTACGCAGGTTTTTATACCTCGCTCTACTTGACTTGCTCGCTTGCTCGCAACATTTCGTCGTAACTGTACACGACAAACTAACTCAATTCACTTTACGCGTCTGCTAATAACTTTAGTATGGGTGCCATTGATGTGCTGAAGAAATGGGATTTTTACAAGAAGATTCCAGAGGTACGATTGCCTGACTGTTACTATTGCTCTCGTGGGTCTGAAATGCTGCTAACATTAAGCTACACATGTATTGTTTTACCTTGGTTCTTGTTATTTATTTGTATTGGATTTGACAGTGAGTACACTGCCCGGTGTAAGTCTGTCCATCGTCGGCTGCTTCATCATGTTTTTGCTCTTTATCCTCGAGTTCAATAGCTACCTCACGGTAGAATACAAGTATGATATTATAATGGATGAAGGACTGGACCAGACTATGCGCATCAATTTTAACATTACTGTACCAGATTTACCTTGTGAGTTTGCCTCTGTGGACGTGTCAGACACGACAGGCACACGTAAACACAATATGACATCCAATATCTATAAGATTCGGTTGGACCAGAAAGGCCGAACGGTCGGTCTTGCCGCGGAGAACCAGATCATGCCTCGATTTACAGATGACGAAGAGTATGGCGATTTGCCCGAATCGGACGCTATTGTGACCATTTTGGATGAGACGAACTTTGATTCTTTCCTTGGACAACATCACTACGTGGCAGTAGACTTTTACGCGCCCTGGTGTGTATGGTGTAATCGACTGGAGCCGGTGTGGACGCGTGTGGCCAAGACGCTGCCGTCGCTACACTACGGCCAGCAACTACGTGTTGCATCGGTGGATTGCCAGTCGCACCCGCAGCTTTGCATGAGGCAGTTCATCCGTGCGTACCCGAGTATTATGTTTTACAAGGATGGCGATGCATCACCTGTTGAGATGTACTTTGGAGATCGCACAGTGGAAGCCTTTGTGGATAAGTTTAAGCAGCTCATGGCGGGTGAGATGGACGCTGCAGAGATTCGCAAAAAGGATTTCTTTGAGCAGGACAAGAAGGAAGCGCACCGGCAGGGACGGGCAATTGCTCGCTCGGGTGTCGGTCCTGAGGGATGCCGTCTGTTTGGCTTTTTGAACGTAAAGCGCGTTCCCGGCAATTTTCACGTGCACTTGTCGAACCCGGCATACTCGATGGATTCATCGTTGGTAAATGCGTCGCATACGGTAAACGAGCTATGGTTTGGTGACCACTTGGCGCCCGGCGACATGTCGAAGCTGCCGCGCGAGGCGCAGACGCAGCTCTACACGCATCGACTGGACAACCAGGATTTCACATCGTTTAACAAGAACCACACGTACGTGCACTATATCAAGGTCGTGACGAACTCGTATGTGCAAAGCGATGGATCAGTGATCAACGTGTACAAGTACACGGCGCACTCGAATGAGTATGTGGAGACGGATGACTTACCATCCATTATGTTCCGCTACGATCTATCGCCAATGTCTGTGCGCATTTCGGAGGATTCAGTGCCGTTCTACCACTTTATCACGTCGGCTTGTGCTATCATTGGTGGTGTCTTTACCGTCATTGGTGTTGTCGACCAGATCATTCATCAGACTTCGCGTGCTTTGAACAAGAAGATGTTGTAAGAAGGAGCATCAGATGCAAGGCAGAGAGTAAAAAGGTATGTAGAAGAACTGCTTGAAATACAACGTTAAACGTCTTTGCAAACCATTACGAGTTTGTTACATTGCAGTCGATGATATCCCAACCACCTGCTATTTTAACCAGATTTTTGATGGTCTTTTTGTATACACCGAATCCGAAATCAGGTTGACCACTCCCCTTCATAATTCAATTTTCATTGTCTCGGAGTTGTCGGGCACGATAGTGTCTGTCATGCAGGACACACCGTCGTCCAATAATAACATTTGGCACGTGGATTACAATGCAACCGTGGCCAAGGATGCAGCCATGGGCTGGCAGGGAATGGGCTTTGTGCTTGGTCTAAATGGTGTTATGTTCCTTGTGGCGCTGGCGATTTTCCAGGCAGGCGCACGAAGTACTCGCTTTAGTCTCTTTCGCTTTGGCTCGAGCTCGATTTTATCTGTGAAAGCGCAAGAAGCGGCTCAATTTACGCTTAGAAAGTGGATTGATTTGCTGTGGCGTACCCCAATACGAGACACGGATGTGGAGCTGTGTCTCGGTCCAGAAGGCACATTCTATCTGCTGTATCAACAGTACACGGCGCGGTTTCTTGGGACACTTAGTGTGTTTGCCATGGTTGTGTTGCTGCCACTTTACCTCATGATTGGAGCCAATGCCTTGCAGCAGGTGGAGTCAGCTGCGGAGGCTGCGGTCAAGGGCATTGAAGGACTTGCAAACAGCTCTCGAGCTCTTACAGTTACAAATAATCTCTACGTAATGGAAGAAGATGCTGTTACTGCTAGTGCGAGTATGAGTGACACCGAGGAAGACACTAAGTGGTGGTCATTTGCTCATGCCACGATCCGTGTCATGCCGCGCAAGTCACCGTACCTTTGGGTGCCGGTAGTGACGTGTTACTTGACGACGGTCGTGTTTTTAATTTACTACCGGCAATTGAGCGCGCTTTCGATGATTCCGGCGCCTGATTCTAGACGAGGACTAAAGTCAAGTAAGATTGTAATGCAACGCTCATCTTCTACCATGTCCAACGCGACTAGTAACGGGGCTGCAGCAAGCCAGCCAGTTGGAGAAGGAGACAAGACGACTGGTGGAGGAGAGGAATCTGCAACGCCGGAAGAAGTTGTATCGTCGGGTGAGGCGAAGGACCAGGAGGACGCGGAAAATCAGCCTTTGCTTGCTCAAGAGAAAGATATAGCCGTGCAGGAAGAGCAAAAGACAAAGACATCCAAACGCACGCATTTCATTGGAATGCAACCCTCTACACTCAGTAGCAGGTCGCTCTTTGTGAATCGCGGAGTGCCCAAGACCCTTCGTGAGCAACGGATGCTTCGTCTGCTTAATGAGGTGTTTCCTGGTTATGTAGAAGATGTGAGCGTCGTGTTTAATCTTGCTGAATTTCACGGACTCCAAGCTCGTCGACGTAAAGAGGAAATAGAGTTAGCACGCATGAAGATTTTGCACGAGCGTGAGAATATCGGCGAGAAGCCGTCGTGGTCGCTTCGTTTGCTGCCTGGTGGTATGATGATTCCATCGCTTCGCTTGACATTGGCCAATTTGTTTTGCTGCTTCAAGTGGTGCTCGAAGCCTGTATCGATGGAAGAACAAGAGGAACAACTTGTACGTGGCATTAACAAGCTTCGAGACAAGGAGATGGCATGCTTATCTCGCATTTTGCATGAAAACAAGGGCGCTGGGCGCGCGTTCGTTATTTTCAAGTCAGCAAGACTCCGTGCTCGCTTTGTCCGCCGCACTCAAAATCAAAGTATCACGTCCATCTTAGCTCGTTTTCCGGAACATGCACAGTCTCGACTTGTGCGTTACGTGCGTGAGCTAGGCCTTACGCGGTGGCAGCTAGAAGCAGCTCCAGAGCCTGATGACATTGACTGGCAAAGTGTGTCGTTTCCCTTTGCGAAACGTACAGTGGTAGTGGTGTTGGTGAATGTATGTATTCTCGTGGTGCTCCTGCTGTTTACATCTCCTATTGCTGTGACATCCGCGATTACCAGCAGTACGATGTACTCAACAAACGCAGCTCAATCGCTGTCAGACTTTGTAGCGCTGTTCGGTGATCTGCTGAGGAAGGTATCTCCTCGTATGGCTAAACTGCTGGCGAACTACATTCCCACGCTTATTTTGGTGATGATCAATGCAGTGCTCCTGAACGTGCTGCAGATGGCCGGGCGCATCCAGCCTATCTCGACGGACTCCGCCAAGGAACGGTTGATCCTGCGCACGGCTTCCGTGTACTTGATTTTCAACACCATCTTTGTACCAAGTCTGGCGTTCATGTCCATTGATGCCGTTATACTGTACCTCGAAGACGACGGCGAGGTGTTGGGTATGCTCGGAACACTTTTCTTGCACAATTCCGGTATCTTTTACGTCGACTATGTTCTCCAACGGTGCTTCCTGGGTACTGCTCTCGTATTGCTGCGCGCCACCGAATATGTTAAATTTTGGTGGGCAAAGCCGCGTGCGTTGACGCGTCGCGAGCAGGTTCAGGCGGTAGAATCGGACCAATTCTACGCAGGCACGCAGTCGGCTATGCAGATCAGTACGCTGACCGTGGTGCTCATGTTCAGCACTGTCGTGCCGTTGATTCTTCCTTTGGGCACGCTTTACTTTGCAATGCAACACGGCGTGGATAAGTACTCGCTGCTGAATGTGCGTCGTCGCATTAAGGGACGCGGTAGCATTGCTCGTACTGCCACCCATGCCACATGCGTGAGTCTGCTCTTGTACCAGGGTGCCATGAGCGGGTTCATCCTCGAACGGGGTACAACAACCCAAAGTGCTGCCGTGCTAGTGTTGCTTATGGGCACATATATCGTCGTGTTATGGGGATATGTGCGGGACAAGGAGCAACAACATCATATGATAACACGCAGCGGCTACAAGTATCTTGAGGACAGCACGAGTGTACAAGTCGCGGGTATGACGCCCAAGTCGACCGAGGTTCCGCTCAGCATGTTAAGCTCGAGCCTCCAGTCACTGGAAGTAAGTGAGCTCAAGGAGCTTTGTACAGGCGACAAAGAATCTCGAAAAGGACTTGTTTCGATGCAACGTTCACTAGAGACACTTGACGAATCTTCAGCTTTGCTGATGGGTTCATCGAACACTGACTTGGACTTCTTGGCTGGCCTTGACGCTGACTCGAGCGATTTGTACCGAGAACCTGCGTTGCGTAAATCCATGCGTATGAGCTTTGGACCGCAAGATCTTGGAGACTATGGCACATGGCGTCAAGTGTAGCAACGCGCACGTTCATGTGACCATCACCACCATTAATGCGAAAACCCCAATAGTGTAGCCATTTCATTCACTTTAACATGGACCCCCATGTCGATTTCCATTATTTCATGTGGTTCACGCTAATGTCATCATCATCAACATAATTCGCTTTCCTTTTTTGATGTCATCCACATAAAAATATCCACTCACTCCCCCCCCGACAATCAAATTCTCATTATGGAGACCGAGTGGCATACATTGGGTAAAGTCCAGTATCAGAAATGGACTCTATACGGCATGAATTGGGCCTCGGAAGGTGTAAAAGATCTCCGTGATTTTGTATCATCTTGTGCTCCATTTGGTGGACCCATTGCTCTCTTACGTGATCCTAAAAAGCTCGTCAAAGTAGCATCCGACAAGACATTAACACGTGAATTACTACTATTTAATGCGTGTGGACAGAAATTAGGATCAACAGACTGGAAACAATATGAAGACAAGCGAGAGACACTTGTTGGTATGACATGGACAGATGAATTGCGATTACTTTGTGTATTTGCTAGTGGTAATTGTGTAGCGTTTACAATGACGGGAGAGGAAGAAACACGGTTTGCATTATTACCACCAGGTTCCAAGGACAGAGTTGCTACGTTTGAAGCATGGGGTGGAGGTCTTGTAGCACTTACAGAGAAAATGGCACTTGTACAAGTACTTGACATTGACTCTGTGCGTCCAAAAGTATCGTTACTACCAGATTGTGGGCTATCAGATATCAATCCACCTACGTGTATGGCAGTATTAGAACCCAAGTTTCTAAAAAGCATTTATCCGGATGTTTTGCTTGGTACGAGCAATCGATCATTGGTGATTGTTAATAAAGATGGAGGCGCTCAAGACATGAAGCTACAGGATTCCATTTCTGCTCCCATTTCAGCAGTAGCGATCGCTCCGAACGGTCTTTTTATGGCTTTGTTTTCACAGGATGGTATCCTGACAGTATTGAATACAATGATGGACAAGAAAATTCTTACTTTTGACACACAAAGCAAAGCCAGTCCACTAAGTATGCGCTGGTGTGGAGAAGACTCGGTGTTGATGTACTGGCCAAGCGCTGGTTTAGTCATGGTGGGACCTTATGGATCATGGCTTCGTTTTCCATACTCGGAGAACATTGTTTTGGCACAAGAGGTCGACTGCTGCAGAGTCTACACTGCATCCTCACATGATATCGTGCTCCGGGTACCGACGTGTGTCGAAAACATCAAGGGTGTGGGCTCTACTGCTCCAGCAGCGATGCTGTACCAGGCTCTGGACGCCTTTGACTCGGGCGATGCCAAAGCAGACGAACACATTCGATTTATTCTGGGTCAAAACGCATTGGAAGACGCTATCAAAGACTGTGTGGATGCTGCTGGCAGCGAGTTCGATTACGCATCGCAGACAATACTGCTGCGCGCTGCATCGTACGGCAAGTGCTTCGTAGAGTCGGCCATGGATGTTTCCTCGGCACTTCCAGGAGGCACTGGAACTGGAGGTGGCAACGCTATGATGGACACTGAGATGTTTGTCGACATGTGTCGCAAGATCCGCGTGCTGAATGCTCTGCGCCAGCAAGACATCGGCTTCCCGTTGACTGTGACGCAATTTGATCGGCTCACGGCGGAGGTTGTGGTCAGTCGCCTTGTGGCGATGCGTCATCATTTCTTGGCCCTCAAGATCTGTGAGTATTTGAATATCCCGACGGATCGGGTACTAATCCATTGGGCCTGTGAAAAAGTGAAGGCGGCTACATCGTCCAACGTATCGGATGAAGCGCTGGTCGCGCTTGTGCGTAAGAAACTGAAGAATGCAACCCTGGTTTCGTACGCAGACATAGCCAACTGTGCGGAGCGCGTAAACCGGCGGCGGCTTGCTACAATGTTCTTGGATCTGGAAGAAAACGCGTCCGACCAGGTACCACTATTGCTGTCCATGGGCGAATTTGAGCTAGCATTACGCAAGTCCCTTGAGTCCAACAACACAGATCTCATCTATATGACATTATTCCACCTCGAGCGCACTCTGCCATCAATGGACGAGTTCCGTTACGTTTTGAACCGTGAGCCGATGTATGCCGAGGCTGTGAATCTTATGCTTCTATACTACCGTGCTACAAAAAGCTCGGGCAGCCCTGCGCTTTGGACAGATGTGGCCAGCGCTGAGAACGATCTATTGCTTTCGCTTAGGACTTCAGACGTGGACGAGAAGATCACGGCACTAAAGGATGCAGCAACTAAGTACACCAACGCAAAGTTGACTGCTCATGCCAAACTCACCGAGGAGCAGATTGAGTTGCTGCAAGAGCAAGGAAAGCTGGAAGAGAAGCCCGAGAATGTGAAGCGTCGGAAGCTCGTGGGTCAGTCGATCTCAAACACGATAAAGATGCTACTGCGCGATAGCAAGTACGAACCCAAGTTGCTGCCATTGGTTGCTGCATTTGCCAAGAAGTTTAAGGTACCGGACAAACGATTCTACCGGGTAAAAATCAAGGCTCTTGCTGAGACGCAGCAGTGGGATTCACTGCACAAATTTTCGATGGAGAAAAAGAACCCGCCGTGCGGTTTCAAGGCGTTTGCCATCGCGTGCCTCGAGGTTGGTGAGAAGCAGCAGGCCGAGAACTACACAGCTCGCATCACGTCCGTGGACGAAAAGTTTGAGACGCTTATCCATCTCGACATGTACAGCGATGCGCTACAACTTGCCATTAAGCTTAAGGACCCGGAAAAGCTTACGAATGTGCGCAATCTCTGTAACGACGAAACCATTTGCAACCAGGCGGATAAGGCAGCCATGGATTTGGGCTTTGTGTCATAAGTGACTCAGAAGCAAACCTAGTCTTTGCGACTTTGCATTTGTATATTGCTGTATCAGTCGCACGAGTGGGGGAAGGTAGAGGGTCGATCCAACGTTTTTGTTGGTCGGTCAGGATTGAATACGGAAGCCACGACGAACTCGTTGCTACTTCGCCCCAAGGTATCTATCAGCTTAGCCATTGCAGCATTTCAGTCAAATATCGCCATAACCGTCACCTTCATACTATGGAGCTGGTGGAGTTTTTATCGTAATTGCATGCTACATATACGTGCGTTATTATGAGGAAGGCAGGACGATTTCTCAAACGCGACGGCCAATTCCGCAAGAAGATTAATGTGCAAATACTCCAGAGCTCCATGCTTAAATTTTTGTAGGGAACGACTGCATGCGCCTTGGCGTCACATCAATCAAAGGCTGCAAGTTGCAATAAGGTTGTGAAAGTGAAGCTCTTGCTGGCTGGTGTTGGCAATGCCAAGGTAAGATGAAGTATTGAAGCGTTTGATAAATCTACTTGCCTCGATCACATTACTCATGCGTTTGTGTCAGCACTTGTCACCGTTGATCGCTTTCCTTGGGTATCATGTAACGCCATCCATACAGTCTAGCAATATACCCTTATCTTGTTCGTTTGCACCAGCGGCGTACAAGGTCAGCGCTCCTTTCGCAGCTAGTGCGTGAAGTAACTTGTTCGTGCTGCTTGCCTTGCGCTAGAGCTTGAGCATCTTGTTTCGAGTGCTCTCGTCAATGCAGTTGTCCTTGTAATAAACATACCAACAAACAAATGGTCGTCTTCACTAGACTTTAAAGTATTTAGCTGGATGAATCTGTCGTCTATTCGTATAGATAGATAGATACACAGGACCTTGCTGGCTGCTAAGGTTACGGGCTACGAACTGCCGTAATACGAGAAAAGCTGAGATGATTACTGTCTCAATTGTATCTCACGTAGGCTGGGATCTTCTGTGGTTGTCGACAGCTTTTAAGTTTTTCCTGCCCTTGCCAAGCCTTGCTTGCGTTGCCCGGCGGTAGGCATCTATAGCAGCCCCATTATTATGCGGACCCGAGTGTTCGTCATGCTGGACTTGCTGCGGTTCAAGGTTGTGCGTGGTCAATAGTGATTTTCAAGCTCGCTTTAAGCTCTCTTCAACATTTTCAGCCTCGATAAGTCGTTCCGTGTGTGGTCGTCAGCTTTTGATAGACAGAGACATGAATATAAGTTATCATGTATGTCGAACCCACTTGGCGACTGAAAAAGCGCCGCTTCTGTCGTGAGCATGACTTGTTCGATGCTACTTGTTTGCTGCATCTATGAAGCTATGACATTACTTGCTCTTGTCTCCTTCCTCTTCTATCATACATGTAGTGAGTGAATCAGATCGTAGTACGGCATGACATCTACACTATTGAGTTATGGCTGCAATGTCAGTTACATCACCAAAACAGATTGACGAGATGCCGACTGTATGGGCGAGACATACACGCCGTAGATGACCAGCGAGGAATATGAAGCCCTACAGAAGAAGATGGGCGATAAGGAATATACGTAAATGTGTGTTTATATACTTTACACGGCTTCTATACTGAAACTACTTAGTTAATCACGGGTGTGGTGACTTGCGGTTGTGTCCGCTGTGTGCAGTGCTCGGCACACAAATTACCGTTGCGCTCGTATGCAGGCTTCTGACACGTCTCCACCAGACAGCGTTTACCACCACCATGCGCCCAGCACAAACCATGCGATACTGCAATCTTAGAACACCCGCCGTGCTTACAGCGAGTGCCCCCGCCATGCGACCAGCAAATGCCACGCGACTTGGCGCGCTTTGTACACCCCTCCACCGTGCAGCGCGTGTAGCCACCGTGCTTCCAGCATAGTCCGCGGTTCTGCGCGCGGCAGTTGCAGCCCTCGACAGAACAGCGCTTGCCACCGCCATGACGAATGCAAAGCCCGCGGTCCACCACGTACTTTTCACACCCCTCCGACTTGCAAATGCGTGTCTTGCGTTTCTTCTTGGGCTGCGACATACCATCTCGTGTCTGAAGCAAGCTCGTCGTCATGGGTGCCGAGGACGCAGCGTTCGCGTACGGGTGATACAGCATCGTGGATGGAACAGGCGACGCAACAGGAGCGTACGGCTGGGGCAAGAGATGATCAAACTGCACATCCACCCCTTGACGAGACGGCGGGTTTAGCAGGAATGAGATCGATGACGACGTACGAGTCGGTGATGCCTTGATTGATGCGGCGTAGCTACTCTGTGCCGCAAGCGTGCTCATAAGGCTCGGCAGTGTTGGCAAGCGAGGTGCCAGTGACGGTAGACGATTGATACGGCTAGTGAGCGGGGCCGAATACGGTTCAGATGGCAACGAGGCCGCCCGCAAGAGAGGTGTCAGGTACGAGGATTCAATGGGGCCAGCTTGCATTGTCAATTTGATTACTGGGGGTTTGCGAGGTTAGTAGAGTTTTATGAAATGCGAATACAAGAGCAAAAAGTTATGCCACGGATGCACTGATAAATTCCGCGATGAGCTGTGGAGCTTGAGCTGTTGGTCGCGGCAGCTGTGGCGACTGGCAAGAGTATATGGGAAGATTTGCCCATAGAAGCTGTGTACAGGGCGATTTGTATCGCCAAAATGTAAGCATCCGTCTGTCCCACCTTGCCATGGTCCATTCTCAATGGTACAGAGACCGTCACGCTACTGTCCAGTGCTGGGGACAATTGTTTATTTATCCTCTTTTACAATCCAGTGCATTGGGGACAGCAAAGCGTCATTGCTATTTACTGCCACATCTGACGTCACTGTCATACATGTACAGTAGCAGCTCAAACTTTTCTGCGAGGCGTATGCGATTATTTTAGGATTTGAAGTATGTATCCTTGAGTAAACAGATTATGTCTTCGTCTATCCTCGATAGGGTTAGCACCCGCGATTTCGGTAGGAAGAAGAATGCACCAATGCGGTGGAAGAGCCTCGCACTATAAACGCTGGTCCGATCGTCGCGGTGATGTAAACCTGCTAAAAAGTCGTACCGTTGTGGATGCGAGAGCAGATCGTCACCGTCTTGCAATTTGTTATCGTGCAGCTTGTGTTAGTAGGCTATTAATGGTGGCACACATGTGCGCTGGCAGTTGTTCATTGATGAAAATACGATGGGCGCTACCTAGAGCGCCGTGGTAAACTTAGCCAGTATTGTACATCGAACATTAAAATGAAAGCAATGTAATCGACAAGAATATGCATAACCTAGACGCTTATGTGCTTTGTTTTCCCAGCTTCGCATCCCGATCCTAAGAGAAGACGCTTTTGTCTCATCCAACCGACACGGCTACACACCCATGCACTTTCGAGGCATGCTGCCTTTCGATCGGTGCGGCAGCACGGGTTTAACCGTTTGACACAGCAAGTACCAAGCGGTCCGAGACAGGATGTTGAGCATAGCAAACACTTACGCGCTGCATTTTGGGTTGACGTCGTGCGTAGACAGCTCGCAGCTCATCAGGATAATACGCGACTGCCTTCATTTACAATGATTACCAGGCCGTCTTCATACAAGAATCACGTATCATTCTTGACTGACTCGTCTGTGACAGCCGCCAGCACGCTCACTTAATGTCCGACGCTGTTTACGGCCGGACAAATCTTCGTAGCTAACAGAAAGTCAGAAACGACATTGAACTGGCATGAATATTTGTGGATCGCGAAGAGCCAATTTTTACTCGGCAGTTAGAAAACAGCAGACACAACTATAACGAAAGTCAGGTCTCTAATGCCCCTCAACTTATACACACTTGAGACACACTGAGCTTTGTATACCAAAAAATTAACATATGTATGATCTGTACGTTTTTACTGAGTTGTTACGATCGAATAAGACGTGTAATTAATGACAAACGATTACTTACCACAAGTGACTTAACAGGCTGGTAATGAGTGAGTAATCCGCTGCTGTGCAAACTGCAATTCTCTTTCGTATGTAAGATGGGAAACAAACTACTGTTTATGTAATGGTTTCGTACGTCTCAGCTATCCGCCACGAGCCACTGGCGACAAGCGCGACTATCCCGCGATCCATTTCAGGTGGTGTGCAGCAAGCCCTCGCGATGAACGACACAAGCAAGATATCCATCAAAGTGACGTACACTACAAAGACGACAGAAAAAAAGACACAGCGCCCTCTAATCAAAGCGATTGGGTGCTAGAAGATTTATAAAAAAGAGATGTTTAGAAGAGCATACCTTGTACAGCACAGCTTCGATCGAGTTCGCTAGCTCAGCTCGATGGAGCTGAAGTTGCTGGCTTGAACAAAACTGGTCACCACTTTGCAACAACTTTTGCATCTTAGCCTAAAGATGAAAGACTGCAGCTCGTCTCTCGTACATGTCTGACGTCGCGTCGAGTAAGAAGCTACAGCGCCTATGTCTTACGTACCTACATTTCGAGGCGCGCATGTTGACTAATTAACAATGCCCTCAATCATATTAATCATTAATTGTCAACGACCTAGGAACTACTAACGCGCTTAGGACGATGTGTATGATTCAGTTGGTGTCAACGTACTAGTGTGCGCAGCAATGGTAGCATTATTACGACAGGTTTGGCATAACTGCACGCGTTTTTGCTGTTGGAGCGGCGCACACTGCGAGCGCTTCATGTCCATAAACGATGAATTTTGGTTGGAATAAGGATCCACGAAGAAGGGTCGGTGTGGAGAGGCTATCGCGCAACGGACAACGCTATTGTTGACGTGTCGTATATCTTGGTAGTGCGGGGTGGTGGGTGGCCAGGATGCGTTGCCTTCCCCGGTGAGCTTCCTTTTTCGCTGCAATTGGCATCTAACCGCTCTCTTTGAGAGTCGGTAGAACCACCTGAAAAACGTGCACTAGACGGGGGCATTTTCTCATAGTTACGTCCGACACGATGCTTTCCAGCCGCGAAAGGTTCGACTGTCTCTGGTTGTCTGAGCACGACCAGCCAGCCTACATCAGCGAAGCTTTGGCACATCGTCTCTCCACTCGTTACTGGCGGCCAACACGTCTACAAGCAAATCGGCAGCAAATATTTTCTAATGCAAATAAAAAATACCTCGATGGCTTTCACAAAAAACGGAGGACTCGTTGGAATCCAGCCTGGCTTCACTGGACGCTCCACAGCCAAGACCGAGTTGCAAACTTCAACTTGCTTGCACTTTGTTTCGCAAGACGTACGACATGAGTAGCTAAGATTTGCGTCGCAGTGTCGTCTGCACAATTAAATAAGTATCACCTTTACGTTTGCTCAAACATGTCTTTTCCGATTTACCTACAATATTAAGGTCTTCTTATGATATTTACTTTGTCCAACGATGCCTTGCAACAATTTGCATGTAGCCTTCACAAGTCGTTAGCAGTGAAAGTAAACTAAAGATGGAGGAACTGGCCGTCATGAACACCACGACAAAGACAGAAGTGCTGTTAGAATATTGTGTCGAGATGCGCTCAATCAAGATCCCTTCTTGTGATGTAACAAGCTTAATTTACAGGTCATGGACATCCATTACAGTGCAGACAATTACAAAGACAATCACTTTAGCTCCATGTTCTGGAAACCTACAGAAATGATCCCCAAGATTAACAGAAGATTTCTGCAAAGTTCTGTATCGAGTGTTAGTCAAGCATATATACCACCTTGTGAGTAAGCAAACTTGTCGAAATTATAACTGGAGTCGTGACCTGTAAACACGAAGGAGCGAAACATGCCGCTCCAATTTAGCCTGCACCTACCATGGCATGGGCTCAGATGGCGTGCGTCCAGTTGGGCACTTGGTCTATAATCTGAAAGTTTTCGCCAGGCTGATTCTCTCGTTTGTTTACGATAAAGCCAAGACGAGCGTTTTGATGACAGCACATCCTATCCACACCACCATCCCCGCTCGGATTCTTGCAATCTACCGAAATTGAATCTGGAAAACATACGTCTGTGAAAAGCACGCGACGAGGGCGACACTGCTGCACCACACAGTTTACCAGGAATTGCATCCCCAGCCACAAAATCGTTGCACAGACAAGTGCAATGCTGCGTCTAACAAAGCTACAGAAACCTTGTCCAGCATTCAGCTTGCGCTGTAAAGAAGCCTCTGGTCTCGACCGGCCGATTTATTTCTACGGTAACTTGGGGATGCACTACTCAAATCTCGTACCTGAATCTTGACAGTCGCCAAAAGCGTGGTCACAATTCGCTTCGTCTCCGGCGAAATGAAAATGTTTGTGAAAACAAACTTTCGTCATTTCCTCAGTTGTTGAAACGCCACTAACCACGCAAACCCCCAGTAATCAAATTGACAATGCAAGCTGGCCCCATTGAATCCTCGTACCTGACACCTCTCTTGCGGGCGGCCTCGTTGCCATCTGAACCGTATTCGGCCCCGCTCACTAGCCGTATCAATCGTCTACCGTCACTGGCACCTCGCTTGCCGACACTGCCGAGCCTTATGAGCACGCTTGCGGCACAGAGTAGCTACGCCACATCAATCAAGGCATCACCGACTCGTACGTCGTCATCGATCTCATTCCTGCTAAACCCGCCGTCTCGTCAAGGGGTGGATGTGCAGTTTGATCATCTCTTGCCCCAGCCGTACGCTCCTGTTGCGTCGCCTGTTCCATCCACGATGCTGTATCACCCGTACGCGAACGCTGCGTCCTCGGCACCCATGACGACGAGCTTGCTTCAGACACGAGATGGTATGTCGCAGCCCAAGAAGAAACGCAAGACACGCATTTGCAAGTCGGAGGGGTGTGAAAAGTACGTGGTGGACCGCGGGCTTTGCATTCGTCATGGCGGTGGCAAGCGCTGTTCTGTCGAGGGCTGCAACTGCCGCGCGCAGAACCGCGGACTATGCTGGAAGCACGGTGGCTACACGCGCTGCACGGTGGAGGGGTGTACAAAGCGCGCCAAGTCGCGTGGCATTTGCTGGTCGCATGGCGGGGGCACTCGCTGTAAGCACGGCGGGTGTTCTAAGATTGCAGTATCGCATGGTTTGTGCTGGGCGCATGGTGGTGGTAAACGCTGTCTGGTGGAGACGTGTCAGAAGCCTGCATACGAGCGCAACGGTAATTTGTGTGCCGAGCACTGCACACAGCGGACACAACCGCAAGTCACCACACCCGTGATTAACTAAGTAGTTTCAGTATAGAAGCCGTGTAAAGTATATAAACACACATTTACGTATATTCCTTATCGCCCATCTTCTTCTGTAGGGCTTCATATTCCTCGCTGGTCATCTACGGCGTGTATGTCTCGCCCATACAGTCGGCATCTCGTCAATCTGCTTTGGTGATGTAACTGACATTGCAGCCATAACTCAATAGTGTAGATGTCATACCGTACTACGATCTGATTCACTCACTACATGTATGATAGAAGAGGAAGGAGACAAGAGCAAGTAATGTCATAGCTTCATAGATGCAGCAAACAAGTAGCATCGAACAAGTCATGCTCACGACAGAAGCGGCGCTTTTTCAGTCGCCAAGTGGGTTCGACATACATGATAACTTATATTCATGTCTCTGTCTATCAAAAGCTGACGACCACACACGGAACGACTCGGTTTCGACTTATATCGAACGCGTGAGTGGGATCCATTGGTTTGAGCAGATTAGCTTTGATCCCAAGTTTTGATTCTTATCATAATTAAGAAATTTGAAGGTGAATACCACGTTTTTACATTCCTTCCTTCATTTAATCGATGCCGGAGTGCATGCTGACGGTCTCTCATGCAACGTTGGAACAATCCTTAGACAGATCGCCAGCACCAAAACAAATCGGAGACGTGAGACGATAATGTGTTGTAGATAAGTCAGTTAGCATATCATAATCTCTCACGATGAGGGTGGTCTCGACAGCCTAAAGCCTTTACAGTTGAGGACCAGACGCTACGATACGTGAATTGCCGTTGCCAAAATCTTGGGCGGTAAAAATTACGCGGTCTGCAATTTGCTTAAAGGAAGTGTGTATTTAGTACGGACTGATAGTGCGATCAGGACGAACGAACAGTAAGATCATATGTAGCTGCTTTACACAAATTTATTAGTGTGCTCTTCCATACGTCGATAGGGTGTTACCTCACGTTGATTGAACAATCAGGATGAAGAGCGAAGCTGCCGATCACGAAAGTATTGAACGACATCCCGTCATGAAAGCGACAAACAACATATCACGATGTTGAATGATCACGAGCTAGCTGATCGGCTGGTTTGTTACTTCAAAGGTCGTGGAGAAAACTTACGTAAGTATTGGTACAGGTTAAACCTTGACAAACAAAATAAAGCACTGTTGCGGAGAAAGCTTGAAAACACGAAGGTGGCCACAGAAGTTGTTGAAAAAACATATGCATCATAGTATCTACAGAGGACAAAGGCCTACAATAATAACGTATCATTGTGCCCCTCCTTTCGACGTGTCCAAACTGATCGAAATGTTTGGCAGCTCTTTGTGCAACTGCATCATCAAAAGCAAACATGCATTTGATAACTGCAAGCGATCGGTGCAAAAAAATGCTGATCGTTGCTTCAAGTATCACCTTCTGCAGTCGAGCAAGTTAATTATAGAGGTTGCGCAGTTTTGTAGCTGAGCCACATTGTATAAGAAACAGTTGTGTAGAGCTCTCCTTGTCGATCTTTTTTACTTATGAGTTCCGTACGACAGGAAGGTTGCGCACAACAAGTAACAATCTCTTGTATGGTCACTAATGACTATTTGCAACCGTTGTGTATGTGGCAATGGGCATGTTGTACCTAAGCATTGGTCATACAGCCAGGCACCGAGCAGGTCTTGTTACAACCATGATGGAAGTAGAAACTGCAATCGTTTTTGAAGTTAGTCCGGGTGGTCTGCCTCCTGCCTGCGGATCGCTGGGGCTGCATATGAGCGTCGCTCTTTTCTCCGCAAGTGACAATTTGTGCGTACCCTTGCGCAGCGTGGCCACAGAATGTTCGGACTAGTGATCAGGTTGTTGCTGGTGGCACGACATCCAGCTGTTGACTAGGATGAAGGACAATAAGAGGTTGGGTGGTAGAGCTATTAGAACACGTTCACCGGAGAAAGGAAGTATTGGGTTGACAGACATCATATAATAAGTGCGCAGCAGTAGCCGAAGTCGATATCGGCGGTAGAGTGATACTGCGTATGACGTTTTGACTTGCTTTGACTTGTTCATGGCGAGCTGGTTGCGCGAGGAAATGGTCAATTGAAACTTCGACATAAGCAACACACGCAGCATTCAACAGTATTCTCTCGCCAGTTGGTATAGTGACCATAATGTTGTGTCGGACACGTCGGACGCGTAGAAGAGTGCAAAGTTCTCAGTGCATCCTGTCCTGCACCCATGGTAGCTCTGACAATGGCCACCAGCCTGCTTGTGGTCACTATGAACTCGGGTGCAATACCCTTATCTATCAGCTCAGCTCAGCACAGACAGATAGGAGAAGAAGATAAAGCTTTCGCCGTGCCCTTGGTCGAGACGACGTTATCGATGATTACTGTCGCTACATCACCAGCTGATCTGACTAGCAGTTGCGTCTGATGTCGTTTGCGAGAAGGAAGGATGCTTCGTGCAAGCGTCATCATTTTGGATCCGACAATGGCAAGACAAATGCGTGAACAATCCGTAAAAGTATCCATTACATGGACATATCCTGTCCACATTGTCAATGTCGCATCTCAGGGTCATAAACGCAGTCGGAAATAATCGACTCAGTGTTGCTGCTTTGTAGTTTTGGCTGCAGAGCCGCATGTACAAAGCAGCAATATAAGCTCAGCTAAGTCATAGATTAAGCGAATTGCCACGGGGTGTCGTGTCCTACGCGTCATTGCGCGGGAAATCCGTCAATCGGACAACCACCGTGTCACCTTTGTGTGATCAGTGTTTTCTGCGAGGTCTTAGAACTTGGTATTGGAGTGAACAACAGAGAGCTCGTCACTTGTAAGAGTACCAGCTTGTCGTGAGATGCACGAAAACATTGATAGCTTGACGATGCCCATGAATAGTGTGAACGCGATGCTTTAAGTTCGGTGGATGATCAAGTTATGCTGTTAGTATTGCGCAACTTCCCACGGTAAGGTGCGACAGCACTCCCACACAATCATGAGATGCTGCCTGCACACTGCTTCAATGTGGAAGCTGTACTCGCAGCTAAAGTTGACAGGGCTGCAATAGCCATTCGTTTGCAAAATGTCGACATGCATACTTCAGCAAACGCATGAATAGGGTTCCCTCTTGTGAGTCAGCATTGTTCTGTGCTCGATGGAATATCCTTCCAAAGTCATGCCATTTGTCATACATTCCTGCCGACCACATTAGTAGTGAAGCGTGACGAACGGCAGCGTGCGACGAAATGGATGTGTTTGCGCTGTTCGTAGCACGCTCTGGTCAGACCAGCTGCGTGTCCATTGGATAGGCACGGAATCGTCCGTTTCGCTACCGTTTGACAGTGCTAAACCACTTGTCCAAGTTGGAGCTAACTTCGTGCCGTTTGACAACAAAACTTTCTTCACCGAAGCATTTTACAATTTGTATTCGTGCGCGTAGTTAATTAGCTACATGACCAATTTACGTGTTGAGCTGCCACCGTTGACGATGTTCACTAACTCTGCATTCAGTCGACAAAGTCGTAGTGTAAAGGACATGGCCACAACGCCTGTTGTAAGCACGCCCAAATTGTCACTGGCGTTTATCCTTGACGACAAAAAAGCTCTACTATCGCCAGCAACTCCGTCCAGCCGGCAGCCTACTTTGCTGCTTCAACCATCATCCAAGCGGCGCAAGAGCAACAGACGTAAATTCACAGCAAATGAAAAGCGTGCGGCGCGCCAATGCTGCATCGAAGGCTGCACTAACTACACCATTGACCGCGGTCTTTGCTTTCGTCATGGCGGCGGTAAAACCTGCTCTATGCCTGGCTGCGCGGCCAGCGCTAAACATTGCGGCCTATGCTGGAAGCACGGCGGGTCTACACCTTGCTCGGTGAAGGATTGCACGCGTGGCGCAAAGTCGCGCGGACTGTGCTGGTCACACGGTGGTGGATTTAGATGCTCGGTGGCTTCGTGCCTCAAGACGACGATCTCAAAGGGTCTGTGTTGGACACATGGTGGTGGCAAGCGCTGCGCACTTGACGGCTGCAAACGACCGGCACAAAACAAGCAAAACTTTTGCTCCAAGTGTCACCCGTTTGCAGTCTAGTAAGCTCAGGATAGCTATATAGTTGAGCAGCATTATTATATTACAAACCATTCATGTAGATGTCGAGAGATCTATACTTCCATTTCCGATATGTGTTTGTCGATCCAGCCTGTCTAGAATCTACTGTATGCAATGAACAAGTCGGCTGTCGATCAGCTAGATCCAAAAAATTAGATCAACGGCTGAGTTACACTTGATTCTCTGTATCTTATGGTAGACCGTTCTGATCATACGTCAGCAAATTCGCTTTGTAGCCGGTAGCCGAGACAATTGAAGGAGATGGCAAAGGGTAAAACAGTAGCGGAAGATTCCTCAAATAGACGAATTCTCTTTCAAAAGGCAGTTGTCGGCCCACACAATTGATGGCGAAAAACAAAGAAGTAGCGGTGAGTGGCGTAGTGTCGTGCATCTATTTTCGTTCATCAATCTTATTCGAACAGCAGCGATGCACAAGATCGGATAAAGCTGCAGGCTTAAGGCTTAAGAAATGAAGGGATGTGCGCTATCTAGATTCTATAGCATTCAGTTCAGCGCTGGCAGCATCTCTACAGAGGTCGGGATCATTTCATCCTAAGAGCAAACTGATGCCATTGCAGAGACCTCTCCACCTTGTCTCTCGACCCCAAAGTTTTGGGACAATATTCGTCTCAGCAAGGAGGTTGAACTTGAATGGCATCAGTGCAAAAAAATTCAACGCTTTGCATTGACGGTACTAACAAGGAGAGTGAACAGAAGATTGAGCAAAGACATGTACCAGCACTACATACGAACCATACTATACAATCAACAACCTAATAATGCTGATCAAGTTACCTGTCAATTGCCAAAACGAACGAATCGTCAGGGATGAGTTTAACCGACCTTTACTGACCATGTAGAGACAGGAATGACCGAGGAGAGATTGATGTCATAAGTGATATACTTTTCTAGTCGTTATTAACTATGACAAACGTGACACATCAGTTTCGCTGTTGCATAGCTTTGTTGTATTTTCGGATCAGCACAACAATGGAACTCTGAGGTATCGAAGATGTGGTTGTTCTTTTTCAGTGCACTTAGACATATTTTGTTGACCTGAGCCACCTCAGAATTGTTAACAGACAAAGTATGGTTTTTCAATGGAAGGACGTGCGTCTGTTTGCTGCACCATACTCATTTCAGTGCAATTCGATTGCGTGACCATAAACGCGTATCATCGATAGTGTGTATCGTTTTGTGGACCATATTCAATGTTTTCTATCTGTTACATACACAACAACGTCGTTGGCATTCCATTGATTTGAATGTGGCGGTTCCATACCATTGTGTTGTTATACACATGCTGAGCCACAAATCAAGCCGTTAAAAATCGGTATGGAACTGTTGTTCCTAACCGATTTCATTCTTTGTAGTGTCTGTTCGAGTATGAACTGACTATCACAAATCCCAGTAAAAAGCAGATCCACAATAGTGTCCTTACGTTTTTTCTGCGTCTTTATGCCTACCCTCCTGCTCCTTCCTTTCACCGTACGTTAGCCTCTCCACTTGCTTAAGGTCTGTCCATGAATTCCAAACAATTTGTATTCTGCGACTTACCCGGTCATTTGGTTCAGCTGTAGAGACACTCGTTTTCAAACGATGAAATTCATCTGGGGGTCTGTCGTCTTGGTAGTTGGCATGGTCTCAACTACAGGTGCCCAAGCACGCAACATGACGGCGAATTTGGATATTTTGTCATATAATGACGTCTACGAGATGTTGCAGGATACCGTTGATGGACTAAAGCTCGGTGGTCCCTCTCGGGTGGTTCTTGTTGCCAAAGCCATGCGTGAAAGGAACCGCAATAGCCTTGTGCTGTTTGCCGGTGACACTGTATCCCCATCGCTTTGGTCGACACGGTTCAATGGCCAGCACATGGTGAAAGCGCACAATGCTATTGGGCTCGACTATGCGTCACTGGGCAACCACGAGTTTGATTTTGGACTTGAAAACTTCATGAACGTGACATTGGCCTCGAATTTTCCATGGTTGAACGCCAACTGCTACGAAATTGCCAACCGCAAGCTGCTACGTGGCACGGTGCCTCATGCTATCAAGAACTTGAGGAACTGCACGAACGGAAACATTTCTGTTGGCCTCTTTGGTGTCATGTACGACATGAATGACACTAGCAAGGGTCTGTACTGGGAAGATCCGATTCAGGCTGCCCGGGAGCAGGTGGCTGCCCTCCAGGCTCAGAACGTCGACTTTATTATTGCTTTGACCCATCAACTCTTGGCTGACGACAACCGACTATCGAAGGAAGTGTCTGGCATTGACTTTATAATTGGTGGTCATGACCACACGTCGATGCTACAGACCAATTACGGCACGCCGTACATCAAAGCCGACTTTGATTTCCGTTCAATCTGGAAGACGCATATTGAGTACTACGCCGCTGACAAGTCGAACGACCGCAAGGCTCTCATGACTCACCAGGCTATTTCAATTGTCGAGAGCATGCCAACTGATAGCAACCTGGATGCTGTCATTGCCACGTACCAGGCACAGATGGATGCTCTGGCAAAGCAGATCATTGGCAGTTTGTGCGAGGATCTGGACCTCAGACAAAGTGTGGTCCGCACTCAGGACAGTAAGATCGGTCACCTCTTTGCTGATGCAAGTCTGCAGTACTACGGAAATGGCTCGGCTGATATTGCAGTTATGAACGGTGGTGGAATTCGTGGCGATAAGATTGTCGCTACCGGCAGTCTGTCGCTAGGCGAGGTCTTGTCATGGTCGCCGTTGGGCAATACGCTAATGACCGTTGAGACTAATGGTGCTTCGCTCAAACTCTACCTAAACCGTCAAATGGCCCGCAACTGTGGTGACAATATCATCCAACAGAACGGATTCTACGTGCACCCGTCAGGCTTCAATTATACTTACACGTGCACTGGCATCGGTATTGGCACCGTCTCGAGTTTGGTATGGCTCAACCACCCGACCAACATAGGCGAGATCAAAGATACGGACGAGTTTGTTATGGCACTAAGCAATTACTTGTACACGACTGAATTTGCTGTTATTGACGGCGTTACTGCTACTGTAAAGGTTAGCGAGGCAGAGGCTGAGCGTGTGGACTTGGCTCTTGAAGCCTATGTAACGAATGCCAACGGCGGTACCGTGTGTCTCCCGAACGAAAAGCGCTCGTCAGTCTCATTCTGAGCGTACAAGAGGTAATACGAAGGTAAAATACCTCAAGAACTACTTATAGATGATTTTCCAACTAGATAAGAAGTTTGAAAGCTCGTTCGTTTGGACAAAACCTCTTTGTGACTAAGTAGATGGTGTTAGCTACGTTTTAATCGGACGATTGCAACGATTACAAGTTGTCGACGACACTTTAAGGCAGTCACCAAAATCTCATCGATCGAAATGAATTCATGCATGTGTCTAGTGTCTTCTTGAGCTAGCACTTTGTCTTATCACCAGCCAAACTTTTATCATGCTTTGTCATTGTAATGGAATGAAGCCCTACAAATTTGGTCTAAGGACAGTCTATCTCAACAAGAGCGAGACGTCGACGTTGTCTGGCAGCTTTACTTCAGCCGAGACTAGAGTCAGCGCTAGTACTCGTACTGCAATTTATTTCTTTCTATAGCCTGGCACTTGTTGTTACAACAACGGCGCTGCTCGATACATGTACCTCAGATCTTCCATTGTCGTCCGTCGTAACAAACCAAGCGTAGGGTAAACGTCATTCATTATATTACTTGTCACATGAACGGAAACAAACACACTAGTCAAGTGAGGCAGGCCTATGAAAAAGTAGACTCCATCTCTCCACTGCAAAGAGGAGCTTCTCGGCGCTCGCCAAAAATGTAGTGCCCCACAACGTAACCTGAAACAACCCAGAGTAGCAGCGTAAAGTCGTAGGTCATAGACACTAGCATGAGCATATAGGCGACAAAGAGCGTAACGCCGTGCAGCAGAGAATGAACACCGTGTTGCGTCTCCTGCGACAGCTTGCGGAACCAAATTGGTCCACACGATTGAGCTAGGGGGCATGCTTTGCGTTGTAGACCGCAGCAATTGAACACTCTCCGCAGTACGTGGCGCATTGCTACTCATCAAGCGCTTGACACTGCTTTCCTTACGCAGCACACGACGTAACTGCACCAAGTACTCGTTGAAAATGGCTACAAGTGCCACAAGAATTCCTCCAAAAATGTACCGCATACGCGTATTCAGCACCCATCCAGGAAACCACAGCAAGATGCACGGCGTCGAGCTACGAGCAACCGAAAATCCGTTTTGCATGGTCGTACCAGGTCCAAAGCAGAATCCTTGCGTCTTCTTTCCAGCAGCAGCAGCACCACCTTCCTTACTTGACTGAAAAGACAAGATATCGTCGTATACTTCGCGTGCGTGTGTCATACTACACGTATGCACTGCTTGTTCTCCGTGCTTCATTATAACTTGCGGTCCACTCGATAGAGAAGACACCATGCCACACACAGGGCACAGAACGCTTTTGTCTCCCTTGTCGTCATGAGAATGATCGTGTACCGCTGAAAGAGAAACCACACCTTTCAAACCATTTTTCTGCAACAAAAACATACAACGCTTGTAAGTCTTTCCATCTCATAGTAACTCAACGATAAAGTAGTGAAATCCGTACGGGGTCTTTCAAAAACATGTCGAGCGTTTCCTGACTCGCAAATTTCAGCTTTTGACCATTCTTGAGCTCAAAATTGTAAGCTTTGGTCATCACCATTTTGCCACTTACAGGGTCTTCCTATAACACACAAAGCAAAAAGTTGTACGTGTTAGAATGCATTGAACACATGATGCAAGCGATCTGTACACGTTACCGGCATATTGTCCATGTCCATGGCATTAATGGGCTCTAGAGCGCCGTAAAAGGCAAAAATTACAGCAAAAAGCACGACGAAAAGTACTGAGCAATAACGATTCATTTGCAATATATAGTAAATGAAGAATGGTAAGCAAACAGCGAGCTAGCGCAAGGAACCAAATTGTTCGTCTTTGACGTGTTTGGCTGGAGATATATATGGAATAGACGCTGAGCTCAAATCGGCATCATATGTTTATTGAAAATCACAGGTAGCCTGTATTATTTCATACAGATGGCAGACTGCGATTTTTATTTGCTACATTTATTCTGCTAGAACTTGTATAAATGAATATTTGACAAAACAACAAGAAAACATATGCTGAATATTTGTCACATCAATAATTGTGCAATTGTTGACAGCTTTTTATCTCATCTCTTTGGTGTTTAGTATTGCTGACTTTGCTAATTTTGTATTAATTCAATCGAATAATGAAGCAAAGTGATTTTTGTATCGGACCTGGTTCGGTCATGGGTACAACTGGATTGAAATGGGCAGGACGGAATCCAATGGACGATTGTTCGATGCTATGGATGAAGGCTTGGGGACTCACGAGCTTTTCTCGTGTACTACTGGCGTGTTTCGTAGTGTTTTTCTTGGCCATGCTGTCGCAATACCTTACGACATCGAACGGTTTCCAATTGCACCAGTCCAAAGTGTTTGCCAAGCGTCGACTGATGAGGATGATGAGGCAAGTGCAGAGTCACAGCAATGGTTCAACCTTTTATGATCCAGGGCTGGGCGACGAGTGCGGGAAGAGCAAATGCTCCATGAATGCAGAGGCAGCGGAAGAGTCGGCGGTGCATCCGGAGCTGCATACAAAGACGACGACAATTTCTACAGTGGAACGAGTGACGTCACAGCTAAATCCAATGTCCGTGAAGGTTGGCAACTGGACGCATTTGGCTGACGCTATGATGCGTGGTGTGCGGATTTTCCTGGCTTATGTGCTCATGCTGGTGGTCATGACGTACAACTTGATGTTGATCACTAGTATCGTAGTGGGTTTCATGACCGGCTTCTTTGTCTTCAGCAAGGACACAGCCAAGGTACCTGTGTCAGCTGATCCGTGCTGCTCGTAGGTCTGTCTTCCTCTTTCTACGCACAGCAGCTACTTTAACTTACTCAATTTGATAACCTTCGTTGCGGAACACGATCCGTGTATTATGTGTGTGAAGAGAAATTGTACGATTTCAAAGATGCGTCCACTGCGTACTTCATGCTCTTTCCAGTGCCTGGCCGTTTTTTTATGACGTCATACCACTTTCACCGTGCGCATGTCTGCCAACTTACTGCTTCTTGGCCGCGCTGGCGTCAAAGTCCTTGGGGAGGATGCCGTCGCTAATGCCACGTGCTACGATGTCTTTGAACAACGCGGCCGCATTTGGAATGTCAAGCGCCACGTCGTATAGTACTAGTTTGAAGCGCTCAAAGCCCTTAATAAGCTGGCCTGTGGATACCACCTCGTGGAAGACCAAATAGGCCAACAGCGACGCCATGGCCAAACTATTGGCCTCGCCACCTTCCTCGAGTGAATTGGTGATGCCACGCTTGACTACCTCATGGTGAAAGTGCGGCACGTTCAGCTCGCGGACGCAGCGCGCAGCCTCTTCGAGGTCACGAGATAGCAAGTACTCCTTAGTCAGCTGATCGATGGCCACCTTGAGCTCCTCGACAGGTCGGCCGTCTCCAGGTCCCCAAGCCTTCTCCATCCGCGCCGTCGCATGGTTAATGCTCAGCTTCTTAATAGCCTCGGCCGCAATCTCAGGGGCGTATCGCGTGATAAAGGGATCCTCTAGGAAGCTAGGCGGTAGGATTTCGTCAACCACCGCGCGCGCACAAAAAATGGCTAGCATGTTCTTCGCTGTAGGAATGTCAATCTGCAAGTCACCTGCCAACAGCAGCACACGACGAAAGCCCATGAGAACTTGTCCGGATGTAAATCCATCCAAATACAACGTCGACAGCAATCGCGACGCCAATTCACGCTCCTTGTCATTCTTGTCCATAGCCATGGTAATTGCACGTTTCACGACCTCGTAGTGATACTCCGGCTCGTCCAGGTCATTGAGCGAGCTTAGCACTTCGTCAGCATCTCCATTAGTAAAATATTCTTCCAAGATCTCGGTCGTGCGCTTCTTGATCTCAGGTGGTGCATTAATTGCTAGCTCCTTAGCCGCCAATTCGTCAGGCTCGAGCGTCGGCGTTGACTTTTTGGGCGAGTCAACCACTGTGGACACAAATACTACGTTATCTTCGGCCTCACTGTCGTAGTTAGGGTCCTTTATATCAGATGGCACAGCACGCGGAATCTCCGCCACTTTCCAGGACGCCTTCTGACCGCCGCCCATGCGCTTGCCAGCGTTGCGTGACTTGCTCCGCTCTTTGCGTGGTGGCAGTCCCTTGTCACCACCAGTACCACCTCCACCATAACTACCGCTTGAAGCCATTGGACATGTCGTTGGCTGCATCGGACTGTTTTTCATGGTAGATAGAGTCGCTATGGAATCATAAGAGAGGCATAAGACACATTAAAAGGAGAAATAGAGAGAGAGGAGAGACGTTTATTTCTAAATGTGATAAAACACCTTCAGGAGCGAGAGACATGACAGAATGAAAGAGGAGGAGAGGAGAAGGATTGAGTAAATATAAAGAAGTCGACTGCTTTTCCTTACGTGGGTATCGTCCGTTGATCCTTCCTTTGAGTCTTTTTGTGCAGCGTTTTAGATACGAGTGATGATGATTTTTAGACTTCATTTATCTATGACTTGAGGATTTGTCCCTCTCGAGTGTGACAAATAACTTGCTTTCACGTCGTACTGTTTCTGATGCAACGTCATGAAATGGCAACGATGTACACATAGTTGCGTTCATACTTTGTCGACGAATTCAAATTGCTTGTCTCCTTCGATACCACCATCGGCTTTATTCTATTTGCTCGGTTCAAGACCACATGTTCCTGCTTTTGAACAACAATTTTCCATGCTCGCGCACCCACTCACACACATACGCATTAATACAACATTCAAGAATGGACATCTTCTAGCTGCCGTCATCTCCCTTTTTCTTACATAACTTGTTCGTTTGCGCCTTAGTTCCGTGGACATTGGGCAATTTGTGTGTGTCTAATAGAGCCGACTGGGGTCAGGAGGTATATAAAAGGTTGAGCGATCGACTTCAGGCAGTGACTCCATGCAACCGTGGCAAGACGCGGCGAATGATTCATTTGCGGTGAAACAACTGTACCGCGCACACAAGAATTAAAGGCAGTCAGCAGATAGGCATGAGCACCAAGCAATCGTAATATCTGTAGATAAGTGACTCACAGTGAGCATAACCACGAATCAGCTCCAATCTTGATGTTGCTCGGTCCATACACACGCTTCCGTCCGCACTTGTCGCACTTGGCGTTCCACACGCTCACGTTGGCACGACATTGTGTTTTAGTGCACTTCCACGTCTCTCGTACCGCTCGAAACTGCAATGTTAGTATGCGCTGGGTATGAATGTCCATCCGTCGCACTTGAATCATCGAATTCTTCACGTTTTTTACTGTGAAACAAAAATCATAATTACACGTAAGCGCTTCAGCAGTTCCATTCTACTAACGAAAATACACGACAGCTTACAGTTAAGCTCCTCTACTGCCTCTTGTGCTCCTTCTTCTGTTTCAAATGTCACGCACGCGTCACCCCGACCGAGATAGTTGCGCTGGCACGCAAAGAGCTCGATGGCGGGAAACCCAGTCTCTCGATCAACCTATGTATCCAGTCAACCAGTATCTGTATTAGTCACTATCTCGCATCGAGAACCGTCAAAGACACCCAGAAAAACTTACCGCGACACCAAAGCGTGCAAAATCCTCCTCAATCTGTTCCGCACACACAGTAGGGTTCAGTCCCGTTACATACACCTGCCTCGTGATCAGAGCTTCATCAACTGGAACGCTATCCAGGTCAATGCGAATGTCTTCAACTTCCATTATTAAAGCATTCTCATCATCATCCGAGTCTGAGATAAACAAGTTGTCTTCCTCGTCATCCAACGTGGTCAGCGCGTTTAGTGAAGAAGGTGCTACCGTGGAATGAAATATCTTCTTCTTCTTGGTAAATCTATCAATGTCTCCAGTTTTATTTTTACCATTTTGGCAAACTTCAACTAGCTTTGGCGGCTTAGCTAGCCTTTCCTTTTTGCTCGAATCGCGGTATTCTGGAGAAAATGATACACGCTTTTTCTTGCTATTAGTTTTTCGATGACAATCACGATCGCGGTCGGTCGGACTTGTTTGGTCGGAACGTCGGCGTTCACGCTCACTTGACTTCTCCCGCGACCGGGACTTTGAACGCGAACGGTGGCGTTTGCGATTGTTACGATAATCTCGGCTTCGGGGACTTGGTGAATGAGACCTTGAACGAGACGAACCTCTACGCCTGTAACCATCACTTGACTTACGTTTTCTATCATAATGATTCCGATCTCTAGACGGCGATGATAATGATTGCTTTCTCTTACGATCGTTCTCGCGCCTGCAGCTGCTGCGTTCTCGGCTACATTGTCCGCGTGAAGGCAAGTCATGCTTACTCGATGTTACAAGTTGAAAAGCTTGCGGACCGTAATAACTTGAGCTTTTATTCGATGACGCAGATTTCTTCTTGCGATCTTTATTTCGAGATTTTCCAGCATCACTTTTACTGCCCTGGTCCCTCGTACTTGAAGGCTGTAATAGTGCATCCTCGTCAGCTTGACGCGCTTGCTTTCTTTTCCTAGGTATTGGCATCTTCTCCCAATCCTTGTCTTTCAATTGGCTTTTGACCATTGGTGTGCCATTTCGAGCTGCTTCCGCCTGCATAGTCTTAAAGCGACTGGGACGTTTGTAGTCCGTCTTTTCGCAAACATCAATAGCACTCTCTTGTCTATCCAAGTGCAGGGCATCATAAATATTTATTTGAGGGTCTCGCCTGTATCCGCCTCTGATGACAGTTTTATCGATCATTTGAGAATGCTGGCCATTGGATGCTACCGAGGAGGTTTGTACTGCAGAAGAACTTGACTGCAGGCCCCCACCGAAGCGTGACTTTGGAACAAGGCGAGGCGTCTCTGCTATATAACTTGGAGGTTCCTCAGCTTTTTTTGCCCCCCCATACGATAGATACCTAGTTTGTGGTGTGTCTTCTAGATTTTGTGACAATTCTTTCGCCAAAATGGCCAGTGGTTCATCATCAAGAACATGTATGCCACTGTTTCTCGTTTTCTCCGTGGCCACCATTGTGTACTGTCTTTTAGGTTGTCGCTTGGCGTCTGGAGTATCACTCAGCACTTTAATACAGCGTCGTGTTGACAAATATTTGCCCTTCGTTGTCGTGATTGTTGCGATAGGTTTTTGACTTGGACGAAGCCCGTTCGAACCAAGTGATGGCGTCGATGGCACAACTCCGGTTTTCTTGGACTTGGCTGATTGGCTCTCGACATAACTGTTCCCTGCCTTGGAGTGAGTCACGGTGTAGCTGTGGAATGGTAATGGCTTTGGGGCTATGGAGCTTACTGTCTTGACCTTGGACTTCAACTTAAGCGGCACAAAATCAAAAAATTGCTGCACTCCAGTCATCGACGCCGTAACCTTATCCTCTTTCTGATCGTTCGACGCTTCTTGCTTAGAGTCAGCGCTGCTATGTTGATCGTGTCTTACTGTCGTTTCAGTTTTTATTTCACCGTCCGTGTTGTCTAAAGCATCCTTCTGGGCACCCATTGAACTTTCCTTTTGGTCCATTGGTATACTACTTCTCCCATCGCTTTCAGCACTTAGTTCAAGCTCAAGATTGTCCGTGTCCAACTCATCGTCTTCCAATATTTCTGTTTCGGCCTCTGAAACATCATCGTCGCTCACTTCTACGCTCTGCTTCAATTCGCCATGGGTACGTTTGTATACTATCGTGGCATTCACCGCAGCATCATCTAGTTGCGCAGCAGAGTAGTTGCCAATCACAACTTCAGTCGTAGAAGCAGTGCTTGCTTCATTACGCTGTTCCTGGTTATGACGTAACAATTCTGTGCCCTTCAAAGTCATTGCCTTCGATAGATCAGCATCGTCAGAGTTTGCCTTTTCATTAGCTGTTGGACTTCCAAATGATTCGATTGATCCACAAACGATGCGAACCGATTCACAAGTTCTATCTCCAATTGCAGCTTCGCTGCATGTGAAGACTGGGGCTGCTTTACTCAAATCACTTGCTAGACCACGATCTTGTTGCATGTTACTTGAATTGGTTTCTTTCAGAGGAGAATCTCGCAAGTTGATCAAAACCTTCAACTGTTCGGGCTCTGTCGCATTGCTGCTGGCGCAATCAGCACCGTGGCTGATCGTTGACGTGTGATCCACCATTTCCGCCACACTGTTCCTGTTATTTGTCTCGGCTTTTTCATCTTTATAGGACCGATACTCAATCGGTTGGCTTGATGTGCTTTTTGGGTGTGCTTCTGTTAATGCTCTTTCGCCAGCACCTAGGTTGCGCTTAGCTTTAATCCCTGCAGAACTAGCTTCTAGTTGCACTTTTTGTAAATTGTCTCTATTGCGTCTAATAACACTTTGCTCGACCACTTTTTTGCGCGTGACGATTGATTTTCGTGAGTGCGGTCGTTTTTTCGTTAATGAGCCACGCGCTTGATGTAACCGCTTTCTCTTCCACTTTCCTCTCTCTTCATCACTGTCCACATTAGCATCACTAAGAAAAACAATCTCTTCGTTGTCGTCTGGTCCAGAATTATCGTCCTCCTCCACTGGCAAATAGTCGCTGCTCGAGTTGTCGTCACTGCCACTGTTATCTTTGCTATCGTGCGTGATCTTCTCAACCTGCATCAAGACCTGACGGCTTTCTTCTTCTGACGCCATACCGTACCAGCGAGTATTCTTTCGCTTCTTTCGCATATTTTCTTTGCGTCGAATTACCTCCGGGTCACGATAGCCTGAGACCCAACTCAACATCTCGTCGGTAACATCATCTTCCTGCATTGTAGCAATTGAATCTGCCTTCTTCTTTTCTGGCGATTGTGGACTCTTCAATGATACTTGCGGCATATACTTAAATTGCTTTGCCTCATTGTTTGCTGTCGTGTTCACCCCTCCATAGTTCTTCAATATGTGTGGTGGTGTACTCTCCTCTGTCTTTTCTTCATCAATATCAAACTGCTTCAAATGAATTGTGTCCAATGCTAGTTCTTGCATTAATTCCTGAACATCAGCCTCAGTTACCAACGTCACACCAGCGTCTGTTGTCGTTGCACTCTTCGGATCCAACTGCAGCGTGGATACCGACTTGGAATTCAAACGAGGTGATATCAAGTTTACTGGCATCTCCAGTGGTATCATCAGATCCCTTGCATTTGGCATGTGGCTTTTCACTGGCGGCACGATCTCTAAGAGCGGTACAGCAGCTGCTATATTGGCCGCCTCAGCCTGCAATAGAGTACTCATATCTGACGCGTCTATGTCACCCAGAAATGCCAGCGCTGTATCATCTTCGTCCTCGCTAGCCACGGCCTGGCTCTGCAGTGACTGCTGGTGATCCTTAAAGCCAATATGCATCTTCACGCGCTGAAAAAGCCACTCGCTCTCCTCCTGTTTGTCCTTATGTCTAGATTTAAGCCACTGACGCGCACGCAGTAGCTCACTCTCCCACAACGCCGCCGCGCTGTCACCCATGGTGCAAATCTTCCACGGCAAGTTTCCTTTCAAGTGCGCGCCAGAGTGCGGAATACAGAATGAAGGTCACGCACGAGACCAGATTGCCGGTTCGAAGCTCTTGGTCTTTGTGCGAGCAACCGTAGGATGATAATGATTGGCTATTAAATGAACTTTTCATCCAATCACGCAGCATTTATTGCTTCAATGGCCGAAAAGCAGCAACCACTCGAGCATGTCGAAGCTACGCGGCTATGATTTCTACCGTGCTATTGGTTCACCTAAGCGTATTGTAGCACCCATGGTGAGTCTTATCAATTGATCTTGTATTATGCACGCGTTACAATAGGCTCAATATACTGCGTCACGCCATTGCAATGCGCAGTTTAAAGGGTTGACCATTTGATTGACACAATGTGTGTATATATTATTCGACAGGTCGATCAGTCCGAACTGGCTTTTCGGATGCTGTGTCGAAAGCTTGGAGCCGATTGCTGCTACACGCCAATGCTACATAGTCGTCTATTTGCCGAGAGCATCGAGTACCGTGAAAAGATGTTTGAACATCACATTCATGACCGGCCGCTCATCGTGCAGGTTGGTGGTAATATCTTTATTTGAAACGGTCGGAACATTTTCAGTGACAAAACGTGCATATGATAGTTTTGTGGCAATAATCCAAAGACCCTGTTAGCAGCTGCTAAGATGGTTGAAGGCCATTGTGATGCAGTGGATTTGAATCTCGGTTGTCCGCAGGGCATCGCTCGGAAGGGACACTACGGGTCTTTTCTAATGCACGACAAGGATACGGTCAAAGCTGTTGTTGAAACGCTGAGTTCAGAGCTCAAGATACCAGTGACGGTCAAAATTCGGGTCTTTTCGGATGACAATGAGACGTTGGAATTTGTTGACATGCTGCAAGAGGCTGGATGTGATATGTTGACCGTCCATGGGCGTACGAAGGAGATGAACAAGACATCTGTACGAGAAGTAAACTGGGATATTATTCGACGTATAAAGGAGCGGTTAATTATTCCCGTGATTGCAAACGGGGGTATTGAGACACATGAGGATATTGCTCGTTGTCTGGAGGCCACAGGCTGTGACGGCGTCATGAGCTCCGAGGGGTTGCTGGAGAATCCGGCGCTTTTTGCTGACATGAAAAACACACCCGGCCACAGCACGTCGTTTTTAGAATTGGCTCGACAATACCTTGAGTGTGCTACGCTGTATCCGCCTGCGAGTGACAAAATTGTTCGTGCACACCTTTTCAAGATTCTGTTTCAAGACTTGCGTGTGCACTCAGACTTGCGTGACGCGTTGGCGGCTGCCAAATCTCAAGAGGAAATGGTGGAAATCGTCAATGAACTTGATGTGCGACTGAAGAAAGCAGAAGACAACAACGCAGGGCCTGAGATAAAAAGGGTGACGTACGCAACGGAGACGAGCTGGTATCGCCGTCACCGAAAAGGCCAGGAGAAGCTTCGACACCGCCATTCATTCGAAAAGTGTCTTGATACGGGTTTTGGCAATTTGTTCGCATGAGCAGAAATCTTTTGGCTGAAGTTGAGCAAAGTATTGGCTAGCAAATAGAAGTCTATTGATCCTTGCACCTGACGTCCAAGTTGCACAAATAGCGTACTGCTGTCTAAATTGCCTTGTATATGCTGCTACGCAACGCAAGTGCCCTACTACTCCGTTATGATTCTGAGTTGAGTCCCATTCCCCAGCCAAGCTTTGCACGTTTTTCACGCGGGGGCAAGCTACCGCCATCTACCATCGAACGTAAATGTTCAGCAGAGGCAGTGAAGCTAGCGGGGAGCGGAACATATTCACTGCTATCATGCATCCCCACATCCTCAACACCTGCAAGAACGGTGTCGAGCTGGACTTCTCGTCGTGAAGTCGACAATGGTCTCACTTTCCGCTTGTCGCTTCTGGTCCTATGTCGGTCATAATGGCTAGGTTTGTCGCCGGAAACTGACACATCGATTGCCGATGCCGTGGATCGCTTGTGGCGATGGTGCTCACTGCTGCTGTGTTTGTGCGAAGAAAGTTGATGCGAAGATCGTGCAGATGCGCTACGGCTACTGCTACCAGCACTTCGGTACTTCTTGGACTTTGGTTTCAACAAGTGCTGCATGAGTTTTCTTTTCTGCACATGGAACGTTGGTGATAGTCTGCTGTAGTCAAATGTCTGCTCGCTGCTACGAATACTGTCAAAGTAACGCATATTTAACAGCCTTTTCACCGTGCTGCGCTTTGCAGGGTCCAATTGCAGCATTGCCTCAAGCATTTCAACGGCACTTTCGGGAAAGTCTGGGAATTTAGATCGTTGTTCCAAAAGTGTCTTGCGGAGGCGCATCTTGTACTCGTGCTTAGGTCGAAAGGCATTGTATAGCGGGAGCTTGTGTGCGCCTTCCCAGGATGAACTCGGAGTGCCGCAGAGACGATATATCAGATCAAGCTGTAACTTGAGGTCCTGCCCTTGCAGGAATGGCGTTTTCTCAAGGAGAATAGCAAGCGCCACACAACCTGCGGACCATACGTCCGAACGCCATGTGTACTTCGTTTCACCTAACAGTACTTCAGGCGCAGTTACGTACAGCCACGCGCCGTAACAGTGTTCTTTACGCTCGTTGTCAGTCATTTCGTAAGCAGCAATCAAAGGACCTTCACCACCCTTTGGCTTAATGTTGGCGATCTTGCGCATGGCATGAAAGCCACCCAGTTTGATACCATTTTTAAACACTAAGACATGCGAGAGGGCAACAAAGCGGTGGACATATCCTTGATCGTGGACAGCGGAAAGACTTTGCAGCATATCAAAAACGGCCTTCTTACGCAGTTCCGGTGTGAGCGACAAGTGAGCCTCAATAAGACCCGAGAACATGTGCAGCGGCTGTTCAAACGCCAAGTAGTGCTTCTGTGGAGCTAGTTTATCCATGCCTTCAGGCAGAGGATTACCGTCGTCATCGATTGTAGCTGCGAGCAAGTCTAAATCATCAACGTCGGTACTGGTTGCTCCTGATTCGTTCATCTGCCGGTCCTTGCGATCAGCCGGGAAAACAACTCCATAAAGCTTCATAAAACGATCTGGCAAGAGCGACGAAAGGGTGGTTGCCGCAGATAGCTCGCGCAGGCATGCTTCATTGATGCCTTTTTCTTCCGTAAAAAACATTTCCTGCTCAAGGTATGGCCACGACTGCAGATATACTGGCTGTCCAGCCAGATCAAGGCTCACCTCGCTTGAAATTGCTCCCAAAAAAGCTCGTTTCCGAATAGACTCAACCTTGGTAATTTCGTCTGTGTGCAGGCGAATACCCTCAACTCTCGTGTCATTTGCGGCAACTTTCTTCGAAAAGATTGAGAACGCCGAGACAATGCCCACACTGTCACCACTTTGACTTGTAGCCCAGCTGGGAACTGACACTGAGCTTCCCATTGCTTTTAACGTAAGGCAATTCTTCTCTCCGATGAGTGACGGCGTCACAGTCGACGACTTTTTATCTGCTGCCGTTGAAACTGCATTAGTTGACGAAGAAGATAACACCGGAGTTGTATCCGACACCGCGGAAGAACTGGTTGACAAGCTGGACATCGAAGGCACATTAATCCATTCTCTCAACGATCGAGCTATTCGTTCCGAAATCTCCACATCCTTTTTCTCCCGAGACACGGCAAATTGTTCCAAATCAAACTCACTCAAATCGGGATTCCTCGGCTCTTTCTGCTGCGCTATCTGTGACTGCTTTTGTAAACGCACCCATCGCTCTTTCAACTGAGTACAAATGAATAAGGAGCAATCCAGTAGCATGCGCGCTTCAACTGCATTAGATTGCATGTCGAACTGCGGCAAAAATGCGGGGATTTTGACAATGGGAGAAGACGGACTATAATTCAGTGCTTTGATTACAGCAGCGCTCACGTATACCACACTGAGCATGATACACTCCACGGGTGTGTGCGTCCAAATGGACAGCGGTAAGGCTTCTGACACCAAATGTTTCGCTTCTTTTTGCACTTCTGGTGGAGGCAGTGAGTGGAAAAACGGGTCTACTGGATGGACATTGCTTCTTTGAGACAAAGCTACAAGCTTTTTTGAGCCTTTGCGTGTTGTAAAAAGGTCCAACAGCGCGTACGGATCGTCTCCCGTTATGTCGTAATGCAATCCTTCCAGTAACTCGCCCTCCGCTTTAACAAGGCGGCGATTAAGAGCTTCAAGCTCAGGGGAGGCGGTTGTGAGACGTTTAACGGCAGGAGAACCATGCTTTGCCTTGTATACTTCTTTCACAAAGGCAGTCCATGGTACTTTTCGAGCGTGGGCCTTTAAAAACAGTTGTAGCATCGCCGCAGCATAAATGTCAACCTCCATCGGCATTGTGTGAAACGTGAAGTACCGGTTCAGCGCAATAATGGCACTGGTGGCATCCTCTCGGTCGAGACGCAATCCTTTGGCGATGCAAAAAATGCTTTTCACATATTTCACGCGCAGCGTTTCCTCTAGCGATGCAGATAGAACTTGCTGAACAGCCAATTTTTTTAACTCCGCTTTGGTAACGAGCCAATTGAGCTTTCGGCCAAAGCAATAAGAATCTCTCCGTTTTACCTCAGACACACTTTCCTTTTCTGCTAAAGGCAATGTGCCCGTCCTCTCCGTCATTCCCTGTTGACGCATCATCCGCACTTTACTTTTCTGGTGATGAAAATTTTCTAACTCCATGGCGCCGGCTTGATACACTCGTAACATCCTGTCGAGTAGATTACGGCGATCCAAGGTGCGGCGAAACCAAGACGCAAGCTCGGCACTTTCCAATTCCACAAGTGCCCAGCCCGTACCATCCAAAAAATTAAACACGTCGGCATTTACAAGTGCATTTGGATGCTTTCGACTGATAAACAAGCTGCGCAAAGCACGTGCATCGTACTCTTTCGGCAAAAACTTCACCAGCAATTTGTTGGACATTGCTTTGCTGTCACGATCGACTAGCTCCCTAAACTGAGTTTTTTTGCTCGTGCTGATGCTGCTCTCCAATCTGGCTGTGGTCATCGGTGACGGAGTGCGGACAGGCGACTGTAGCACTGTTTCTCGTTTAGGTGATGGATCCCTGCTTCCAGCAGCACTTGACATACCCGACGGAGTTAGCACAAAACGTCTTTTCGGGATCGCAAAAATCGTCTCGCCCACTTCATCTCCCGGGGGACAAAAGATCTGCCAGCCGTTTTCCTTAAGCTGCACATACTGTTTCTCAGCTGCATCTAGTTCCTCTTCAGCGTCATTTTCATCGATCTCAAATCCTGCGGGTTCAAGCAGATCCTCCACCTCATACCGATCCTGCTCTTCGTCATAAGCCTTAATAAGCTGCACGTCATGCTCTGTTTTATCCTCAGGCGAGCGGAAAACGCGTACACGTCGTCCTACCAACGCTCGTCCAATTTCCTGACTTTCTGGGTCACGAAAGTATCCTGTCTGATTCTCTGCATTCTGCAGCGCGTCATTCTGCGTACCAATAAATCCCTTACAAGTCTTTGCTCCACAAAAACACGTAATCTGTCTCGATCCTAAGGCTTTCCACTGATAATCAAACGTCAGCTCTTCACCCACGTTAATATCTCGCAATGCAATGACTGCAATTCTAGTCTCTCCTTTCACTGTCCACTTCTCTGTCTTACAATTTGGTTCACAGCTATGATTTACAAACCTTGTAAAACTTCCTTTGTTTCGGGCATCAATATAGACACCAGGAGCTAATAACAGGTAGTAAAAATTAAGTTCATGTCTCGGTACGCTCTTTAAACGTCTTGCTAATTCCTTTTCATCAATAATTTCACCAACGTACTCACCCACAATTCCTCGTTGTGCAATCTTCTGTACTGTACGTACTCCATAGCCTTTATATTCAGTCTTAAATGGTTCTAATTGAGGATAACGTTCCGGATGTTGTAGTCTCTGATTACGACAGAATACACCCGTCGCACAGGACAATGAGCATTCCACGTACGTTGCAAAATTCAAGCATGAAACATCATCACAACGTCGTGTCTCTTCTTCTTCTTCTGCTACTTGTCGTTCTCCAGCGTCGGGATATGTACAAAAACACAATGCACTCTCTTCATCATCATCGTCGTCGTCGTCATCGTACTCGTCGTCGTCTTGACGTGCTCGTCGCCGTACTTTCTCACGTGCAAGATGACGCAATGGATATTCATTATGTGTAATAAGTTGGACGTTCCGTAGCGCTTGTAATTGGTCAAAACTCGTGCTGTCCGAGGACACACGCGGCGACGAGCTTGTCATGGGCGGGCACTAAGAAGCGCAAAAACGTTTTGGCGCGAGGGATTTTTAGCCAATATGAATCACTGTTGACAAGAATGGTACAGTGTACCATTCGTATGCGACACGATTTGTAATCATTTGAAGGAAACGATATACCGGTAGTGTTTTCGTACTTGACAGTATGCACTGTACAAATTAATATTGCTAAAGTTTGTGTATAGGGTCGGAAAGAAAGGATAGCCCGACCGGTGTCGCGAAGAATAGTCTGGTCAGATAATCATCTAAAACCCCTTTGCAGTTTCTGCATATTTGGGCGATGACATGTTTAACGCGCCTAATTGGTTTTACATGACAATGCGTCGATCTAATTTTGCACGGTTGCCAACTTTTACGACACAAATGTCGTTGCATCTTTCTACTTAGAACCGCAGCTACATGGCGGCAAGGCATTTCCAATCTACGAATATCTCAAAGGTGTTCATTAGTTTATTTACGTGAAACTTTTCTCGAAATGGCGACAGGATACGGTGACAGATTTGGACTACATCACGGAAAAAGATCGACAACTACGTTTTCATGTTCAATTTAACCATTTAATGAGCAACCAAGTGTGTGACTAAAAGATTCGCGGTCATATTGCCATGAGCTCTAGACAGAAATTGCGGTGACGGCAACCGTTACCATAGACAACAAGAACGCAACCGCAGAAGTCGTGGTGGTGGCCCCATTACTGCTACCTTGCGAACCGCTGTCGAGCGCGATTCCGCCGTTCTCTTTGTTCGATGGTTGCCGCTTTTCGCCGAACTCTGTGTTTGAAGAGACGTGCTTGTAGCTGTTGGCCTTTACGCCATTGCACACCGGCTGCGCGATCGTGCACGCGAGAATCGGGACTGCAAAAAAGCCACCAGACAAACAATACAATATGGTGAGATATCTTGCCGACATTCCAAGATTATACGTCGGGTCTGAATACATTACCATCGGGTGTAGGCGGTAGATCAATCGACATTTTCTTCGGACATGATAGAATTGTGTCGCGCGTAGGCGTGTAGCTATCGTGGTTAACAGACGAGTTCTTGGTAGTCGTGTAAGCCTCCTTGAGATACTTGTATTCCGGGTACGGTTGGAAGACACACTCGGATGTTTCATGATCACATTTTTCCGGGAGAAAGAAGCCGACACCGTACTTGCCCGCATCGGCGGCCTTGTTCAGAGCTGCAAACACGCAAAAATATTGGCATTTAAGTATGGATGCATCACACTAACAGAAATATTAGTCTCTTACTCTTGCTCTCAACCAAGTTGGCAATTTCAGTGCTGAACTCAAACACGTTGCCGCCCACGATCTCTTCCATCATCTCCTCTTCTTCATTCATCCACTTTGCCTGAAATAAAAACAGAGCACAATGTCGGGTTAACAACTCCTATAGCTGCCGTCAGCACCATTCACATTTCAATATGACAAAACTTACATCGTAGAACATACGCTGGCTTTCGTAGCCATCGATAGTGTTCACACCCTTGTTGCAGCCAAACTCGCCAAACATCAGTGGACGAGAATAACCAACCTTAGCGTACTCAGACATCAGTTTCTTCAGACCGGTGGACTGCGAATACTTCTTGTGAGTAGCAGAATCGCACTCAACGTACGGGTTGAAGCCCATCCTGTTCATCATAAACGCATGAAAACCCTAACATCATGTCCTAGAAGTAGTATCACTAGCTTACCACTCAGCACGTGTGTTTTCATCGTCATCCACAGAGCAATCGTAGTACGAAATCCACGTCACGCGAGGAGGAATGTCGGCAATGTCGAGACCAATCGGCACCTGACGCACAGACCCCGAGCAACTCGCAGCATAACTTCGAGTGTCTCGCAGGAATGCTTTGACACATGGGGCTGTCGTAGTACCGTCGGCTCCGTTCTCCACTTGCAGATTGTTTTCATTACCGACACTGAAGCCCAATGTATTGTCGTACACAGCAAACGCGTTGTACACCATTTGTGCACGGGTAAAGAGGTCATCCGGATAGCACTTGGGTGGCTTATAGTCAAGCACCGAGCAGTTCTCACACCTATCAAGTTGATTCAACGACTATCAGACACCAACACCAGCACATAACGAGCATAACCCATAGTTCATGATGAAATAACTTACGGAGCAGTGATACCGATCAAGACATAGATACCTGCGTTGGAGCACGCGCACATGAATTTGTCGTGTGGAAGACTCGGATCCACCGAATATAGACGAATGGTGTTTACACCTAGATCTATCAGTATTTTCAAATGCGCCAGCCATATTTTCTCGTACTTGTCCGCTGTCCAGTCGAAGTTGCCGACATTGGCCATTTTGCCACCGTTGGGGCGGGGGGTAGTACGCAATACCTTTTATGCGGAACTCCTGACCCGTTGCAGAATCAAAGAGCTTATTGCCCTTGGTAATGATTGGAGCTAGCCATGCATCAGCAGGTGACAAAACGACAGCAGTGCAAAGTATAGCAGCAGCACAGAGACTGCGAATACGTGAACCAAAAGCCATTCTATAAATGGTGGAAAAACTTCAGTAACTATTTCAATCCGCTTGCTCGTTAGTAGCGAGCAGCTAAATAGAGAATGAACTGGTGGGAGAGCCCGAGAATGTACTGATGCCGGGATTTGTGTCGAAAGGCCTTAACCTTTCGCTCAGTTGCACATGTTATAAGACCATGTCGCACTGGTCATTTTTCCTCTTTGTAGAAAAAGAGAGAGAGTAACTAATCAACAGAGATGAGTTTTTGCTCGTTTGGATGACATATTGAAAGTTTAGCAGTCGACATGCCCAACAGGCAAAACCTTGTCTTGTTGTATACGGACTGACGACATTATGAGTTTGAGTTATCAGGTTGCTTGCTACTACACTACACATTCACATGGAATCCTAACTACTTTTGTCAACAAACAACGTCTCATCGTTATCTTTACTTTCAAGTGCGACAGCGTGTGGTAGCAAAATTTTACTCGACTTCTTTTCAAGCGGTACCGTAGCACCGTATGAACGTGCCTGATGTATTACACAATATGATACTATACATATCACACTTTACATACAGCGGCCGCAAACCGACGTCAGACGACACGATGACGATGCTGACAACCGTTCTGTTCCTACTCTATAGCGCGTATTGATTGCATGCCTTATTGTCATGAATTCAGATTGAAGGAACAAGCATTGTGCGTTAAAGCTTAACACCTATGGGTCGGCAATAGAGCTTTCAACATCACATCGTTATGATAATGAGTAATGTTCACGCAAGGTACCGAAGGCTGGAGAAAAAGACCACAGAGTCAGTTTGTCGGTCTTAGTACATGGAGCTGTCCAGCTTGCTGAACGCTATGACGTTGTTAGGTTCAAGGCAAAAAAGTAACGGGAAATGGTGCTAAAGTCTTGTTAAGACTTTGTGAGCCACAGCAACAGCAATGCCCTGTTTGCTTGAGAGATCGATCCTGTTGCCAATGCTGCTTTAGCTTTAGTGCATCGGACGGTGCACGAAAGAATGTTAGCGCACCATTTGATGGCAGCTCGGGATTGTTACTTTTCTACTCTACCATTTGAGTAGATTTTACGCATCTCGTCACAATCTTTTCGTTTTTCACTACTACGTAAAGTCATTCACCACCCTTGCAACCAGATTCAGTACTATCAATGCTCAAAAGCAGGTCTAGCATCTCGTGCTCTGACGGACAAAGGGATCTAACGCGAGGAACTATGAGCAACAGGACTGGATGTTTTCACCTTTCTCTATACAACAGCTTGTTGCATTGAATTAATTATAAATTCTTGATTATTTCGCGTAGCTAGACTGTCAGTTCAAGCCGAACAACAATGCGATCATAAGTGATAGCGTGAACGATCATCCAACTTAAGCGTAAATGGTAGAAAGCCTAAAACTGCTGAATATTTGTATTTGTAAATTTGCGTCAAAAACGTCGATTCAAAAGGTCAACGATCTTGACTTCCTGATGTGATCCGCACACACGTGCTTTTCTAACGCAACTCATAAGTGAAACGAGATACTGAAACACCATTAGCAGTACGACATTGGTTTTTCTTGTCAATTCTTCTCTTCATCTAAATGTTCTTGCTCTTTTTTTCAAATTCGAGCAACGACAGGAAGATCTTGACATTTATCAATGACCTGTAAATACATTTGATGCTACATAGTCAACTTACACACCTCTGAACCTAAACATATGGAAGAAGCTAATTCAAGAAAAGACTTTCTTAGCTGAAGAATTTTATCAATTCACTTTCACTATAGAAATCTAAACAGGTCCAAATCCTTTTGCATAATAATCTGTCAGTTGCCGTAGCCGTTTATCGACTAGGTCTGGCATCGACGTTCCCTTAGTTACGCACTCGTTAACTTGTACACGGTCAGCGTTCATGGACAAGTTACGGGTAATACGCTTTGGTATTATCAATACACAAGGGCAATATACGGCTTCCAAATGAAGCAATTGTATAAGGTAATAAAATGCACGATACCTAAGTAATTTCGCTGAGGATTTTTAATCGCGACTCGGAGAGCATATGGTAGAAACAACTAGAAATGTGATATTTATAAATATTTTCGTTCTTTGATGCATCAGATTGCATTGAAAAATTGTACATCGTTAACCACACTTCATTTGCACGTGACTTCGTAATGCCTGTAATTCGTTTTTCCATGCCAGATTGATTGTCTGTAACAAGGTGACGAGTTATGATAGAGAACGTTATAGAGAGATGTGGTACACATGATACTACCTGAAACATTTCGCTTAGGTACGGCTGTCAAGATAGGTTGTGATGCATATTATATTAGCTTTACTATGAGGATAGTAATGTTTATATTGAGTATGTATAAATAAATATCAATAAACATCGTATACGTTTTGCCTTAGCGTGTGAGACTTGTGCCTTGATCAGACCATTCTCAGTAGCCGAATAGCTGGTGTTTGTAGATGCATTGCACTAAGTAGCTAATTGTTTGAATTTTGATTGTTAGTGACCGTTCAACCTTCATCTAAGCTTCAATCTGCATCCAAGCTTCTAGTTGCTTTACCTACTACTCAATCCTATAGCCTTCCTCACCAACTGACCTTCATGCAGCATCAACAGTCACTTCTTTTTATGAACGAGTTCCACACTACACCGGAATTCTCCGGGTAACTATTTAGGGTAAGCAAAACAAATTTGAAATTGCAACAGCGTACATTATGCTCAACATGACTAGCTTCAACACTCCTCCTCGCAGTCGTATAGACAGGTCCCACACACCTAGCGAACGTAACTTGTCAGGCATGTGCTTGCTAACCGCCTTGTGAATAGGTCCGTGCTTGCCAGCGCGTGCGGCATACCGGTAACGCAGGTGGATGGATGGTGTAGAATGCACTACACGAGATAGATACTGTTAGATGCACAATTCAGTTCTTCTTTCTACAAATATTTCCAATTTAACTAACACGTTATGATCCATTAGATTCCACCATTCAAAGCGGCAAGACAAAAAGAGCCAAGACTGATCACGGTAGTGTCAGTGGTCAGAAGGAAAGACAAAAAGAGTGCGAATCCGAAGGATCCGTAGGAAAGACTGCTTGAGCTTCAAACAGGTTTCACGGTACGTATAAAAAACGTCGTTTGAGCGACAGGTCGTGAGGGAGTATAATAGCCGAGAGGACATGGATTATGACTTGATAATCGGACAATGAAGTGGGTGGCACTGAACTTAGGAACGCCCCTAAGGGTCTCTCCTCGCGAACCTACTTTGGAGCTAGGCAGCCAGGCTATGGTCAATCCGCCGCAAATGTTGAGATGGCGCAGGTGTCACACCCTGATCTGCCTAAACACTACGTGCAACTGCCAGCACAATACCCGGCCTTGCAAAAACACCACGCACCGGCGCTAGGTACACAGTCTGTGCGGGCTCTAGATGCGCGTCAAATAGATTTGAACATTTGCCCATTTGACGGAAAGGAACTGTACCAGGGATTGGGTCAGTGTCTCTATCGTGGGGACATCTTTTCGTGCAACAGATCTTGCTCGCACAGCGTGCGATCGCTCCCGTGGATTGACGGCGTATGGGGCGACAAATTTGAACATCGCTTGGCAGGAATGGCTGAGAGGTACTAAAATCAACAGGGCGACGGTTGGTTGTAGGAAGAGCCAGCCTTAGAGCACGCGATGCAGAGACTACTTCATACATTTGCAACCAAGATAATACCTGCTAAAAGCATGAAGATGTTTACAGAACTCAATAACAGTAAGAGAAGCTGTACGGAACACTATCCTAACCTGATAAGTGCGAGTGGAGAGTGCGATGGGGCGGATAACTTGGTCCTTGACAATGTCATGTACTTCGCCGACTTAACCATAAGAATATCGATGCTATCGCGTACAAATCTTACGCACGCAGAGTGCCTGCACTAGGCTGATGAATCAGCGCACTTTGCGCAATCTACAGAGTTGTAGACACGAGTAATACATCTGAGACAAAAACTGGTGAATTCAGATAACAACGGGCGGGAACGCACGCGAACGTGTTACAGGTGTGGAAAAGATGTACACATAAAGGCCAAATGCCTTGAAAAGGAAGACGATAGGCATTACAAGATACGGACTTTGTCCTCAGAGTCAGTAATTCCACAGATGCGGAAGGAAGCTGGATCCTTAACAGCAGGTCAAGCAGACACTTGATGAACGACTTTAGTCTACTTGAAGACCCGGAGGAGCTCGTGATTGAATGCGTAGCTACAAATGGCGGACCGCGTCGTATTACTAAGCGGAATAGCGTCGTGATCGTTGATACAGTACAGGGAAGAGGTAGTTAAAGTGCGTCTAGTGGACGTATACTAGCTGAAAAGTTGGAGAGAATATCATCTTTTACGGGGAATATTGCGGCGATAGGATAAAGGGTTAGCTAAAGAGTCGAGCATCGTGTGACTGCAAGACTTAACGGAAAAAATTTCGTGCTTGAAGAACATGTATCAAACAATGTACTTGTCGTGCATACGCAGGGGGGCAAGAAAAATGTAAGCCCTACTGATATACTTATGTCTGTACTAGTGTGGTAGAGTGGGTTTTCTAAACTGCTTGATAAGACCCAAAGCCACTCACTGTTCCGTACTGCAGACTGTTGAAAGGGGTACCCCAATGCCGCGTATAGACCTTCTCTCACCTTGTGTACCCGTCGACAGGCGGTCTGCACTCTTCAAAAGACTTGGTGAAGATGTGATGTCGGCCTTGAAAGAGGTCGACCTTGGGGTGTCTTGAGTGGACATGCTTTACTCGGAAACCTAGAAGGTGATCAATCGGTCGAATAGGTCGAGGGTGGACTTATAACCAACTCTTCAGGAGATACTCTCGACCCTGGCCTTTTCCTTAATATGTCAGGTATATTAACCGCCTGGCCTTTCCTTTGTCCCGAACCGCTAGGTTGGGGAGACCGCTTCCGATAGCGGATTGATTGGAGGGAGGAAGGTGCTACTCAGACGAAGCCACAGGCCCTATATATCCTAAATTCTCTTCGCACGTGGGTCTAACCACACGACTGTCTTTGATAAGGGTGCCAAAATGTATTTCTTCCCGGAACAGGTGGGTGGACTTGTAAAAGTTTTTTATAAGCACAACGAAGACGTGCCCTGTTGAATTGTGTAATATAGCCCTATCTCTTAACTACTTTACTCTATCATAACTCTGAGACATGATTCTTGATTCTGATTGACCAAGGTAGCTGGACCTCTGGACCGAGGTCGACCGACCAAGAATTGAGGTCCACCACGAAAGACCGAGAACGAAGGGCCAAGTTATATCACGAAGGTTCGAGGCACACTTTGAGCAACCGAGATCCACCTTTAGAGACCGAGGCTGACTGACGAAAGACCAGTGTCGACCTCAAGGAGCCAGGGTCAAGGGTCCACCGACAGAGGACCGCGGGCTACCGATAAGAGACTAGGATGGACCTTGAAGGACCGTGGTCCGCCTTGAGGGACCGCGGTCCACTGATGTAGAACAGCGATTCACTTCTTTAAATGGTGATTTACGGGTTTACCGGCAGGAGTCTTAACCGTAAATTCTTTCCATCTGATGGATTCTCCTTCTCGCCCTTACTCTCTGGCCCGTCGCCCAACGGTCGCTTTTCTTCTGTGGTCCCCTTTGTCTTTGGTCCACTGGTTGTTGGGCTCCCGCATTTTTTGAAGCTCTTCACCACACTAGATCGAGACAAAGAATAGATGGGACGGGGTTTTTTCTTCAGAAGGTCGCATGCATCCTCATCGCATATTTTTGCATCTTAATTGCGTCCAGATGGCTCAAGACCTAGCTTCGGGGATATAGCTCACGGGCCAGGTCAGCACAACCTGGCTTTCGTGTGCTCAAGAAAAACAGACAAGGACGCGCAGTCGCAAAAATACACTAGTGACACTTCCTTACGTTTTTTGAGGAGTAGTTTACTCGGACCTCAATGGAACTATGATTCCCAAGGACAGACTTGAAACTCGGTACATGATCAACTTTAATAATCACCGAGCAAATTACTGTACGATATTTCTCGCAAGGAACAAGGATACCGCTGCGCAAAAATTCAAAGACTTTATGAATCTTTTCAAGCGCCATCTCAACTGCAGAATACATGTGTTGAGGACAGATGGCGGTGTCATCTCATCTCTACTTTTAATAAATATCGTTGGTTTCCCATTCCCGCCTAGCGACTTGTTCTTCGCGTCACGGTGTAGCATATATCTCAATCCAAACACTTAAATGCCACTAAGGTCCGGTGTGCTGTACTTAAGCCTTTGCAGAAGTGACTTCCTCCCCATAATAGCCTTTTCAAGGCTTCTGTTCTGGATATAGGACGCAAATTCTGCCGTGTCCTGCCAAAATAAAGAGGCAGGTCGCATGCAGATGTAATATTACCACCGAATTTATAATGGTGCGGTGCGTACGTTCCGCTTCTTCATTCTCGTCTGATTACGTGCTTCGCTAACCTGGCGAGCAATTCATTTTCTTTACAAAATATATCAAGAGTCCGATACTCCCAGAAGTATCGTGTATACATACCAAGGACAATGTCGTCGTCGTCGCGTAACACGTTAGAAACGTGAAGAGGCTCTCGAGTGTGCAGAAGGAACAATTGCATCGGGTGCATTTTGCGGACGAAGACAAGGCATCGCGGGAAGTGGTGACAGCGAAAGAAACGGGAATAAACCAGAACGCAAATTTAAATAGAAAGAAGAAAGTCCAAAGGCAGAGGAGGAAGTGGCATTGTGATAAGCACCTTTTCCGTTCAAGTTCACGCAAGGAGGATAAAGAAAAAAGGCATAAGTATGCCAGGGCGAATGGTGTGAGGCAAATAGTGATTTACAGCGTGCGTGAAGAAGATCCTAAAATATATGGAAAGAAAATGCGCAGCAGGAAGCAGGAACAATGGATCGTGGTTATAAAGTAATAGCTGTTGCCATTGGAGCAAAAAGTGTGGTGGAGCGGTAATCACAAACATTCTGCGATCCCGACCTTCCACTGGTGCCCGAACTGTCAACTGACGGAGAGGGTAATCTGATAACGCATGCTTGTCCTCCTCACCTTCTGTACTCGTCAACTGGCGTGGTTGCACTCTCCTCGGTGGACTTGCTACAATATTGATCGTGATGAGGTCTGGTTGGAAGGGGTGGATCGTGTGGAAATTCCTCACGCGATTGCAATAAAAGCTGACGCCCAAATCTGCCTTGATCCGCCCTGGGTCTTCCCTTTCCCGTCCTTGTTTATCCTCTTAAGCCGTCTTAGTAGATCTTCTGACCACATGAGTCGTCCCTTGATTGAACGCTGCGTCTGACCGCAGTTGACTTGATTTGAGTATACTTGAACCTCTGGCCAAAAATCTTCCAGGGTTGATCTGCTGTACGTACGTGACCTCCCTTTATTCGACGGATGTCCAACAATCCAAACCGGAAGAGATAATAACAAGTGTACGTCAAATGATACCTATTGTATTAGATAAGAACCAATACCTGTATCATTACTAGTCTAAGGTAAACTACTACCTATGGCTGACCTTGCAAATTCAATACTACCCTATGTATGGTAAATCAACTATATCATCTTGCGTACTGCACGACAGGGCCTCCACTGCCACGTGTCACTTCAATCTATTGCGATCCGGGGTATGTGGCTCACACCACGTTACCTGATGCACTGATGACTTGGTCGGCAATCGCGATCCGAATCATGTAATCCACACCATGCCGCGCGATCCGATTTGCAGACGAATTGATCGGCTGCACACGACCGCGATCCAGAGTATGTGGCCTACACAACGTGATCCGATTTGCAGACGACTTGATCGGCTGGACACGATCGCAATCCGTTTGTGTAGTCCCACTACGCGGTCTCTTTATTGACCAATCGCGTGTAATTCGGGCTTACCATCCCATAGGATCGCCTGATCGTCCCGAAAAGTGACCATTCCCACAACTTTTGCTTTTCCACAACCGCCCGCTCGACATCAAGTGTTTAAGTCCCCGTGCAACGTCTTCCACGCTTCAGGAATTTTTATATCACTATTGCTCCTTCTTCGTCTTCGTCTTCTTTTCCATATCAAATGTTCTCCTCGTTCGTGATCGCTTTTGAACCCGGTCTAATCGCGGGATACGCTTTATCTGGTCCATTATCCCGATTCTGAGACATCAGCTTTGGCCAATTTCCCTTCTTGCTCACGCTCAGGGTCTGCTGACTTGATCTAGTATGGGGAGATACTGTTTCACCACTCTGTTATCATGATTCGTCCACGGATCATGATCTACGGTTTCAAGTGATTACCCATCGCTGCTTCCAAGTGGGCGAGACTTCTATCCTGCGGTAGATCAATTCACATTAGAAACCCTGCTAAATTCTCGGTTTGGACAATTGGAATCTCAACAGATGTTACATCGATACAGTGAGCTTGCAAATACCTTGCGATATCAAGTGATACAGAACAATCGGCTGGAGGAGAAGATCGCGCGCATGATAATATCAGCGTCTCCGTTCGTACAATATGTACAATGAAGATATGACATATCCTACTGCCAGCTACACGGAGTGACTGAACGTTAATCGAATTACAAAAAGAATTGGGTAATCGACTGGATCAATTTCAC